ATAGTATGTTCTATAATAGTTAAAATTTAAAAAACAAACAAATGTAATTTAATATTTATGAACAAAATATAAAACAATAAGAATAAAGAAGTTAATTAATTTTGTAATATTTTTATTATATCATCATATAAAAATATACTATGTATATTTGTGTTTGTCCCAAACAAGATATCGAGAATTTTTGTTTCCGTCACGTCCTGTTTCTAATCGGGAATACAAAATTTGTCTTATATTAGAAATGCATTCTCTTATGAGATATAAATTGGAGAACGGGTAAGATATAATGGAACATGATAAAATTGAATGGGAATTACGCCTATCTCTAAATATTTCTATTTCTCGCAAACGTATTTAATCATTTTAACGGTTTTATCTACGGTTTGATAGTTTACAAGTTTAATGTTCACAAGTTTAATAAAAATCTATCTGACCATTAACTCGATTCATTTTGATCTTGGTCCGACCGTTTGATTGTTACGAATTTTAAAATACTACTAAAATCATTATTATTTCAAATATTTCAACCAACTAATATGAGTTTTGGTTATAGATACTATAACTATATAAATAAAATTTTTAACATCAATCTAACTTTTTTATTATATCATATCATATAAAAATATACTATAAATTATATTTGTGTTTGTCCCAAACAGGATATCGAGAATTTTTGTTTCCGTCTCGTCCTGTTTCTAATCAGGAATACAAAATTTGTCTTATATTAGAAATGCGTTCTCTTATGAGACATAAATTGGAGAACGGGTAAGATATTATTTCAAATATTTCAACCAACTGATATGAGTTTAGGTTATAGATACTATAACTATATAATATTTTTTTTATATCAATCTAACATATATTATATTTCATTCTAAGATTTTTTTTTAATCTACTCTTCAGTTTCAAACTCCAAAAAATGACTTATGGTTGCTATTGCGTCATAAGCAAACATAAATAACATTTTATACTTTTCTGTGTACATTATAATTTATTCAATCCTTATATAATAAATCACAAGTCAATTCACAAAAAACTGCAACCCTCTCCATTTGACACGTGGCTTAAGTCCCAAATTTTAGCCTTTCACTTTTCTAAACGTAAACCTAATTATTCAAGCAAAAAAGAAAAAATCTATAGAAAAAAAAAAAGAAGAATCAATCATTTTCTTCAACTGCTCCACGATCTCTGCGCCCATGATCTCTTCTTCCTGTAACTAATATATTTCTCACTTCATAAAAAAATCAAACTAAACCCTCTATTTACTTTGTCTTCCCATCAAAAGCCAAAAATTCAATAATCTAGATCAAAAGCCAAAAATCAAAAATTCAATAATCAAACTTTGTCTTCACAAACAAGAGCATCGAGATTATGATTGTTTTAAGAAAATTATTTAAAACATTAACGTGCTATTATGAATAAGTTAATGGTCCTTTGACCCGTACGAAGTACGGACTTAACACTAGTACAATATATATCACTAAAACAACAAAATAATCATATATTTAATAAAAATTTATTACAACACATTTCTTAAAATATGAAATCCCGCACGTATGTGCGGGTCAAGATCTAGTTTATTTTTAAAACAGATAACTGATTATGAAAGTAAAAAAGCAACTATGTATCTTTTTATTGTTGACCCGTGATTTATTTTACAACCATTGTTGTAATCTCATACCGATGATAACATTATGAATTAACTATATATTCTTTTTAAATATTATGGTATATTTGAAAAATTTAAAACACACCTTGGAATATTTATAGAGATATTAATCAAAATCTTTTAAGCAAATGGTGATTAAGATTTTGTTACATATTTATCTAACAGAAAATTAATTAACATTTGGACCAAATCCACCATACAGATTATCTAAAAATAAAAGGCCACAAAATCCACCTTTGTATTCATAAAAGCCCATCAGGCTAGAACATTCAAGCCCAACGTACGTCAAAGTCCACCATACGGATGTTTCTTTGCTCCAAACGTTGACCAAACACTGTTCCATGAATTATGACGGTATTAATGATTCATATATAGTTGTATCTTTTGATGATATTGTTGAGCCGTGCATGATCAAAGCGTATGAACACAACGTATGATATTGAGTCAATTTTCTGAAATGGACTAAAGATTTGTATGCAAAATGTGATTATCTTGGTGAACAATAATTATTGTCAATGGCTCATATTGATCAGTATTTGACTTTTTCTTACTTTTTTATTTTATTTTTTTTCATGATTTTCCATTTGAATACAAGAATCTGATATATACAAAGGTACGCAAAAGATTGACTACAACAATTGTGTCAAAATTGAAAACTATATTATATAAAGTTTCTTTTTTCATATAAAAGCTCTACACCAACAATTTTTAATCTATATTATTAATTGTTCAGAATATCCGAAATGTCAAAAAAACATTATTAATCTTTTTTTTAAGACCATCAAAATGTTTAAACGTAAAAAATATCATGGCCTTGTTATATTTATTTATTTATTTATTTATTTTTATTTTTTTTGCAATTATTATTAGCTTTTGGACTTAGCAACTCTTAAAATATCTTTTTGTTTTTACTCGAGAGCCTATATATTATGGTAATAAAAATTTGTTGCAAAACATATTACAGTATATTTAAATTTCTTTTAAGAGTATTTATGGTAATCTCCAAGTGTTTTTACATATTATTTCGTATTTAAAGCACTAATCTTTTGGTTTTTGAATTTATTGGAAACAAAAAAAGAGATGTATGGTAAAAGCTGATCTCCTTGGTGAAATTTATGCCGTCTTTAAAATAACCACACACCGTTCCTTTTACCTAAGCTTAGAAGTGTGCTTTTCAAACACATAGCGAAACTCAGGACCTGTAGCTTTATTGGAATCCAAAAGCATACCTGATGATGTCAATGGGGAAATCCTAGTTTAACGAACCAAAATATTTTCGCGATATCTATTTTGCGAACCCCAAGTACGCCTCCTCGCGGTTTATGGTGGTACGCTTGGACTAGTTCCTAAGTTAGCAACCCGTTTCCCTATTACAAGATCGTTGAAGAAGGCGAACTGGTTACCTGAGATCATATTTGCAAGAACTTGATAAAGTCTTTCTACCTAGGAATTTAGCTATGATCACAAGATAAAGTCCAAAAATCAACATTTATTTCTCCAATGGGAATCTTACGAATCAGGAAGACAAGAACTTGTGCTTAATGCCAATAGGCCTCACGCTTCTTCAATTGTTAGTATCCATCCATCCATTAATCGAATCCATCAACTAAGTACATAAAATAAATTTGTTGATAAATAATTATATATATTTAATGTTATCTATAAACCACTATGTGGCCATGGTTGTTGGAATGTTGAAAACCTTATTCAGATTTATTAATGACCAGATGAAGCCGGTTGGTTTATTATTAAATTAAAAGACTTAAATTTCTTGCTAGAAATATCATGTACTTAATAATTAAATTGTGTCGACATAGTTAGATATAGAAATATAGAATTAAAAAAAAAAAGAAGATGAAATAATGGATCTAACAATAATAAAGTCAGCAAAATATTCCTGTAAATAGATTTCAAACCTAATGATTTTGGTCACTCAAGTTTTTTAAAAACTTATCAAAAGGGAAACAATCAGATTTAAATTGAGAAAAAAAAAAATGACGAAGAGTTTTGATAATAATTCCCTATATATAAAGTTTTAAACTAAAGATATTAGTTTGGTATTCCATTTCCATTTCGAGCCCAATCTATGATTCATGAATAACAGTGGCCATTGTCACGGACTCACGGCTAATAGCCACATAATTAAATTTGACCTCTTTGTTGCTAACTTTCATAATTTGATTGCATACAATTAATTTCCATTGCTAGTTTGCCACAATTTTGCCGTCAAAAGTTTTAAAGAAGTCGGTAGCTTTGTGGTGGCTAAGTCGTGACACCATGTGTATTTTTTATTATTACATTTATTTCCAAATTTGTTTTTTCTTTTTTCTTTCATGCACTTGTTTTAAAATACGCCCAAGTCACAGAGACGACTCAAGAGAAAGTCTTTATTTATTTATGGGAAATTTTTTATTATTTTTGTTCGACGACAAGAAAGTCTTGATAAAAAACTGAAACTATTGCTTATATATTAGACACAAAAAGGCAGTTTAGAGCAATTTCTCAAGACGTATTAAAACGTGATTATTGTGAAGGATTTATTTTCCCCATCTGGTTTATCATGGAAAAAAGTGCAATCAAAGAAGAAGAGATCATTCGCAAAGGTGATATCAAAGAGGTACTTTCTTTGGCTTCTATTTTCCGTTTGTGATAATCCATGAATTTTAAGAGGGGTTGACTTGTTTAGTCTTGGAGGCATTTCCAATTAGTAATTTTTGCGATGTATGATGAATTATGAGTGTATAATGATTCATATTTAGTTGTATCTTTTGATGATATTGTTGAGCCGTGGATGATCAAAGCGACAAAGCGTATGAACATATCCTATTAATCTTCGAGTCATTTTTCTGAAATGGACCAAAGATTTATATGCAAAATGTGATTGTTAGTGGAAAAAAGTAATTAATGTCAATGACTCGTATTGATCAGTATTTGACTTTTTTTTTCTTTTCATAATTTTCCATTTGTATACAGGACTCTGATATATCCGATGGTACGCAAAAGATGGCCTACAACAATTGTGTCAAAAATGAAAACTATATTATATAATTTTCTTTATTCATAAAATTAAGCTCTACACCAACATTATTAATGTTTTTAAAAATCAAAAATAATTATTGTTCAAAATATTCGAAATGTTTAAAAAAAAAATTATTAATCTTCTTAGATTATCAAAATGTTCAAACATAAAAATACGATGGCTTTTTAAAATTTTCATATTTCTTGCTACTAAAAACTATAAGTTGATATATCAAAATGTCTAACTACGAATTAAAAGTAAATTCTAAAGGGTCGCAAAAACACGAGAAGCTCAAGGCCTCTCTTCTACCATATTGGAGAGTACGTCCTCCAACAACTTACAGCGTCACGTTCGAGTCTTTTGGGAAAATGATGGAGCTAGTCAACAATGGATATTACGAGTCCCTTCCTTTCACTGTTGATGGATTCAATTGGTACGTCGTTCTCGTTAAAGACCATTTACAACATTGATTTGTTAGCTAGCTTATATATGTTTCTAATTGTAACCCTTATTCTTTTTTCTTAAATTAACGTTTTATATAAAAGGACGTTCAAAATCTACCCAAACGGAAACTCGGACACCACAAGAGGACTTGTTTATTGTTATGTAAGAATTGATAACTCAAGCATCACCGACCCACCATTAGATGTGTATGCGGAGATCAAGTTCTTCGTCTACAACTATGGCATTAGCGAGTATTATACATACCAAGGTACTCAATCTTAGAGGATCGATTCATTGGTATGTAAGACAAATGTGTATTCTCATTGGTTATTGAGGAATTTACGTAGCGATTTATGGCTCCAAGATTAACGTCGGTTGTCAACTGAATTCTCAAAATAGTTTTTCTTTGTTGTTGTAGAAGTCGAGCCGGTAAAGTTTGATAGTGTAGAACAGGAGTGGGGAAAGTGGATTGGTCTGTATACGTCATCGTTTTCCAAGGCGACAATAGATCCATACAAATTCATTACCGATGGAGACAAATGTGTGTTTGGAATAGATGTGTTCGTTGCTCAACGCAACAAATCAGAAGTTTTCTCCTATGATGAAAACATAAGCAACCCTGTTTTCACTTGGAACCTCCCCAATTTCTCTACCCTCACTCTCGACTCTTACACATCCGAGCCGTTTTCTTCTGGAGACAGAAACTGGTGACTCTTTCAATCTCTCTCTACATATATAGACACACACTATTTGTTATATATCTATGTGTTAATAGTATATATGATGGGTTTAATTAGGGTTTTGAAAGTTTATCCAAATGGAGATGGTGTTGGAACGGATAATTCTTTGTCACTCTACTTGTTGAGTGAGTCTAATGAAAAGAATTACGTTCGAGCCAAACTACGAGTTCTAAACCAAATCGGATCCGATAATGTGGAGAAGCCAGGTGAGTGGTTTAGTATGTTCTTTGATATATCCGATCATTTAAAGAGAGGAAAAAAACCTTTATTTTGATTTTAATTGCAAAATAAATATCATTACAAAATTATATATAACATTATTTATCAAAATTAAATTTATTATTTGTTTGAAGTTTTTCTTTTGTGGCTCTTTTTTTTCTTATGGTAAGTTGAGGGATGGCCTAATGCAGCAGAAAATGGATGGGGTTATGCGGAGTTTATACCTCTTGCAGATCTACAAGATTCAACCAAAGGTTTTGTTGTGGACGATGTGCTTCAAGTTGAAGTTGAGATCATGGCCATCTCTAAACAAACTCCAATTAATTAGGGTTTGTGAGCCCTAAAACAACCTACCACTTTCCTTTTTTCTTGTGTTTTTGTTTACAATGTCATTTGTGCCTTGTGGGAGGTTTAAACGGGAGATCTTTTTTGAAAAACTTGAGACGTTTTATCAATGGATCGTCGAAGGCTTCATGCATACACATGCATCCTCTACTCGAAGCCATGCGAGACCCCCTACCTCTATCGTTTCTATATATTTTCAAAATAATAAAGGTTTCCATAAAACTCTTTTCCCATAATCTACTCTTTTGTTTGTACTCTATGTGTCTCCAAAATTATTAAGAGTTTTTTTTTTATAAATACCTTATAGATACATGAGAAAATATCAAAACTAGTTTGATATTTTTATGTTGGCAAATCCGTGTGTTCGAGAAAACAAGAGAATAATAATCATCGTTTTATAACATGACATATATATGTTAGTGTCAAGTTAAATGTCTTATCTGACCTCTACTCAATCATCTAGTTTAGTGAGTTTGTAAACATTGCTTAACATATTTCTAGCAAAAGGCTTTAACTTTTGGAAAATCCAATTCTTGTGGAAGTTGTATTCTCAGTATGCTTTTGGAACTTTTTTTCAAAACCCCTCATCTATAAATATCATAGAACATTTTTTAAAAAAAAAAGAGACTATAAAATGTGAAAGTTTTAAACATGTGTATGTGCAAAGTCAAATGTGTATATGTCTAACATTGTATATACACATTGTCACTTTGACCCACTCCCCTCGTGGCCACAATATCTCACCAACTTCATATATCCTAACCAGACCTATATTACTACAAAAAAAATTATGTATTCTGATTAACGGAAAACGTTATCTAGCGTTAAAACAAAAAAAGTCGCCGGTGATAATAAGTTTGCCACTTGAAGTAGAGTATTTTTTAATAATATTTCTATCGTTCTATTATTTAATTTAACGCTTTCGAGTGTAAATGGTAACATTAGTTTTGAGGAATTGGGAGGAATTGTTGAGGAATTTTGGTGGAAAAAAATAGTGTTACATCATTTGACAACTTGAGGAATTCTTGAGGAATGTGAGGAATTCTTGAGGATTTTTTTTTTGTTAGCTTTTTTCTTTCCTTTCTTTTGTTTTAATAAAAAGGTAAATTATTAATGAAACTATAAATAACTAAATTCAATAGTGAAGTTGTTGATAAAATATTTATAAACTAGACAAATATAATTTCGGTTTTATCAAAAATACAAAAATAAAAAGAAATTTAAGAATTTATCGTTTTAAATGAAAATTACTTTTTATTAAATTAACAAATATATAAAGTTTAGATTTCACTAAAAATCACCAAAATATATAATTATTATGTTTGATTAAATTATCAAATATATTAACTTTAGATTTCGTCAAAATCACAAAAATATATAATAATTATGTTTACATGTTTTAAATATATTATTTACAATTCCACCAAAATCTACCTTAATTTCTGTATGAGTTATAGTTAAAAACTTTCGATAATTTTTGTAATCTTAAGAAATTTTAGATAATTTTATTAATTTAAGAACATAAGTCAGATTCGTGTTCGGGTAACTTAATTATGACTAATATAAGATTTTTAAATTTTGTCAAAATTCAACCTTACATTTTTACAAATTACAAAATTTTAATATTATTTTGTTTCTATTTAATTACTAATATTTAGTAGATTTAATTAAATTTGTTGTCAATTTTTTTCCTACTAATTTTAGAAGTTTTATTTAGTTAATTAATTTTTTAAAAACATTCAGCCAGATTCAGCGGTTACCATTTGAATTTTAAGTTATTCAGCCAGATTCCGCAAAAAATCACAAATAAATTCAGCTAGATTCTGCAATTCAGCCAGATTCAGCCAGATTCATCGGTTACCATTTAGACCCTTCATGTCTGCAACTGCAATCATATACTCTACAATAACACTCCAATTATAATTCACAAGACAAAATAATCAACAATATTAATTATAAAATTTTATAAAGAGAGAACATTTTTGTCTTAATATTACTAGCTGTACGTATATATATATTACTAGATGTATATCACCATCTCCTCCAAACGGGAACCTACCACCATCTCCTATATATCATCCATTATGTACGCGCACTAATACATCTTCCTTCCTAATCCATACATGCACCCATATATATACATGACTCATGCATGATAATTCATATCATAATAGTAATCATTCACAAATCAAAACCAAAAATACCTAAAATTACTCTCAAATCAAATTTATATGTCTTCTTTCAAAATGATCTTTCAACCACTCTCACTACTTCTTTTCTTAACTCTACTCGTTAGTTCCGTTACTTCCGGCCGTTTTCTCTACGACTTTGACCCTGTCCCGTCATCTGCAACTACGCCATTGGATACTGACTCAGTTGGCTTCAGCAAAGCCGTGATTGAAGTCGTGGAAAATCTGGCCGTCAGTGGAAGTCTGTTAGCTAGCCTTTCTTTGGGTAATGGCGTCCTTTTGACTAGTAACGAAAACGAAGTCCCTCTCATTCACCAGATCACCAATATCCAACATAATCAAATGATCAGCTCGTAGGTACAACTAGTCAACAAAACCATAATTTTAAGAAATTTTATTTCCCAACCCATGCAACGTTTTCTTCTAGAGTGAATTCAATATCTACTTGGAAGATTGAACATGTATCATCAAGAGTTGTATATGTAATCATATCAGTTGACAATTTGAATGGTCTTTTATTGAACTTCCGTAAAACAACACATAACCTAAGGGGAACAATAGTCATTTAGTAAATAGTGATATGATCATCAGTTTGTCTTTCCACAAACATCTTGATTAAACAAAAGCAAGATGTCTGATATATAGATAACGAAAGCTAGAAACAAGATCTTTTAAAACATATCTCAGATAACTGAAATGTATATTGTTTCATGAACATGTTAACGAGAAGCTTAAGTTGGTGGGTCCTTTCGCTTAAGTTGTGAGCTTTCAGATGGCTCAATTTGCGAGCCTCCACCAGCAGAGTCAATTCCATGTGATACGGCTTCCCAATTTTCAGGCGGTACCAAGACAACATTGCGACCTGACATAGACAATTTTGTATAAACCAACTCCAACAGATGGCATTCTGAGATATTGCTTCCAAGGATTAGTACAAAATTATCTCGTGTACGATTATCTAGTCTCCAGCATAAAAGGTCAGTTATGATCCTGCGAATTTTCGCATGTCCCTCTCCTGAAAACCATACGAATATATATTATAAACGCGACGTTGATGAAGCGGAAGCTTCTAGGGATAGAACTAGATCCGTTGATTCCAAATATCTCGCTGCATGAGAAGTGGATCAAAGTTATTTAAGACATAAAAGAGTAAAAGAGACTTCACCTGCTAGTGTGTGATTGACAACGATTTTGAGGTGACCACCAACCACTGGGATCAGATTCGTGTCACCACAATAGATGGAAGCCGTACCACGATAATCAATTACCTTTGGCATAGGGTATGTGACTATGTAAAATTGGATCAGTACGTACAGACGATAAAAATAAAAGAGTTTTTTCTTTTTCTTTTTTTTTTAGGAATTTACCTTGGGCTTTGTTTTCGTGTTGTTTGACCTCGTATATGGGTGATTTAAGGGCATCCCTGATCTGATCCATATCGCCATAACAATAGATGGTGGTCTTCTTACCAAGGTAATTCCTTTTCCTAAAGGTTTCTCTGATGTTCTTCGAAACATCAACAACATCGAGACCCGGGGGGGTTGGGCAATCAACCATGTCCCAGAAGACGGCCGTATCCTCCTCTATGAATGAATCATCGGTCAAATAAGACATCAGAGACAAGTAGAGAGGAGAGGAGAGATTAGGTCCTGCGGGCTGATACAGAAGATTTAATTCAACCCTAAATAATTTAACAAACTTTATATAGCTTTTGAGGGAGAGGTTTTAGACATAACAAAAGTGATACGTCGCCGTTTACTTGTCTGGACTAAATACTTATTTATCTATGGGCTTATATGGGCTTGTATAATAATTAAAATTTTCAAATTATTTTCTGGACCAAACACCGCAGGTTTATTAATTTTTACATTATTGATAAATGTTATAGGTGTTGGTTGATGTTTTTTTTGGTACTTAATGATAAGATATAGATTTTCATATTTTGTGATATTGATGATGAGTCTTATTGTAGTGTGTTATGTAATATGGATCATGGATGTTTAAAGAAATTGGTTCTGAATTCGACCAAATATTGGTTGGTGAATACAAACCAAATTTGGTTTACTTCGGTTTAAAAGGTGTCATTTTAATTTTTTGGGGTAAACCATGTCTTATGTATCTTCAAAGGCCACAAAAAGCATAACCTTTCTATTCATAAAAGGCCCATTAGTTCCTTTCTTGGGATTAATGGTTTCTTTATCGGCCCATTAGTGGTATCCAGCCCATTAACGGTTTCTTTCTTCTTTCACATTGCCTTTTTTCTGTGTTGGAGCTACTTCCATGGCGAAACTAGCACAAGAGATGAATCCTGAAGGTTCACGATACAAGCTTCTACTCTCATGTCCTTCTGGCCTCTCTCCGTCTCAGGTTTTTCTCTAATCGAATCTGTACACTGTGATTAAGTATCCTTAATCATCTGATTTTGTTGTTCAATGCTAAAAAGGTCTCGGTGGATTTCTCGAAATCGCATGATCGGATTCTTCATCCTGATCCTGATCTCGAAGACTCTATTTCGCAGGTGAGAAACCGAAAATGGAGTATTTAGAACTTGTTTTGGTTTCTGAATTCTGGAAACGTAATTCAATAATGCTTTGATCAAAACGTTGAAATCGTAACAATGATGAAGATTCCACTCCTTAGTCATCATAATTTTTGAATGTTTCTGAATTTTGTATGTTTCGATTTGATCCGCATTTTGATGTGATTACTTTGGCAAATTTAGGTTTGGGAGCAGAGAACACAGAGAAATTCATCATTGTTCAATGGCCAAAAATTTAGGGTATGCATCAATGTTTTGAGATTTTGCATCTATGTTTCTTTGCATTTGATTGCATTGGTTTTGAAGTTGTTTGGTACTTAGTCACTAATCAAATCAGCTACTTCATTTTGATGTGTTTAAACTTTGACATAAATTGTTTATTTGTTCGATAAGCTTACTTAGTAGTTCAATTGTTTCAGTATGGATCATATTGTTTAGATGGTGATGATGGTGGTGCCAATGAAGTGCCACACGTTTGTCTTCGTCTTGGCCTGACTGATTACAGGTTTCTCATTTATCTCCTTTTTCATTGTTTGCACAGAGTTATGCTTCTAGTTTATTGATTTCTGGTTTGCATTGTATGGTTTGATGGAGAGAATTATTAATCATGGACATGGTTTCCAAGGACTTTTGTTGGCACAAATTTGAGTTCTCTGTGGGAGAAGTTCCTTGTTACATCAGAAGGTATATCCGCACAAACCCAATCTCTGGTGCCTTGTCGTGAAACTGGAGAGATTCTATTGGATTTGTTTGTGTTTCTTATCGCTTTAGTTTTGTTCTCCCACAGATGACTCCGTAAGATGTCGACATACCTCAAGTCCATTGGGAAATGGTGCAGTTATCGAAACTTCTGACAAGAAGATTATTGTGTTACGCCGGAGTAATAATGTCGGGGAATTTCCAGGTCACTACGTATTCCCTGGGGGCCATCCAGAGGTATTCATATGAAGCATCCAATATTTACATAAAGCATCAACGTATTGTCTCTGTTACTAACTCTTTGGCATTGTTGATTACTTTATACATTGCAGCCAACAGCAGTAGGTATTGATTGTCATCAGCTTGAACACGATGTTCAAACCAGCGAGCTTTTAAACAAGAAGGTAAGTCAAGAAATGTTTGACAGCATTATCTGTGAAGTTGTCGAAGAAACTGGAATACCAGCATCATCACTTGTAAGTCAGAAAGATTTCTTTTGATCTCTCACTTAGGCATCCCGAGAGATATCTGATAGGGATTTCTTTTACACAACTACAGAGCCCGCCTCTCTTCATCGGTATATCTCGTAGGGAGTTAAATGTAAGACCAGCTATGTTTTTCTATCTCAAGTGTAGTCATCATTCAGATGACATTCCAAGATTATACTCTAGCGCTGAAGATGGGTTCGAGTCAACACAGCTCCACACTGTCTCATTGGTTAGTTCTCTAACCATCAAGGAAGAAAAATCATCGACTGCATGTTTTACTCTCTAAATGTTATGATTCCATCACAAATAACTGTAGTTTCGCTTTAATTAATCGATCAGGATGAGCTGAAGATGATGACATCGAGAATGCCTGGTTGCCATCATGGTGGATTCGCTCTCTACGAACTGATGCTTCAACGCCTCAAGAACACTAAGGAAACGTCTTTAATAGCAACATAAGAGGAAGATACTTAAAACTTTACACCTAGTGGTGTTATGGTTTGCTAATGATCATGTCATTTTCGAGTAAATTTTATTATAATTAACCCCAATAATTTGTAAAATCCATGATAATGAGTAACTTATTAATTCAGAGATCGAAAGCTCTAAGTTATGTTCGATAAAAAGGTTAATTTGTTTACATATGTAAATGGTAAGGGTTCTATAGAACCTACAACAGAGGAAATATGAAAGCTTACAAATCTCACGCAAACACCATTATGATTCATGAGTTTACCCGGTTTTGGATGAATGGATGAATTTCTCTGGAATTTCTCTGGATTTGTTGGAATTTACTCCTAAAAAGTGCAGATAAATTAGCCGTAGACCATTCTCCACAAATAGTTGGAATTTACTAGAAATAATTGTCTACCGAAACAAAAGCGACGATTCAGAACTATATAGATAATGCAGTGATTGAGAAACAAGTTCTTTAAAACATTCTTAGACAAATTGAACGTAAGAATACAATAGACCGCTGCATGGAATTCTATTCAAGAAAGTGAGAGCTGTATTTGGAAAGACTAAATAAGCCAAGGCCGCCTGACTTAGGCTTAAACCATAAAGCATCGGTGGAATGGATACTAGAGTTGAACAAGGCAGTAAGTAGCAAAGGCTGGTAAAATGGGTTAAGGTTCTGGTTCTGGTTCTGCTAACTCACTTTCTACTGAACTCTAAGCACTTGGAGTAGAAAGTGAAATGGAAATAGAAAGAGAAAGGGATTTGTTGAAGAAGGAGAACGTAAGCCTCAAGATTGAATACCACTGGAGTTCTTGTTAGACTCAGAGAAGCTGCTGAGGTAACACAAATTTTCATATTTTAATCGATAAACCATTGGTGTGTGAGTGAGCGTGGCATTTTTTCTGAGTTTTGGGCTCTCACTATGAACATATTCCGTTTTAAGAAAAGTTCAATGAAGTAGATGAAGAAAACGAGAAAAAAAAAAAAAAAGAACAAACGAGAAGTTAAAGAAAGAAATATGGGAAGGCTAAGAGGAGACACAAGTTGGAAGTGGTAACAATCAAACAAAATCTAAAACAAAACACATTTCCATAATCTGCAAGGAAAATATTCAATGCAATAGAAATAGAAAAGTTTAACTGGTAAAGACTCTCGTGCAAAGCATAGAGATTGCCAATTCGAGTGACACTTGGGACTTGGGAGGAGACCATATAAAATGATTTGGTTCCTGGGCTGAGGGAATGTACGGGTCTAGGCCTAGAATTTCTTAGTCATTCAAAAAAAAAAATGAATGAACTGAAATCAACAGAAAAATATTGATTTTCACTCATACAAGAAGCAATAAACTATAAATACAATTCTACATCTTAATCCCTCTTTCTCACCAAAAAAAAAAAAAAAAATCTACATACCTTAAATTTTTCTCTTTCATGTGGACAAACTGAATATACAGGAGCTTCATGACCATGAAAAGTGTAATCAACCCAACCCTCAAGATCCCATACATGTTTTACATTAAATAAGTTAAACAGCTGACAAGTTAACATTTGGATAACCAAAACAAGTTTAGGTTCTTGTATCACCTTGACTAGCTTGTCATCTCCACAACTAACTATACTTGTCTTTGTGGGGGATGAGAAAATCCTATGTCATTTACAGAACGTATATGAGCTTCGATCTGCGGGAACTGATTGTCTAAGTTACATGGAAAGAAATGTCAAAATTTTATGGGAAAAGATGATCGTTTATCAAGGATCAAGTGAGTCACCTCAAGATGCTAGAGAAAGTCAGGTTTATACAAGTGAATTAGACTCTTATTAAATGAAACCTCATATTTTTAGTGAGAGAATACAGGAAGACTAATTTAAACCACACATGGCATGAATGGATTACCAATGATATAGATATATTAGATCCACTTAGGTGAAAGCAGAGATTAAGAGCAAACACAAGAGAGGGAAAGAAAAACCTTAAACTTTGGTGAAAGTTTAGACATCTCCCATGAAATTAATGACTTCGAAGCCACTTCTTTCAGGACAAAAAAGTCCCACAACGTATCTACACCGTTTGTAGAAACGACTGACGGAAAGCAAATAAACAAAAGATCAAATAACCAAATTATGTTAAGAGAAAATTGTATTTCGTGTTGGCAGGATTTTGTAAGTTGTCAAATCTCCACACCAAGAAGTAATGTATTTCGTGTAGGGTGAAAATTCATGCTTGTCACAGCAGAGTTTTGGCAAAACTAGAAAACCAATTTTGTTGGCAAGTCTTCCTACGACCATGAGTTTTCAGTCTATGAGTAGGCTGGGTATGTCGTGCTATTTCATTATTAGGAATTTCTGCCGGTTCTCTAAATCGCTTCGAGCCAGACACTTATTTGAACCAAAGGAAATTAACGTTAGAGAAAAGTGTTATTCATAAACAGTAAATAATTGCAATATATATCATCAAAAGAAACCTTGATAATGAGATGCAAAAATATCATGTTGGACCGAAGATGCACCAGAGGCATTAGATATCATGTCAGCTAAAGGAACAACGTTGGCAGCAGGAACACCAAGAGGAGCATGCTGCATCAAATGATCCATCATATACAATTTACTTCTAATCGAAAAAACATGACTACGTAAGTTGAAAAGTCGAGGTTACTTGCACCAAGTTTGGCTAGAGTACGTAGAGTTGCAAGTGCCAGAGAAAGAGGCATTAGTTTACCATGAAAAGGAAGATTCTCTTGAATATGTATTTCAAGATAATCCAAGGTGTCTTTCCGATGAGCTTTGCATTAGATATCTTTTAGTCTAATTTCATCATTTTGGTCGAAGTTGGTTCAAATTGACTACTCAATTAGGAAAAAAATTTGGTTTATTTTAGAGTTGATTTTAAACCCTACAACCGAACCAAACCGAATTATTTTCGGTTCAATTCGGTAAAATTATAATAGAAAACAGGAAAACCAAATAAACCAAACCGTTTAAATCGATTAAATCAACTCGTTTTTGATATCTACTAAATAACCTAAATTGTTTTCGTTAAGCTTAGTTGATAACTATGGACAACTTGAACTCGCCTATATAGTTTTCTGTGTTTTTGTGACCATTTACCAATTTTTGCTCGTAAACTCGCCTCAATGGTAATATAGACTACTGGTACCATCCATAAGGAAAGTATTATCACTCCTCAAGCGTATGTTTATTGTCCTCATGTCTTCTGTTATTTAAATAACGCTGGTGAAATAGTGACTTTTTTTTGCTCTGTGAAACTCAAGTTGTGCTATGCGTACTTGTGTCTAATATTGAGCTGGCACTCATCAGCTTGAATCAGAGAGTATTAATCAGATAGGCTAATTTCCTTTCATTACCACTTTCTCCCTATTCTTAAAGATTGTTATGCTTATCGTTCATATGTCGGATTATTGAAATCAATAGCTCATCTGCTCTTGTATTAGAAAATAGACTTACATTTCCTAGTAAATTTCCAATTTACAGTGAAGCATGAAGATGAGTTAGTTCCTTGCCAAATTAGATTTGCTTTGAATTAAAAAGGGAATGTCATGAAGAAGTGATGCATCAAGTAATTCGTCGGATTCAGACATCAATAGCTCTGACCATGGCTACCATTTGTATTAAAGATACGAGGTTCATCCGTTCACATATCTAACGATACTAGATTATGGGCCGCTAGCTTTTGATTTTTGATTAGACACATAGACGATAAGGGTTCTATAAAAGCTACAACAGGAGAAATATGAAACCGTTCAAAATCTCATGCAAACCATTATGAATTTGTGCTTTTACCCAACCTTGGATGAACTTTGTTGGAAGTTCTTTCTAAAAAATGCAGATAAACTAGCCGTAGCAGCACGGCCGTTCTCTACACACAGGAAATAATCGTCCACTGAAACAAAACAGAAACAAAAGGCAAGAATTCAGAATTACAGATGATGCAGCGATTGAGAGAAAAAAGTTCTTTAAAACATGTCTCAGCCAAATGAAATGTATGAGCATAACAGAGTGAATTCTATTCAAGAAAGGAAAGTTATAACAGTACCTGACATTACTCCATGTGTAACTGATGTAATGATCCCATGCTCTACTGGCTCGCCCTCCCCTACTGATGATCCTTCCGGAAGAACAGAGAGAGTTGTATTTGGAAAGACTAAATAAGCAAAGGCCGTCATTTTCTGTCCATTGCAGTTCAAGTAAGTATAACCAACACGCAAAAGAAAAGATAACAATGGACAAGGTTTTTAAATAACCTTTTCTTCAAGCTTGTTTGGATCGAGTACGAGATATCCATTATCAGCCAGGCAACAACATATAGCAACTGAAAAATAAAAAACGTCGATGAAACAAATTAGAAGAAGCACACAAAGTCAATTAGAGAAGAGCATAAAGTCACAAAGATGTACCAGCGAGATGCTTCATAGGGATTCCTGCATCAACAAGCGCTGCACATGCTGCATTTATCGCACACGGTAGAAGCTAAACAGAATTGAATCAAGGAAAAAGCAGCCAAAACTGTCCTCTAAATTAATGCACGAATTATTTCACTAAAACATATTCACACTCCCAGCTTATAGGATTACAAGCTTTCACTACAAGAAATTCTATAAATACTCAAACCGGCATTGCTTATACCGGACTATACGTGTTTGACACAGCATCAGTAAATGGTTACCAAAGGGAAAGGATCACAAAAAGGATACAGAACCATCATCATGTACAACCTACACGGGAATCAAAAAATGAAAACATCAGATACAACTCAAGCTGACAAAATCGATATACAGTACAATGAATTACTCACCTGAATTATCACTGAGGTGGTGGTATTTGGATTAACAGTCAAAACACAAATACTCTGTATTGTCCTTTTCATTATCATCTCATACTCCTTTTCTACTTTTCCTATCATTATGCAAAGTAAAATTCAGTCAGCATCTAAAAAAACCAAGAATCACCTGTTCCGCATACTCAAGCAACATCCAGACATGATTAAACTAACTGCATTTACGAATTACCAATCTGCCCGGTTTTAGGCTTCCATATGACTTCAAAACAAGCCTTCTCAGCATTTTCATTCTTCTTTGTTCCTGCTTTAGGTCCATAAACAGCAGCTAGAACTTTTGTATCCCCTGAAAAATGCATACCCATTAGATAGTTCTATGAATCCCATTCAAAAAGGACTACAAAACTTTGTACCCATCAGAGAATCAGAGATATTGAGAAAGCTAATAAAGTACCTTGTGACCAGCTAGCAGAGCCATGAGGACGATGAAGGATGTTACGGGAACAAGCAAGAGGTCTCAGCTGATTCGGCGTTCTTCCATCTTCTCTATCAATCTCCATTGCTCCAATACTTTTCACACAAAAGGGTTTCACAAAGTAAGCATCTTTAGTCACAAATTCAAATTTCTCAGATTCTATAACTAAGAATTCGTATCACTGAAAACAAAAACAGAACCGCTTCTAGCTCAACACTAGCTCAACACAAAACTAGAGTAAAAACCTAATTCCGAGGAAGCTAGAAGAAGAAGAGACGATTCCTTATCAGACTAGAAAACTAACCAAAGCGCAGATACAGCTACGGAGCTGGAAGAAGAACTGAAGCAGAGAGGAGAGAAGAAGAATCGTTCTGATTTTCTGAAGAATTAGGGTTTATTTGGTTTAAGTTTCAAAACCCTCAATTCAAATCAATTAAAGTGTACCGAGATCAAACCGGTCTTTCCGGTTTTTATATCATTGGTTTACCTTTAACCAGTAAACTTAATGCGGCGTTTGAACATAGTCATTAATCAATCTTCCGGAGAAAAATCTGAGTATAACTGACGGGAAAAAATCCGACGATTCTTTGTATCGACGATATCAAATTTGATCTGAAATTCAAATTCCGGTGATAACGCGAAGAAGATGGATGATGAATTGTTGGAATTGCAGCGTCAGTTCGAGTTTGCTCAACAGGTGAAGTCAAGCGTGAGATTATCGGATCGAAATGTTGTCGAATTGGTTCAGAAGCTTCAGGAGCTTGGCGTTATAGACTTCGATCTGCTTCATACTGTCACCGGAAAAGAATACATCACTCAGGTATATATTATGTTCAAATTCCGGTGTGAATTTAGACTGTTTAAGAATCTACACATGGTTTTGCAAAATTTTATGGTATCGTGATGTTAGTTATGTGTTAATGGAGTGAAACTATGTTAACTCTGCTTGTTGCATGAGGAATTTAATCGGAAAAATGAAGTGAAATTGTTTGATCGAGTTTTTGCTGAACATTGGGAAGGTTTTGGTGAAGATTTTTTGTAATTGTTCTTCTTGATTTGTTACAGGAGCAATTGAGGAATGAAATTACTCGTGAGATTAGTAAATTGGGACGTGTCTCCGTCATTGATCTGGCTGATACGATTGGGGTTGATTTGTATCATGTGGAGAAGCAAGCACAAGATGTGGTGTTGAATGATCCGGGGTTAATGTTGGTTCAGGGAGAAATAATATCACAAAGTTATTGGGATTCGATTGCAGAAGAAATTAATGAGAGGCTTCAAGAATGTAGCCAAATTGCTGTGGCTGAACTTGCTGGTCAGTTACAGGTTGGCTCTGAGTTGGTGCAATCGGTTTTGGAGCCTCGACTTGGAACTTTGGTAATTGTGCTTCTCCTCTTGAGCTTTCCAGATTGTGTTTAAGTGAATGTGAGCTTTTATACTTGTGGATTTTTTTATGTTTCAATCTTTCTAAGGTGAAAGCTAGGCTAGAAGGTGGACAGTTATATACACCTGCTTATGTAGAACGTGTGACCGCTATGGTTCGAGGTGCTTCCAGGGGTATCTTTGTTCCTTCCAATTTGTCGGGATTGTGGGCACCATTGCAACAGTTGGTACAAGAAATGAATGGAGCCAGTGGAGTTGCTGTTGAGAATTCATTTTTCCAGTCTATATTCAACCGACTGTTGAAGGAAGAGGAGATGCTTGGATCACTACGTGCTGGAACCCATTGGACTCCTAGCGTATGTCATAAAATTCTTATCTTTTGGGTTTCTGGCACTAATGGATTATTACTAATTAACGACAGTCTTCAAAATTTCAAGAGAGCGCTCGTCTATGCTTGCTGTTTCCCATGTTCAGTTACCATTCATTAGAATAACTTTTTTGAATTTGGTTGCAGGCTTTTGCAATTGCTCAAAAGGAATGTGTAGACTCTTCTTTTTCACAGGTTTACTCATCATTTTCTTTCAAATGGTCTTAGTCCGTTTATTTATCAGTTGGTTGTGGAAGAGAACTAAATTTGAACTTCATCTGACTGCAGTTTTATCATGTTCTGTAAATTATTCTTTCTTGAAAAAATTGTAAATCATAGGATTTATGGTTTGTTTTGTTCCGTTTTCCTGCAGAACTCCTACATCTCCTATGAGAGCATGCAGAAGCTTGGGATTTCTCAAGCTGTGCAGTTCTTACAGGTATTGTATCGTCTTAGTTTAGCGTAATTTTTCAGTAGCTTCAGTAGTTATGGAATGATAGCTAGAATGAGTATTATGTTGCCTCTTTCACTTTATTCTCATTACAAGTTGTGTTTTATGACATGTATAGTCTAGATATCCAGATGGTACACCTTTAGCTGCTGTATTTATTCATTCCTCAATGATTGAGATGCTGGATTCTGCAACAGAGGATGCTATTGAACAAAACAGTTGGTGAGATAAAATTTCTCGTACCCTTTTTCCCTCCGTCGATGGTGTTTGTTTTCTTTTATGTTATGCTGCCTATATCACTAGATCCTTTGTTACTGAGAAACCCTTGATACTGTGTGCAGGATCGATTCCCTCTCTGTATTACCTTCATCATTCACGTCACAGGATGCAAACAAGATGTTGCTTCTTTGTCCCTCTGTCCAATCAGCTCTCAAGGTGGGATTTTGATCAAATTTGATAACTAGTCGACACTCTCTTGCAATAAAGTGCTGATTTATTTGTCCTTTCAGGCTGAGAAAGCACTTATCTTGGGCGAATCCTATGTCCTAAGCAGTGGGTTTGTCAAGGTAAACATATGAAATGGAGGGTATTATTAGTAGTTTCCTTGCAAGCTGTTGTCTTTGCCATTTGGTTTCTTCCATCTGAACTATGCCTTAGTTCGACCTACTAATGTTTAGGGCATATATGATCAAATTGAGAAAGAGGCAGAAGCTTTTAGCATCCAAGCTTCTACTGCTAGTTTGATAGATCCTTCAAGCAAATCGTCCGAGTCGACAGAAAGCGTACCTGCTAATACAGATAAAGGGTCAAAGAAGAAAAAAGGAAAGTCTGTCAGCACGAAGGCAGCTACCGTTGAAACTGTTCCAGATGATGAAGAGGATGCCCGTCCAAAATCTAAGAGAAACCAGAAGAAAGGCAGGGATTCATCGTCATCACAGAAGTTGGATTCAAAAGCAGGAGGCAAGAAAGAGTCGGTTAAGGCGCAAGAAAATAATAACATTATTCCGCCAGACGAATGGGTGATGAAAAAGATCGTCGACTCTGTACCTGAATTTGAAGATGATGGTACATCTGAGAACTTTTTCTTATGTACACATAATAAAATGATGTAGCTGAATTTGGAGCCCACGTGATAAACTATGGGGTTTCTTTGCAGGTACAGAGAACCCAGATTCGATTCTTAAGCATTTAGCTGATCATATGAAACCTATGCTCATTAATTCACTGAAGGAGAGAAGAAAGAAAATCTTCACAGAAAATGCAGATAGAATGAGGCGCTTGATTGATGATCTGCAGAAAAAGCTTGATGAGGTTGAAACCAACTGCTTCAACTATAGTTTAATATTTCGCTTGACTACCAACGTCTCCCCTCTGTTTCTCATCTTGGAGCTGTTGCAGTGTTACTCACCACTAGCACCCAGCATGATAGTATCTTGTGACCTTATTTTTCTTGGATTTTCTTTTGGCAGTCTTTCCTAAATATGCAGCTGTATGAAAAAGCGCTAGAGCTTTTCGAAGATGACCAATCTACTTCAGTAAGTACTTTCAGTCATTTTGCAAGCCACGCTCTTACTACTCAAAGAAGCTAGTCTGTAACACTTTCTTTTCTTCTGGTCGTAGGTTGTTTTACATAGGCACCTGCTGAGAACAACAGCAGCTACAATCACTGATACACTTCTTCATGGCTTGGTAGGTCAAAAATAAAGTGGAGTTTGTAAGGCCATCTTCATACTGATTTAACTAATCATGCTTCGATTATCAATACAGGACATCCACAACAAACTGAAGAATGGTACTGAAGTTGGAGAATCCAAGACGCAAGATCAAGTTCTGCTTGATTCTTCTGAGAGAACAGCCCTTGTAATGCAAATTTGATTACTAATCTAACACTAGTACTTTATTGTTGCACTTTTTTTTTTTTTATTGTGAATAGTTCTACCCAATAGTTGAGTCTCCCATGTTTCCTCTCTTTTGGGACAGGCTAAGAATCTCAACGGTTCACTTTCGAAAAAGGCTTTTGCACTAGTTGAGGCATTGGAAGGAAAGGTTAGATCTTCGTTAACAGATAGTTTTCTTTTCCTTACAGTTGAAAACATACTGCATGTGAAAAAGTGGTTACCTATTTCTTTTTTGTTCTTCCATCTCGATTCCTCTTCTCCATGTTAATATACAGATAAAATATGGATGTGCACATAGCCATATATAGCTATGGAGTCAGAGAAAAATCTTTATTATAACTTAGGCCTGATCCATTTTCTCCTACCTAGTTAATAACCCTCTTAAAGGGTGGTTACACTTTGGTTCTTATAGTGAATACATTCTAAGCGCCATTGATGGGATTATTTTTGTTTCAGCGTGTAGACACTTTCATGATCACTTTCAGAGATCTGGCAGAGGAAAGGTATTACAATTCTTTGAGGAATCTCTGAAGCAACTCTGCTTGGTTTTCTCACTGGGTTCGAACTGAATGTTAACTATATTTCTGCAGTGGATTGGTCTTGAAAAAGCTTGACAAAAAACTGGAAAGGACACTTCTACATTCATATCGTAAGGTATGTACCACACCATGCGGTTGTTTCTATAACTTTATCATCTCCCCATCACTGCTTTTTATCCCTTCAATGATGATGTTATCTGTGGTTGCAGGATTTGATATCTCAAGTTTCTACCGAATCAGACCCTGTTGCACTTCTTGCTAAAGTTGTCTCTCTCCTTTTTATTAAGGTACATATCCATGTTCGTGTAACTATATTCTGTGCTCAAAATCCAGATTTAACTTATGGTTGGAAAATTGTCGCCAGATTCACAATAAAGCTTTACAAGCCCCTGGTAGAGCCATTGCTGCAGCTATTTCACACTTGAAGGTATTACAACTTAAGGAGAGATTCGCAATAACCTATAATCTTCTCTCTCGATCATTCGTATATTCCTCTTTTTTTGCATTCACCGGCGTCTAGTTGTTCTATACTATATCTTGGCCTTCCTTAATCCTTATTACATCTGTTTCAAACCTTGTAGGATAAACTTGATGAATCTGCGTACAAGACTTTGACAGATTACCAAACAGCAACTGTAACTCTTCTTGCTTTAATGTCAGCTTCATCCGGCGAGGTTCATATCCTTCTCTTGTTTTGTGGACTACAAATGTTCATTGGAAATGCAGCCGATTAAATCTCTACAGTGAATGATCTCTAAAACCTATTCCATTAACATGTACAGGAACATGACTGCTCCGCAGACAGAATCTTGACCAAACGGGAATTTCTCGAGAGCCAGATGCCATTGCTTAGAACCCTCGTCCTCGGCGACTCACAGCCACAACAACCCTAATCCTACAAAGTCAGGCCGACAGGTTCCCTTAGTGTTCTGCTGATAAGACACAGGTCGATGCACTTAAAACTTGTTAGGATTAGGAGAAATGACTCATGTTTGGAGAATACTGTTACAACCTTTATATTCAAGAGATTTTCATAGTTCGATCTTAACTATCAATGGATGCATCTATATTTCAAAACACTCTTTTATTAAGATTTACTTATATTGATACAACGAGATCGGTGATTACAAGAAAAAGAAGCAGAAAGGAAAGTCACAAGCATTTATTTTACACTATCACACATTATTGTCTCTAGCTTTCCAACTTCAAAGTTACTCTTAACCAGAGATATCAATGGACTTGACCTCAGGCTTACTCTCCGGCACTTTCGGCACCGTGACCGACAACACACCGTTCTCCATACTCGCCTTCACTTCCTCCACTTTTGCATTCTCTGGCAACCTAAACCTCCTAACGAACTTCCCACTTGACCTCTCCACACGGTGCCACTTGTCACTCTTCTCTTCATTCTCACTGCTTCTCTCACCGCTTATCTGAAGTATGTTCCCATCTTCAACCTCCACCTTCACCTCTTCTTTCTTCAACCCCGGCACGTCCGCCTTGAACACATGCGCTTCAGGTGTCTCCCTCCAATCCACTTTAGCGTTTGTGAACGCTGCCACGTCCTTAGCCGGTGCGTTTGCCAACCCTGACGGCGTCAAGAATCCTTCGATGGGGTCCCATACGTCTAGTGAGAATGGGTCGAACACATTTGTTCTTCGGCCTCCCAAAAAGCTCGGAATTAGAGACATCGTTTCACTTACTCTTGCCGTTTGCTCTGTTTTGTTTTGCTTTCCTATGAACTCTTTCACTCTTTTTTGATGCAAACACTTATGTGCCTTGGCATATTTATAGGGAGAAAAGATGGGAGAGTAGAGAATAAGAGACAGAAAGTTCTGCAAGTTTCTTGAAATTTCAGGTTCTTCTTTTCTTTTCTTTTTTAACGTTTTGTCTTTTAACAGCGTCGTCGCTACCAGACTTCTCAGGTGACTTCAAGAAGTTTCGATGTTGATGGGTGAGACGACATGCAGTTCATCAGGTGGGGCAGGGAACGCCATGTCGTTTTATTTTAACATGGGCTTCGTTAATGGGCTTTAATACACCATGCAATTAATCACATGTTTACGGTAATGAACACTTATCTTTTTTGTTGCTAAACTAAAGGGTTATTGAACGTGAGAATTAAATAGAATATCTAAACAAAAAAAGAAGTAAAAAAACAATGCCTACCATTTATTTCAAATTCTATTACTTTTTTTTGTTCCATTAAATTCAATTATTGAATAATCCCTTTTTAAAATGTTTTCTTAAGAAGAAGATAATAAGGAAAAAATAGTAAAAAGTAAAAAAAAATGGTATTATTGAAAAGAAGATGAGATTATTATTTAACCATATACTAGATCATTGACCCGCACGTACGTGCGGGGTTTCATATTTTAAAAAATTTCTAACAAAATTTAATATAGATTATTTTGTTGTTTTTTATGATATATATTTTAGTGTATTAGATCTGGATCCACGTACGTGTAGAAATATTTTTATAGAATTTGTTATATATAGATTTTAAAAATATAAAATATTTTGTTGTGTTAGTGAACTTCGTAATAGTATAAATATTATAAAGTTAGAGTAATGAACAAAATTGAGTTGCGTTAATGCATAATTATATTTTAAGATCCGGACTAATTTAGTTACAAAAGTTAAATGGTGTTACATTTTTATATTCTTAACTAATCAAAACAGTTCTAACAGTTTGATTACATATGTTAAATATGATATGAATTCGGTTTTAGTTTGGGTTATTTCATGTATATTAGCTAGGCGTATCTATTTTGGAGCTGGAAACATATCCCGTCAAGTATATGTCATAAATTCTTTGTCCCATAATCTGCTCTTTCCTTATAATGAACTAATTAAAATCTTCCATTGATAATTTTTTTTAAAAAGATAGTGTTTTTAATTTTGAATTAAAATGCTTACCATGTGGTTGATCCCACATTAAGTGCTTACCATGCACTTATGCAGAGTCATTCCTACCATAAAAATTTATCTAAATTTGAAAATAATAGTATAAAATAGAAGAAGATGCAATTTGACTGATATTTTAAAATTTGATATAATAATAATCATTTTATTTTTGTCAACTATATGATAATGTGGGGGTGTAATTCGAAGTGCTCTAAGCCACCGTTGGCCTTTGCTTCTCTGATCTTGCGTTCATGCCAAGTCAATACAATTTTTAATTGTTAACTCACATTTCTTCGACCACTTAAATTTTCCAATTAAATTAATTTAAACAGTCCAGAATAAATAAATAAATTTGAAAAAGTCTTTTTTTTGATGTTCATCGACCACTTATGTACACTAAACCGACCACCATTAGTATCATAGTATATGAAGTATTATGAACCAATCTCTTCTTGCTGAGATCAGAAGCAAACATGGCGAAATTGTCCGACTTGTTTAGTTTAGAATCTTTAGATATCTTTGGGTTCCTCATTGTTACTTATAACTCGAATTCTTCATAAATAAATTAAAAAACAAATTTGTGGAAAGAGAAACCCTAAAAACGGCGGAAAAGAAACAATGAAAGCGAATGGAAACTGAAAATTTGAAGAGAATCGAAGGAAATATGGATGAGGTGGCTTGCTTTGGATTTGATAAAAGGATTAATTTTGGGAAGAAGAAGATGTGGGTCAAAATCGGATTTAATTTGGTTAAAATCGGACTAAGATGGAGAGATAAAAAAAAATATATATATATATTGGTGTAGTTTTTTTAAGAGCAAACTTTGTGATAAATAGAAAGAAAAAAATTTTGTGTAGGAAGGAATAATGCAGCGACGACCCTAAAATAAGTAAATGATATTAGGAAATTATATTTATATATTACTCGGATACATGACATTCATGATTAGAAAAATCACAAATCAAAAACAAAAATCATTGGAAACATATAAAGTTCAAGGTAAAAACATTTTATTTTACATGATGTTCAAAGTCATTGCGCTACGTACTGGTTCATTCCAATCAAGTCGTCGATCTCTCCCATGTCTATTTCATTTGTAGGTTGGTTTGAGTCGTTGTCCATCTGTTGTGTGGACAGAGTTGACGCTCCAGTCTCCATATTAGCCACTATCAAAACATTTAACTAGCTAGATCAGTAGATAGAGATTAGCCATGAACAAAAGTTCATATATCTTTTAAACAAATGGATCAAGTATACACAAATTCACAACAAGACTTAATGTATAGTATAATACCTGTGGACGTAGGCATAGCAAGGGCTTGCAGCCTCACTTTGCGACGATTAGCTAAGATTATAGCGATGAACACATATGCGAAAAGAACAAACGCTATCGCGGATACCACACCAAGTATTATTGGCAGTTTACTGCTCTTTCCTTTGGTTGATCCATCTGACCGATATCAAATGTAAATTTTTTTACTTGCATAATTAATATGCACAATTAAATGTTTTTTTCTCCATAATATTTGTAGGAGGGTAATTTAGCACCACACGGTGAACTCGACTTAAACCAAGAATAAACCGAGTCTTTGGGCCATTTTTAAGACTCGGCCTTATGGAAAAACCCATTTGAGTCGAAAATAGAAGGATCGAAACGGACCTAACGGAAAATAGAAAGATTAACTCGAATATGCTCTAAATATTGCAAAAGAGAAAAGAAAAGAAGATCTTGGCTCAAAAAATATAGAAGGAAAGCATATTTGAAGACCTAGAAGAAGAAGTATCTTATTATAAAGGAGTAGCCGACAAGAAAGGGATCCACAATTCGCACCTCAAGAACCCTAGATATGCAACTTGCAAGGAAAAACTCTAATTTGTTATCAAAACTAGTTAGATCTCTTTGTAATTTCGTTGACCTTGTTCTTGGGATCAATAAGAAAACGACTTTCTTAAATTCTACTTTTCCATATTTCAACTCTCCGGTGTACCTGTGCTAATTCTATTCGCACAATATTCATGTTATGATTACTTAGAGCTTTCATTTAATATTAACACCCCATAAAGATAACATGTTAAAATGGATAGAAAGATCCAAATACAAACCTGGACTCACTTCATTGCTCCCTCCAGTTCCTCCTTTACTAGTCCCACCGGAGCCTTAACATCAAAATAAAATTCAGTGTATATCAAATTACATAGGTAACTATTTTTTGTTTTTTTAGTCAAACTTCATAGGTGATTATATAATCTTAAATAAAGTAAAATCTTGTTTGTTTTGGTAATTCGTGTTTCTATGTCGAAAAATAGACTAATCCACTAAAAATGCATTCTAAGAAAACAAACCAGATCCGGATCCACTGCTCCCAGATCCTCCTCCTCCACTTCCACCTGATCCTGATCCTGAACCGCTTCCGCCTCCGCCTGCGCCTTCGCTTGTACCCTTACTTATCACATAAAGCTCGGCCGCATTTATCATGGGCGGTAAAAGCGCACTAGCAGTGGACCAGAACGTCAGTGGGGTGCTTGAGCTGGCCACCACATCTCTCACGACCACTTGCGTGACTTTTCCAAACACAGGCACAACTGGACTCTTACCAACTTGCTTACCACCAAAGAAAATGTTGAAAGATCGTAAACTCGACTGGAGAGGCTCCGAGAAATACATAGCCAAGTACACCGGAACTCCTTCCAAAGGAAGAGTAGGGTCGACTAATGATAAGCCTTCCCCGGTCCAAGAGTTACGGAGGACGGACTCAGGCGGCTTGTTTGATGCACCAGAGGTATCGATCGACACAGCCGTGGACGGTAGTCCGGTCACCAATATGTTTATATCGGATGGAAGCCAAAATCTACCATGAAGATCCGATCTAACCAAAAAAAAAAAAAGATCTTAAACCCGACTAGCTATTAAATCATGTATTTTATCAATCTCCCGGCCAGTTGACATAATTATGGACTTATGGTTGATTATATTATGATCTGATCCTGTAGTTTAAAACATATTAAAAAAAAAGTTCACTTTTTCTCAATATTTTTGCAAATTGTAAACCAAACGGATTTTACTTCCATTTACAAATAAAATTTTATTTTTTCTAATTTAAACACTAGAAATTGCTGTTTAATTTCATTTATACAAAAAAAACTAATTGAGACCTATGTTTATGCTACTTATATAATTGGATATCGATTACCTTAGAAATTCTGTTGCACCATACGCACGTCGTTGTTGGTAAAATAAACCTTCACCAGGACCAAGCTCGTTATACATGCCATCGTCCAAGTCGGAAACTTCAATGGAAGATACAAAAGGGTTTGATGATGGAGACGTACGTACAAAACAAACGCTAGTCTCTCCGCTGGCCGGAGAAAATATCAGCTCCAAAAGGTAAGGTTCGAACGCAGAGGATATCGATACGGTGCCTCGGTGTTTCCCTTCAAACACTACGTTGAAGGATGGGGTTGAGGACTTCCCGTCGTAATTCCCGTAGTAAAACATCGTTCTCACTAGAACTTTTCCGCCTTTTTTAACCGGAATGTTGGAGTAGCAATTAGAGTCGCCCGTGGGAAAGTACCGAAGTGTGGTGAGGGATTTCTCGACGGTGGTGGACGAAACGGTGGCCGACTCTCCGGATGTGATGAAGTCTTTGTCTCCGAGCCATTTTATGTTGTTGTTGTCTACGCCAGGCAATGACGTTCCACAGTCTATGTTTACGCCTGCGATTGATTATTCATGATGATTATGATGATCATGAACGCTAAGGATTAAATATATAATATTTTTTCCTAAAACTAGTTTTACCTATCCAAATTTGAGGCCAATTAATGTTGAGTTGTATACTAAAAACATCAAATAATTCAATTAATTCAATTAATTCACCCCCATTATATATATAAATTCATCTTATTGATCTATTGAACAATTTTTCATGAGTAATTAGTCGTTATGAATTTCCGTTGCAGATCATGTAAACAAAAGCCATATGACTCGATCCACATGATTAAGGGACATTGTTTAACGCTTATATGTGTGATGGATTTTGGTGATAATGCACAAGGCCGTTATGGATTCTGTGACCAGATGATAAGAATAGTCTTTTTAAACATTTTTTATGCGTCCCTTAAAATTATGTGGATTTTGTGACATAGAACAAACTTTAAAACATGGACAGAAATGAAAGAAAGAAACAATAAACAGAATCCCTTAATTATGTAGATCTTCATGCTACTAAGCTTACCTAATAGGATAAAGAAAGAAAAAAATTGAATTACGTGCGAAGCAAAAATACTTACTGGCAAGAGAGAGGGTTATGACGGAAAGAAAGAATAGAAGAAAAGGGAAAGCAGTAACCATGGCGGGAGCTAATTTTCCAACTAATGTTTTAAAATTTAGATAGAAACCCGAATATATGTACATCATTTGTGTATACTTATATATGTTATCCTAGTTGAGCTGTCTATTAGTATTTTAAAACCAAGTTGAAAATGAAATCTAGCAAACAAAATAAAAAATGAGAACATTCCTTTAGAGTTTTGACCTATTTTTATTTTCCAGCGAGGAAACAATTGGTTCTTGAAGAACGGGCAATTACAAAATATTTACAACATGCATTTTGATATTGATATATTTCCAACTCATGCTAACAAGTTAGGAAATTTAAGTCCAATGCCAATCTTAACTTTTGACATTAGGTATACACAATTTGAGATCTTATATTACCAAAGAAAAAAAAAGGAATAACTTGAGGCCTTGTGATCTAAAGGCGCAAATCAACTTAACCCCTTGATTATATTATAGAAATTCTAGACATTTTTAAGATCACAAGGCCTAAATTACCTAGAAATATCGTTCTAGAAATTGAGTCATCCAACTAGATTAACCTCTATTAACTAAATTATGAGAATCCTAAATTTTCGTTTGAATTAATTCAAACAGAATTATGGCAAACGGTTTCTTAAATACTCTCCTGATAAGACCGATTGAGGTCACTACCCTAAAACTTAAGGACTAGGAGAAAGCGACTAATCTTTGCAGATTTTTTGTTTTTTTTTGTTTTAAGGTAAATTTTGGAGAATTGTTTTATTTATTTTGGAGAAATCGACTCATGTTTGCAGAATTTAGCTACACCCCTATTATCCCAACCTATTTTATTTGCATTGTTCGATCTGAATAACCAATTGCGGCAACTATATTTCAAAACACTCTCTCATTAAAATTTACTTATTGATATCACCATATTCATTACTACAAAACAAGATAAACGAAAAAGAGAAAGGATAATCACACATTTTTGTCATATTTATTTCACATATCACACATTTTTGTCTTCAACTTTCAAAACTTCAAATTCCCTCTAACCGGAGATATCAATGGACTTGGCCTCAGGCTTACTCTCCGGCACATTCGGCACCGTAACCGACAACACGCCATTTTCCATACTCGCCTTCACTTCCTCCACCTTTGCATTCTCTGGCAACCTAAACCTCCTAACGAACTTCCCACTTGACCTCTCCACACGGTGCCACTTGTCACTCTTCTCTTCATTCTCACTGCTTCTCTCACCGCTTATCTGAAGTATGTTCCCATCTTCAACCTCCACCTTCACCTCTTCTTTCTTCAACCCCGGCACGTCCGCCTTGAACACATGCGCTTCAGGTGTCTCCCTCCAATCCACTTTAGCGTTTGTGAACGCTGCCACATCCTTGGCAGGTGCGTTTGCCAACCCTGACGGCGTCAAGAATCCTTCAAAGGGGTCCCATACGTCTAGTGAGAATGGGTCGAACACATTTGTTCTTCGGCCTCCAAAAAAGCTCGGAATTAGAGACATCTTTTCACTTACTCTTGCCGTTCGCTCTGTTTTGTTTTGCTTTGCTATGAACTCTTTTTTGACGCAAACACTTATGTGCTTTGGCGTATTTATAGGGAGAAAAGATGGGAGAGTAGAGAATAAGAGACCGAAAGTTCTGCAAGTTTCTTGAAATTTCAGGTTCTTCTTTTCTTCTCTTTATAACGTTTTGTCTTTTAACAGCGTCGTCGCTACCAGACTTCTCAGGTGACTTCAAGAAGTTTCGATGTCGATGGGTGAGACGACATGCAGTTTATCATGTGGGGCAGTGAACGCCATGCCGTTTTATGTTAACATGGGCTTCGTTAGTGGGCTTTAATACGACATGCAATTAATCACATGTTTACTGTAATGGACACTTATGTTTTTTGTTGCTAAACTAAATGGTTATTGAACGTGAGAATTTAATAGAATATCTAAACAAAAGAAACGTGAAAAAAACAATTCCTACCATTTATGTTCTGATTTGGATAGAATTAATTTATTATTTCAAATTCTATTACTTTTTTGGTTCCATTAAATTCTTTTACATTCAATTATTGAATAATCCCCTCTTAAAATGTTATCTTAAGAAGAAGATAAAAAGTAAAAAAAAAAAGTAAAAAGTAAAAAAAATATGTATTATTGTAAAGAAGATGAGATTTATTTAACCATATATTTTAAAAGTTAATTCTCGAATATATTACACTACTAAAAGTTTTTGTCAGAAAAATATCATCACTAGTTTTTCTCTTCCAAATAATACCACAAATACAATATTAAAATAAATCAAAGTCTCTTTTATAATGGTGAAAATATTTATCTAAATTAGAAATAGGAAACCCAAATATAATGTTTTAATTTTATTTGTAATTTATGTTGGTAATAAAATTCAATTTAGAGACTCACCATCATCACTAGGACCATCGTTAGGTTTTCTTTTTCGATTTTTTCTCGAACCATCCGTACTAACACAACTTCCATTTGTCATGTTCACAGTCCTGGATCTTGAATCCGGTTTAGATTAGTAGTTCTTCTTCTTGGTCTTTAAGACATCAGCTTGTTCAGGAAGCAACATGATTTGTTGAGGGACACTAAGATCTGTGTTCTTGTGGTTGTGCTCGGTCAATAATGTTGACTTACCGTTCCTCTTGTTGGTCAAAGCAAACTGGTAAATCTTTGTTAAGTCAGTGGTTTTATGGGTTTTGGAATGAACCTCATCACTCCACAACTTAAAGTCTCCTCTTCTTTGTTGGTGTCTGATGACATAACTTTATATCAAAAGAAATGTAAAGGGAAACAAATGGTTTAATATATCTTAAACTATAACCAAAAAAATATATATCATAATTTGATTGAAGTTATAAAGAACAAAAAATATTACTTAAGACCGGTAAGTTTCCAAATTCCTGAGTGATTTGTTTTTTGAGTTGTAGACCGTTCATGCCATGCATGTAATATTCTGTGATTATGAGATCTATATTTTCTCGATGAATTTTTAGAGTAGATAATGCTGTTTTTGGGTCGTCTACAGCTATAAATGTGATCTCTATACCCGATGGATCTAAAACCATTTAACCAAAATAAAATAATTAAACTAAAATATAATTGGAAAAAAAATTGCAAGTACTAAGAATTATTACTTTTTAATTGGTTTAACCTTTAAAAAAAGATAGGTTTTTCATAAGTTCTACTTATATTTCGTATGGAGGGCTTATATACGAAACACAAGTTTTACTTTTCCACATAGTTATGAAATATTTCACAAATTTGGAGAAAATTTCATAGCATATATAAGTCAAACATATTCTTTTAAATCACAACATTTTCATTGAAGTGTTTACAAATTCTTGTGATTGAAAGGCTAATTGGTTGATTACTTATAAGGAAATTCGATTTGAAGAATATCAACTAGTTTTAAAATAAGAAGAATTACATGTTGTTTGCAAACACGGTCTACAAATAATTTATTTTGAATTCAACACTAAGTTACTATTTTCTAAAGAAACTATTGTTCAATAATCTCCTAAAAAAATTTACATAGTATAAAGTATGGTTTGACAAAAAGAAAAGAAACTTTACATGGCATATTAGTTAGAATTTTTTATCAATCAAACTGTTCGTTTCAAAGTCATCAAAATAAGAATACCTTGAAATAGTAGATGTGTACATGTAAATGGAATTCGAATCCGGATAATTTAGAATAATAACTGTTAAATTTCAACAAGTTTTGTTTTTAAATCTGTAGTTGTTTCTCCAAAAATCGTATTTCATGCTAAAAAATAATAGAAAGAAAAATCTCAATGAAATCACAAACAAAAAAATCAATAATATATTATATATGATAATAAGATTTTACCTCTGTATTTGGACTTTTCAAGCATGCGTGACAAAATTTTAAGGAAAACACGATCATCGTCCACAACCATGACATTGATTCTCAAGACAAAGCTTTGGTTGTAGAAAGATTGAGCAAAAGCCATTCTAATAGTCTTTGTAAAGAGTTTTTTTTTGTTTTGTTTTTTCAAGTCTGTATGAACTATTTAGGTTGCACAAAACTCACTATTTAAAGGCGAGTAATGTAGACACGCAAATGCAACATATGGCAATATTGTACTGGTGTATATGTAAGTATTAATTGTTGAAAGAAATACTAATAATATAAGATAAATGAAAACTTAATTCTCTTTACTATTTTAATGATAATATTGAAAATTAAGAAAAGTTAAGAAAATTAGAAAAATAGATACAAACAAAATATTACTCATTGTGCTAATTAATTTAAAAAATCTAGACTAAGTTAAGATAAAATTAATGCTATTTACCAATAAATGTTTGGTAGATTTAACCTCAAAAAAAAAACAAAAAAGAAATTGGTAGTACTATAAAATATATGAATTTTTAGTGCATGTTTCTCCATATTTTTTCTTTCTTGTTTAGGATTGATTTCATATAGATTTTCTACTTCTTTGTTGGATTTGTGCTATAAAGGGAAGATATTGCAAAATTGTTTGCAGAAATTCTTAATAAATTATCATTTTTATTATTATTTCAAGATTAACTTTTATCTATAGAAAAAAATGATGTAGTTAAAATTTTCGATCCAGAAAAACCTAGTTTGTTCCATCTTTGATCTTCACATATACATAATGTGACTAACTAAGATTTAGATACACATTGAGTGTTCTGATTTTTATGTTTCTGAGTTTTGTATAAAGAAAAATATTTTTCGTTCACTTTTTGTAGTGATTATTTTTCGTTGTCTAATCTCATACCAAAACACGCATTTATTCCCGTGATTTTTTTGGAATAATCAGATATATTTACTATTTTTTTTTTTGACATCTTTGGATCGACAAGGCCCGATCCATAACCAATTCCTACTACGCGGGGTAACGCGACTTAGTGGAGTCGAACTCCGGTGGGGAAGGCGGAGTCAAGTGGACTTAACCACTTGACTAAAGGCACATCTCCCAAATATATTTACTATTTTGGTGGAATGAGTGAGTGATATTTGAGGTATTGACACGTTAAAGAGAGTTTTGGAGTTGACGGGGATTCATCAAAGCGCGCGGTCGGAGTGTTGTTTGTATCTGTGCCATTACGACGGTTAAAAAAACAATTTGAAAGAATTTTTTTTTAGGGTACTGATTTGCTCTGATACCAGTGGCGGAGCTAGAATTCAAATTTACCGGGGTCAAAATATAAAAAAATTATTTTAATAAAATAGATGTGGTTGTTTTTTTTCTTCAAATTATATTGCATATAGCTTATGTGTTTTTATTACATTTACAAAAATAATATTCGGATATTTCTAAAAAAAATTTGTTTGTCTAAAACATGATAATTAATATACATAACTATAAATGGAAGAAAACTTAAAATAGATAAAAGCAAAAATAATAAAAGTAAACGATATAGTGAAATACATGTAATTAGATTTATAATAATTAAAGAAAAAGTAATATGCTATTAAATTACATGATAACATCGTTCATAAAATTAAAAACAAAGAAACTTATATATAACAATTAGTGGTTAATATTAAAAAAGTTATGGTTTAAGGGGTCAAAAGAGTAGTTTTTATATTGGGCACTGGGGTCAATTTATAGGAATTTAATCAAATATATATGTATTTGTTTAAATATGTCATAGTATTAGTTTGATTTTGAAAATTCACCGGGGTCAGTTGACCCCCATGTTTCTATGCTACCTCCGCCACTGTCTGATACCATATAAAAATGTAATGTGAATAATATTATGAAGTGAACATGTACAACTATATATAGGAATACAAAGTAGAGATTAGGAATTGACTGTTTACATAAACACCCTTAATACACATTTGATATCTCCTTTACGCAATTATGGTCGAATTCTTTGCCCCTTTAATATTTATTAATTGTTATATTTCCACCAGCTATATTATTTTCACCAGCTATATTATTTCCACCAACTGCCATAAACAGTACATAGTCACAAACACGTAGACATTAAATAACATATATATGCTTACATAAATAGATATTCAAGTAAACATTGATATACGGAGTTGATGATAGTTGAATACCTTGTGATTTGTGTTGTCGCTTGGGTTTGATGATGCATCTCCAGATGGCGTAAACAAAAGCACCAACCATACATACCGGAAGTCCAATTCCAAGGGGTAAACTCAGGTTGTTGCTTTTGTCACCTCCCGAGTCACCTGGAGAATTTTGAAACCCAAACTTTATATTATATTTTGTATATTAACACGGTCTAGCATATATAACTAATTCAAAAGACTCTATTAACGTTATCTAAATTCGTTAATGTATCCTAATTGATCTAGGAATGGTGTTCTATGCTTGGTTTATAATTTCTATAACAAACCTCCAGGTGCACCTGTTCCTGTTCCTCCTCCACCACCTGTCCCTGGTCCTCCTCCACCACCTGTTCCTGGTCCTCCGTCTCGGCTTTTATTCTTACTTATCACATAGAGCTCCAATGCATTAAGAATCGGCGGAGAATTCGAGTCAACCGTAGACCGAAACACCAGCATGGAGCTCGAGCTGGCCAAGTCTCTCAGGACGATCTGAGTGGCTTTTCCGAACACTGGCACTACTGGATCCTTATTCACTTGCCTGTCATTGAAGAAAATATTGAACGATCGTAAATTAGACTCGACAGGATCCGAGAAATACATTGCCAAGTAAACGGGAACTCTAGCAGAGGGAAGAGTCTGATCGGCTCCTAGTGTTAAACCCTCCCCTGTCCAAGATGTCCGCAGGATGGACTCTGGTGGCTTGTTCGATGCATCGGAGGTGTCGATTGTTGCAGATGTGGACGTTAATCCGCTGTCCCAAGGGCCGGGTGATGGAATCCAAAACCTACCGTGATCATCCGATCTAACCAGAAAATAAAGACAATACCGTTAGGTGCTTTTCCTTGAGTTATTTCTTTGGCCAAAAAGACTTGTTCTAGAATATTTTGTCTCTTCTCTCTTTTGTTTTTTTAAATATAGATAATGCTTTTCAAAATAGTATACCAAATTTGAAATTGAATCAAATGATGACTTAACCAAAAGGTTAGCCGCAACAACCAGCACCAAAAAATAAAATAAATAACCAGCATGTGAATCAATCTTAGGTTTTCAAGATATCTGATATATTCATAATTCAACTATTCGGATCATTGTGGAATCCAAAATTCTAAATTTTCAAAAATATATTTAAATGTAATCTATATATAATAGCAATCTCAATAAATGCCTTTTGCACTTGTGAACGGTTGTGTCTTTTTATCGACCTTTCGTTTAAATATTTACGGTTATTTTTTTTCGGTTGTATATTTTTATCGCATATTTTCATTGAAATATTTACAGATATTTTTTTTACAGTTGTGTCTTTTTATCGTGTCTCTTCGTTAACATATTTACGGTTGTTCTATAGTTATATTTGTTCAATTATAGTTGTATATTTTCAGTTTACGCTTGTGTCTCTATTGTTGCATCTATTCATTTAAAGTTACGTCTCATATTATATAGATTTAAATTTTAACTAAAATATATATTTTACGGTTGTTTTTTTCAAAAAGTTGCAATCCGAATAAATATTTTCTACGGTTGCATCTTTTTATCGTAAGACCTCATAACCAATTTTGATTGTTTAGTTAAACCATTGCAACATTTACTTTATTTAGCGAACAATTGTAATTTTTTATTTATTTGGTAAATCGTTAAAATATTTAATTTTTTCAAAACTAAAAATAAATATGTTACAGTTGAATTTTTTTAGAAAATTGCGATCTGAATAAATGTCTTCTACGGTTGCGTTTTTTTATCGTAACTTTTCGTAAACGGTTGCAACCGTTTTGTTGAACCATTGCAACATTTAGTTTATTTCACGAACAAATGCAACTCTTGGTTTATTTTATAAACCGTTATAACATTTAATTATCTACAGTCACATTTTTGGTGTAACTTTTTATAAACTATTATTTCAATTTTAGTTACCAAAATGTATTTGAATAAAATTATAACCGTTTAATTGAACCGTTGCAATATTTGGTTTGTTTAACAAATTATTGCAACTTTTGGTTTTGTTTTATGAACCGTTGTAATCTTTAGTTTATTTGACGAACCGTTGCAATATTTGCTATATTTGACAAACGATTGCAATTTTTACTATAAATGATATCTACGGTCGCGTCTTTCGGTTATAGTTCTTCATTAAAATTTTAATTTTAATTACTATTTAAATGAATATGTTGCTACCGTTTAATAGAACATAGTAACATTTAGTTTATTTGACGAACCAATGAACATTTTGGCTTATCTGATGAACCGTTGTAGCCTTTGGTTTATTTGATGAACCGTTACAATATTTGATATATTTGATGAACCATTGCAACTTTAGTTTATTTGATGAATTATTACAACTTTAGGTATATTTGATGAATCGTTGCAACATTGTCTTTTGTATACATTTTTGAGAGCATTAACTAAAGTTTTTTTTTTTTTTGAACAAACCATTAACTAAAGTTATATACATGTTTATTTAGAATATTATCTTGTAACCATGTTTTATTTGTGTTTTTCATCAGAAATACTTGGTTCCAATAATTGTGTCTTTTACAAACAATTTTTTCTATTTAAACTTTCGTTTCTTTTTAACTCTATATATATATATATATATATATATATATATATTTAAAAAGAGGTGTAAATTTATTATTTCTTTTTGTTTGATATTTTTCATAAAAAGTTACATTCTTTGCTATTTAACATTCATGTATATACATTGTTATCTATATCATTATTATTATTTTTTGTTAAAGTTTTCCGAAAATTGTCTCTTTTTAACATAATACAATTGAAAATATTGCGTCTTTTATCGTAATATTTTGATGAATATATTTATATAGTTATATTTATAATAGTTTAGAAAATTGAAAATTTGCATCTTCTCATTATAACTTTTTGTTTAATATTTTATATTTATGATCGCATCTTTTCACCATAATATTTTCTAATAATACAAATCTTAAAAAAATGTTTTTGAGGGTTTACGTCTCTTTATCATATTTTTTTATAAAATATATCTTTATTTATTGTTAAAAAAAATTGTTTAGAAACTTGTTGTCTCAATTTGTTATGACATTTCGTTTGATATTTTTTTCTTTAAAAGTTTTTGAAATCTTTTCCCCCGCGACATCGCGGGGGGTCTAAGTCCTAGTAACTACAAAAATCATAATAATAAATAATAATATGATTTTTTAATAAACTCTAACAAATTGTATAAAAGGTCAAAATATTTATATTATATATGAATACATATCATGACATAATTTTTTCTTTCCAAAATATAAATATTAGTTGATGCTAATAATTGTGATAAAAAGATCAAAAATGGATGTAGATATATAACATATCATATTATTGATTAAATTTTCTACTTCATCATTACTTTGATATATTTATGTATGTACACATTTATATGTACCTTATAAGTGATCTTGATCCATACGCAAATCGTGCTTGGTAAAACAAAGCTTCGCCAGTACCTAGTTCGTCATACATCCCAGCGGCCAAGTCTACAACTTCAATGGACGATACAAAAGGATTTGAATCCCGCGACGTGCGGACGAAACAAACGCATATCTCTCCACCATCCGCAACAAATATCAGCTCCACGACGCTAAACTCAGACATTGAGGATAAAGTGACGGCCCGTCGGTGTTTCCTGTCAATCACAACGTGGAAAGTTGGGTAGGACGCCTTCCCGTCGTAATTCCCATAGCGAAAAATCGTTCGTACTAAGACTTTCCCGCCTTTTGTGACGGGAATGTTGGTGTAGCAGTTGGAATCGCCGGTGGGGAAATAGCGGAGGGTTGTGAGTGATTTCTCGACGGTTGTGGATGCAACAATAGCAGTCTCTCCGGCCGTGATGAAGTTTGTGTCTCCGATCCATGTTATATTGTTGCTATCTACGCCTGATCCAGTTGATGTTCCGCAATCTATGTTTACACCTGAAATTGATCACGTACGTCATGGTGATGAAAGCTGGCATATCAATTAAAACGAATATGATTTATTTTAGTTTGGGATTTTAACAAATCTTTTATACGAAGGAGCAGAAAACTGTTAGAGAAAGGAGCCAGAAAAATTATTGTAACAGATTTTCTTAATTAATAATCTTCAAATATGTAGCCCGCCTAAACAATCTTCTACTTCTAGCGACGATTAAACTAAATTCTAACGAATTTATACGTTAACCACAGTTACAGTAGCTAAATAAAGAGCAATTTTCGAAAATACCATATTTTTAAGTTGTTCCAATAACCAGTACTAGTTCTTTTTTCTATCATCATCAAAAATTACCATTACTAATTTTTTCTTCTAATAATGTCACAAATTGAAATTTCAAAAATAAAAATAAAAATATCACAAATTCAATATTAGAATGAATCAATATCTCCTTTTAAATGGTGGAAATATATATCCTAATTAAATTGAAAATAAAAATCCTAAATTAGGTATTGAACTGAACTTATGCTATATATTGTAGGTTTTCTCGTATTGGTCAAAACTCGAGACTAAGTATATATAGGTTCTTTTGGATATTTCAACTTGTCATGACCACTTAGTTAGTACACCCATTCAAGTCATGATCTTAATAGCTTTTTTGATAGTATTAGTAGTTAGGATTAATTAATTTGAACTTCGCATCATCTAAAATTTTTAGATCGTCATGTGAATGATAGACCGATCCAAAACAAATGATAAATGATATTTCACTTGATAATCAAATAAAATACATATAATTTGAAGTTTTATAAGAAATTACTCACTGGCACGAGAGAGACTTATGATGGAAAGAAAGTGCAGAATAAAAAGAGAAGCAGCAACCATGGCGTGGCTCGTTAGGAATATTGCTGTTACCTACGATATATAATACACACCATTATGTGCAAATGGGATCTGTACTTATACAGATGAACTAGTTGGCTTTTAATATCTTCAGACTAAGTTGGGGAAGTAATCAAACAGGAGAACATTCATATTGAACTTTCTATCTTTTGAGCTAATCAAAAGAAGGGAAATATCAATGGATATGCTCAGAAGATCAAATAATTAAGTATGTATGCATGATTTTCTTTTAATTAAGTGGACAAGAGAGAGATTGATCTTTTGACAATTTTACCCTTTTATTCTACACACCTAATTACTTATCCGATTATTATTTTTGTTAGCGTTTACATAAAATATACATATTTCTTCTACACACCTAATTACTTATCTGGTTATTATTTTTGTTAGCATTTACATAAAATAAAGTAAAAATGGAGAAGACGAAGAAGACGGAGTGAAAATGGAGAGGTCAAAGAGGTGGGCAAAGAATTTAGGGATGAAAATTATTGTTTAGTAGTTTAAAGTAAAAATGGAGAGGACGAAGAGGTGGGGAAAGAAGAAGAAGAAGAGAGAAAGTAATGAGGTGAACTTGGGATGGAGTTGCAGGTGATAATGGAAGAAGAAAAAAATCTGGGAGACATGATGACAGAGGAAGATACTCGAGAAGAGAAGAATTTTTTTTTAACATCCATGATAACATATAAGTTAACCGTGATAAATAAATTATCATGATAAATAAATATGCTAATGCATAAGTTAACAGGAATGAATAAATTATCGAAATAAATAAACATATTATTATATAAGTTTGTAGATAATAATCATATAATAAATATATTAGCACGATAAATATAATTTTACCATACAACATGTAAAGTTATCATGATATAATATAATTTATATTACTAAATTACATAAATAATCACCAAAATCACTATTTTTTATTACATCTCGTGATGAATAAAGTTTTCGATATTTGGCTGAACAGTGTTTTTACTTTTTAGTTATCGCGATACAATTTGATTTACATTGTTAATAAAAAAGATAACCACACAAATCATTATTTCTTTATTTCTTCCAATGACGAATAGTATTCTTTTATAAAATAAAGGGTAGTTTTGGTATTAATTGAGTCAGAGGAAATAGAACTAAAAAAAAGAAAAGCATGGATAGATTTTTAATTTTTCAGTCTTCTATGCATATCAATTAATATAGCCCTCAAAAGAATTGGTTCTTCAATAACTTGCAGCTTTTAAAATTTCAACAAATAATTAATAGATTTAAGCACAACCGCTCATGTCAGGAAGTTGACAACCATTTTATATATTTAAACACATGCGACCAGGTAAATGGTGACATTGTAATAAGGTTAATTAAGTGACTTAAGTCTAATGGAATCTGCCTCCCAAAAAGATTCCGAAGATTGTTGATAAAGGTCGATATGACAATTTAGGAAGTTTACCTTCAATTGTAAATGTATAATTTACATTTATATTTATTTTAGATTAGGACACTTACGTGGATCATGTGGTTTATCTGGAAGGCACGCAACTCAAAAGTTTTTGAGAATACGGATATTCACCCTGCTGACACGGTTCAGCACGCTTTCAAGGAGGCCGAGTCTTTTCGAGTAGCTAGAGCCCGAGAAACGATCCTTAACCCCCAACCGGGACCGGTTCTCCAAGATCATCACCCGAATGACTCTATTATCTGCCGGATAGATGGATCTTGGGTGGAGTCTTGTACCCTGAGTGGCATTGGTTGGATTGTGGAGTCAAATGGAAATATGCAACATATTGGCTTAAGGAGTTTTCGTCGGTGTTTATCCCCGCTTCACACGGAGTTTGAATCCTTACTTTGGGCAATGAGGTCGCTTACTACACTCTCTATTTTTGATGCTGCCTTTGAAACAGATTGCTTGGAGTTAACTCAAGTCTTAGACACTCCCGATGAGTGGCCTGCTTTTGCATCGGAGTTAAAAGATTTTAGCTCTTTGAAGTCTCTTTTTCCCTCTTTTACGTTATCTTTTATCCCACGCTGTAACAATACCCGTGCTGACTGCCTCGCAAAAAAGGCACGATCACGCGGTTTTATCTTTTCCCATGTAAGCTCTTCTTTACCGGACTGGTTTTCTCCAGAAGAAAACCGTCCGTTTCTAGCTTGAATGGATGAACTTATTTTGCTGTCAAAAAAAAAAAAAGATTAGGACACTTACGTTGATTACATCTATACTAGATAACAACCCGCACTATGTGCGGGATGAAGTGATTCAAGTAAAATTATTATGATTAAAAATTTTATGCAGGATCCAAGATCCGTTTGTGTAAAACAAAACATGTAATAATTTTTTTTATTTTTTTTTAATTCAAATTTGGGACTATTTCGTATATGAATACGTTTTACCCGTGAAATATTTGAACCTGGAATAAAGCTTCAACGTGATAAAGAAAATATTGACGAAATGTTACCATTTATGCTAATATGCCTTTCTATATGTTTTAAAGTTGTCGAGAATGATATATAAAAAAAAAAAGATGTCGAGATTTAAGTATAAGAAATCTAAAAATTTATCAAAGATGAGATTCGATAGTTTTCAAGTTAAGATTTTGTAGTGTTCCAAATTATGATTCTTAGATTATGAATGGATTACTACGAAATAGTTATAATGTGGCCAGATTTTAGTTTATAAATAAATGTGGTTAGTTTTTCTTCGAAAAGTTAGAATCCCTATAAAAAAATCGGATTTTAAGTATCGTAACATATATTGAAAAGAGATTATCTTATGTATTTAAGTACAATAGATATATAAATTTATGAAAGATGTAGAGATTTTGTAGTTTTGAATTCGAGATTCTTGAACCAAATGTATATATTTTATTATTTAAATATAAACATAAGTATAAATATAAATTAAATACAAAGATTGTTTACCCATCGGCTTGAGAAGATTTATATAAATGTATATAAAGAAAAATATAAATATAAAGATTTATTAATATAAGATAAACAAAAAGTATATGTTTTTAATTATTAAAAAATAGATCATTAATATAAATAAACAAAGCTCTCGTGAATTTTTGTTAAATATAAATATGAATATTAGTTGCCTAATTATTTGCTTTTTAGTTATAATTTTGTTTTTTTATTTGTGTGATATATGTATGTATTAAGACTAATGGCAAAATCTGTAAATAGTCTAGTAAAATTTGGGTAATAATTTAAATGGGTGGAAAATCACTCTGAAAGCGACACGTCAGCATGGCAGTTTAGTTAATAACACGTCAAAGTAAGGTTTATTTTTTAGAGTGCTTCTCTATTAATATATAAGGGATAAGAAAATGTAACTTGTATCTTTACTTGTATGGAAATCTAATTCAATTTTTCTTAAATACATTTTTGTTTTTTACTCTCATCAATTTATTATTATTACTAATAAATATGAGTGATTATGTACATTTCAACCCTATATATCATCACAATTCTAGCCAGTGGTCAAAAGGTATATTTTATACAGTTATACAGATTGGCTTGGTCCAAGTACGTAATCTCTTATTTTTATAATAGCTTTTGCTAATACTTAAATTTTCTGAATCTGTGAGGAAATGAATTTGTTAGTCGGAATGTATAGAAAAATAATTCAATTTCCGTGGATGTAATGTTTCAGTTGTAAATTGATTTTATCCAAAAATTAAATAATAGTAATTTATTTGGCAAGTTGGTCAACGACTAATTATTGTCAATGCCCCACATTCAATTAAATAATTAAGTTCGACAATGATACATTAACTAAACACAACTAGAGAATACGACCGCGCAAATAAAAAGAAGTTAATAATTTTCCGAATATACAGATATTAGGAACAAAGTTATATTACCACTCAGATTTAAATCTGCATAATGCATGTTTTTGAAAATTACAAATTTGAAAACAGAACTACAAAACTTTTGCCACATGGGTTGATAATTTAATGTTAATTAAATTTTTTATATGTTGATATTTATACAGTGTAATTTAACCTCTTAAAATGAATATTTTTTGTTTCTTTTCTATAGCTAACTTATTTCGATACATGTATTTAATACTACATGTTACTATTCTACAATTTCACGACATGCCTACATTGAACGAATCAATCGATTTTTATTTAATTACGCATTCATTAATTTCTTACCATTTATAATAAAAAAAATAACAAGCAAAGATTGATGATAAAGATACGAATAAAAAGCATCATCACAACTCCAATAAGCACTTTTTTGTTCTAACTCCTAAAGTATTAAGTGTTCTTCGTGCCGATAGTTTTTTTTTTTTTTTAATTATTTGTGCCGATAGGTTATGATCATGAGTTCATGACGCACGAACTTTGGCAAGTTTGGCTTACCAAAAAAAAAGAAAGTAATATAACATTAAGTACGGGTTATATCAAATATTATGAACTTTATATATCAGGATTCTAATCACAGTTGCATATAGATTCTCAAACACATCCATACACATTGTGGGCAAACAATAACAGAAATATAATCATAAATATTAACGAATTCAATATATTACATCTATGGTAATCGTTAACCGTGCAAGACAACATAATTTTATTCTTTCTTTTAAATTCAACTATTATTCATTATCTAAATTTTAAATGTTGGTGTTGGTCCCTGTAAGAATCGCGTTCTCACAACAATTTATTAAGTTAAAGCAGGGAAAAGTTACACTCTTTTCTTTTTTCATTTTTTGTTTTTTTATCTTTTTTTTTTGGTTAGTTACACTCTTTATTGAATTTTAACCAAGAACTCGAAGATTACACAGGATTTTTAGTGGTTTGATGAACAAGTTAAGGTTGAAGTTGTGGATCTCTTCTCGACTGAAGATCTAGAAACATCGGGAAATAAACAATGAAAGCAAGTGGAAATTGGAAATTTGAAGAGAATCGACCTATGGAAGGAAAGATGAATGAGGTGGCTTGCTTTGGATTTGAAAAAAGGATTAATTTCAGGAAGAAGAATATTCGGGTCAAAATCGGATTGCATTTGGTTAAAATCGGATTAAGATAGAGAGATAAAAATTAAAATTGGTGTAGTTTTTTTTAAGAGCAAATTTTCTTTGTGATAAATAGAAAGACGAAAAGTTTGTACGGGGAAAGTGAGAAGAAATAATGCGGCGACCCTAAAATAAATAAATGATATTAGAAAATTATAATTATAAATTACTGCCGATACATGACATCATGATCAGAAGAATCAAAATCTTACATAGAGAGAAAACAAAAAAATCATTGGAAACATATAAAATTCAAGGTAAAAACATTTCTTTTACATGATGTTCAATGTCATTGCGCTACGTATGACTGGTTCATTCCAATTAGGTCGTCGATCTCCCCCATGTCTGATTCATTTGTAGGCTGGTTTGAATCGTTTTCCATCTGTTGTGTGGACAGAGTTGACGCTCCAGTCCCCATATTAGCCACTATCATCAAAACATTTAACTAGTCACATCTCTTCTCTAGAGTAGATAGAGATTAGCCATGAACAAAACTTCATATATCTTTAGATAAAAATGGATCAAATATAATCACTCTATATATACACAAACACAAAGACTTACTGTATAATATATTACCTGTGGACGACGTAGGCATAGCCAAGGCTTGCAGCCTCACTTTGCGACGATTAGCTAAGATTATAGCGATGAACACATATGCGACAAGAACAAACGCAACCGCGGATACCACACCGATTATAATTGGCAGTTTACTGCTCTTTCCATTGGTTGATCCACCTGACCCAATATCAAATGTAATTTTTTTTTACTTGCATAATTAAATGTTTTTATTTTTCTGCATAATATTCATGTAATGATTACTGAGAGCTTTCATCTAATAATAACAAACCCATAAGATAACAAGTTAAAATGGATAAAAATATCAAACCTGGACTCACTTCATTGCTCCCTCCAGTTCCTCCTTTGCTACTCCCACCGGAGCCTTAACACAAAAATAAAATTCAATGTATATCAAATTACATAGATGACTATTATTTTTTATTTTTTTGAGTCGAACTTTATAGGTGATTCTAAATATAGTAAAAGCTTGTTTGTTTTGGTAATTCGTGTTTCTACGGCGAAAAATAGACTAATCACTAAAAATGCATTCCAAGAAAACAAACCTGATCCGGATCCACTGCTCCCAGATCCTCCTCCTCCGCTTCCACCTGATCCTGATCCAGTGATCCTGAACCGCTTCCGCCTCCGCCTGCGCCTTCGCTTGTACCCTTACTTATCACATAAAGCTCGGCCGCATTTATCATGGGCGGTAAAAGCGCACTAGCAGTGGACCAGAACGTCAGTGGGGTGCTTGAGCTGGCCACCACATCTCTCACGACCACTTGCGTGACTTTTCCAAACACAGGCGCAACTGGACTCTTACTAACTTGCTTACCACCAAAGAAAATGTTGAACGATCGTAAACTCGGTTGGACAGGATCCGAGAAATACATAGCCAAGTACACCGGAACTTCTTTCAAAGGAAGAGTAGGGTCGACTAATGATAAGCCTTCCGCGGTCCAAGAGTTACGGAGGACGGACTCAGGCGGCTTGTTTGATGCACCAGAGGTATCGATCGACACAGCCGTGGACGGTAGTCCGGTCACCAATATGTTTATATCGGATGGGAGCCAAAATCTACCTTGAAGATCCGATCTAACCAAAAAAAAAAAGATCTTAAACCCGACAAGCTATTAAATCTTGTATTTAATCAATCTCCCGGCCAGTTGACATAATTATGGACTTATATATGGTTGATTAGATTATGATCTCAACAGTAGTTTAAAACATAAGTATTTAAAAAATTTCACTTTCTTATCAATATTTTTGCAAAAATTGTAAACCAAACGGATTTTACTTCCATTAACAACTAACAATTTTATTTTTTCGAATTTAAACGCTAGAAATTGCTGTTTCATTTATACACATTGTAATCGTGAACACCTAAACTAAAATAATAATTGAAACCTATGTTTATGCTACTTACTTATACACGTAATTGGATATCGATGTTACCTTAGAAATTCTGTTGCACCATACGCACGTCGTTGTTGGTAAAATAAACCTTCACCAGGACCAAGCTCGTTGTACATGCCATCGTCCAAGTCTACAACTTCAATGGAAGATACAAAAGGGTTTGATGATGAAGACGTACGTACAAAACAAACGCTGGTCTCTCCGCTGGCCGGAGAAAATATCAGCTCCAAAAGGTAAGGTTCGAACGCCGAGGATATCGATAGGGTGCCTCGGTGTTTCCCTTCAAACACTACGTTGAAGGATGGGGTTGAGGACTTCCCGTCGTAATTCCCGTAGTAAAACATCGTTCTTACTAGAACTTTCCCGCCTTTTGTAACGGGAATGTTGGAGTAGCAATTGGAGTCGCCGGTGGGAAAGTACCGAAGTGTTGTGAGGGATTTCTCGACGGTGGTGGACGAAACGGTGGCCGACTCTCCGGATGTGATGAAGTCTTTGTCTCCGACCCATTTTAGGTTGTTGTTGTCTATGCCCGGCAATGACGTTCCACAGTCTATGTTTACGCCTGCAATTGATTATTCATGATGATTATGATGATCATGAACGCTAAGGATTAAATATATAATATTTTTTCCTAAAACTAGTTTTACCTATCCAAATTTGAGGCCAATTAATGTTGAGTTGTATACTAAAAACATCGAATAATTCAATTAATTCACCCCCATTATATATATAAATTCATCTTATTGATCTACTGAACAATTTTTCATGAGTAATTAGTCGTTATGAATTTCCGTTGCATGATCATGTAAACAAAAGTCATATGACTCGATCCACATGATTAAGGGACATTGTTTAACGCTTTATGTGTGATGGGTTTTGGTGAAAATGCAGAAAGCCGTTATGGATTCTGTGACCAGATGATAAGAGAAGTCTTTTTTTTTTATAAACATTTTTTATGCGTCCCTTAAAATTATGTTGATTTTGTGACATAGAACAAACTTTCAAACATGGACAAAAAAGAAAGAAACAATAAACAAAATCCCTTAATTATGTAGATCGATCCGGACGAAGATACATGTTCTGCGAAATCCAAGACTCTTCCTGCTACAAAGCTTACCTAATAGGATAAAGAAAGAACTTGAATTACGTGCGAAGCAAAGCTACTTACTCGCAAGAGAGAGGGTCATGACGGAAAGAAAGAATAGAAGAAAAGGCAAAGCAGCAGCCATGGCGGGAGCTAATTTTTCAACTAATGTTTTATACAAAATTTATGTATAGAAACCCGAATATATGTACATCATTTGTGTATATAGATGTTATATATGTTATCTAGTTGAGCTGTCTATTAGTATCTTAAAACCAAGTTGAAATCGGCAAAATAAATAAAACATGAGAACATTTCTATAGAGTTTTGACCTATTTTTATTTTCCAGCGAGGAAACAATTGGTTCTTGAAGAACGGGCAACTACAAAATATTTACAACATGCATTTGATATTGATATTTCTAATTCATGCTAACAAGTTAGGAAATACATGTCCAATGCCAATCTTACCTTTTGACATTAGTTATAAACAATTTGAGGTCTTATTTTACCAAAGAAAAAAAAAGAATAACTTGAGGCCTTGTGATCTAAGTTGACTTAAGGCGCAAATCAACTAACCCCTTGATCATATTATAGAAACTTATTTTAGACATTTTTTTTTTCTCTTCTTGCCGCATGCTTCTTCCCCATATCTTTTTTTTTTTTTTTTTTTTGAATAACCGCGGGTCTCCCAAAGGCTTCCTAGGCCCAAGGACTAATCCCACGAGGCTGGCAATTCCCCTATGTAAACCTGCCAGTGGCCGTGCCTCGAACCCTGGTGGCGGAAGTCACAGCTGTGACCCCTTTACCACTAGGCCACAAGGCCCGGTTCCCATATCGCATCCTAGGCAAATTAAGAATGAAAACATTGAATGATGCATAAGTAGACCACACTCTTATTTAACTTTTTTCCCCCATTTGATTTTTGCATAATATTATATAGGATAATTGCATATATATCAAAGTTTTTGTAGCTTAAAATTTTCTATTTTCATTCAAAATTATTATTTCTTGATGCGAAATGTAGAGCGAGTCCCACCAGCCTTCGAACAAAATATTAGTAACACATTAGAAAAGAGGGTACATGAGTACATAGATGTCTCTGCTCTAGCAAAAAAACAAATAAGAGACAATGTATCACTGGATGGTTCTGGATGAATGATTGGGTACATCTTAGAAATCATGTGAGACTAGAAAAAGAGATCTAGCAAACTAATGTGTGTTGTAGGTTTTCTCTTATTCATGCACTTACAAAGATGTTTAACACAAATAATATTTTACAAAAAAAAGTTTAGTTAGGATGATATTTTTGAAAAATAATAGTGTAAACAATATTTAATATAAGTTCTCTTATCCATTATTGTTGTCTATATTCTTCAGTTGAATAATTGGCTAATGTACCGTAGATCATTACTTAAATCATTGTTACTTCTCCACCCTAAAATAAAGAAAAATAAAATCATTAGTAGTTCTCCATGATAATGGTCATTCGCAAACAGAAAAGATGTCTTGGTCATTACTAAAATACCAAGTTCCTTTTAGCCGGAGATGCCAATGACAGGATTTTTTTTCCCGCACTTTCGGTACCTTAACCGATAACACACCATTCTCCTTACTCGCCTTCACTTCCTCCACCTTCGCATTCTCTGCCAGCCAAAACTTCCTCATAAACTTCCCAATCGACCTTTGATACATATACAAAGAAGTTTCGAAGGTTTTCTAACCCATTAAATTATGAGAGGGATCTTTGAACGTGAAACCAAAATCAATCCACGCTCTTCCATCTGTTTGATGCTGCAAATTATCTCTCTATATATCAAGACTCTTATCGATCTTACTTGCCAATCAATATCTAATCATATGGTCACAGATGAAACAAGCTCAGGCTTAGTCTCCCAACTCGACAATGAGATCTTTGTGACGAGTTCCGATGGTAAATCGTTTTAAGATTGATGAGGCAAACTCGGTTACAAACAATTCTGCAAATAGCAACATCCCACTTCAGAACGTGAGTATATTCTTATATGTCTCAACAGCCCCGGCCCAATATATTTGGGAACCTTAGGGCAAAAATAATTTTTTGGTCTATTTATTATATTTTTTTTTTTTTTTGTCAACAGCTTTATTGGATTGGCTCAAATTAGCCAATGTGTAGGAATATTGTTTACATAAGTAGAAAGATGCGGTAAGGTACGAACATTTCGTGCCAGTTTATCCGCTTTCACATTCAAATTTCGGGAAATTAGCGATAAAGAGAAAAAATCAAACTCTTCTTTGTCGCTCTGAATCGCCTCCAAGTAAGTCGTGAACGCTGGCCACTCTTGCGGGGAAGACACCATCTTCACCAGATCGGAGCAGTCTGTAAGGAAAGCTACTTCTCTTTTGTCTTGGCCGATCATACATCTCATCGCCCAGATTAGTGCTTCAACCTCGGTGTGGAGTGAGGTTAAGCTTCTTCGAGTATTTGCAGCTCCCATGTCGTGCGTTTCTTCATTTGGATAAGAACAAAACCATCCTAACCCTGAAAAACAATCGCTTTCTTTCCAAGAACCATCTAAGCAACAGCGATAAACTGATCCACGTTGCTCGATATGTTCAACTCTAGAAGGAGGTTGATTATTTGTTACCACCGTTTGTAGATTATCATCCGAGATCTCTACCTGGGCCAACTGCCAAGCTTGCTCTTCATTTTCTGCCAATCTTAAAATATCAGTTGGGCTTTGGTCCAAATTATTAAATACCTTGTCATTCCTGGCTTTCCACAAATACCAAATAATCCATGGAAACATCGCAGTATAGACCTCTGAGGGTGTTCTCCAAAATAAGTAATCCATATTAACGTATAAAGATCCTGATGGAAAAATATTAGGTGCTGTTGGAATCTGTGATAAAGCCCAAGTCTGACGCGCAGGTGGACATTCAAAGAGTGCATGGTTAATTGTCTCTTCTAAAGCCCCACACCGATCACATCTCGTATCACAATGAATACCTCTCTTACGCAGATTTGAGGTAACCGAAACACACCCAGTTAAGGCTTGCCACATAAAATGTTGAACTTTTGGCGGACATTTTATTTTCCAAGTAAATGCTTGAAGCGGTTTAATGTCTGGTCCGAATTCTTGCAAAACGGAATCCGTCCCAATGTTTAGACGGGCCGTATGATATCCCGATTTAACCGTATATTGACCCGATTTAGTAAAATGCCATCCTAAAGCATCTGGATTCGATAATTTACCCAGGGGTATAGCGTTAATCAAAAGAACATCCTCCGGAGTGACAACAGCTTTTAGCATATCTATATTCCAGGAGTTTGTTCGCGTATCGATAAGATTTTTAACTCGTAGCAACGGTTCCGAAAAAGAACCATTGCTTTTTGCTGGTCTCGGGAATTGAGCTGGAATCCAAGGGTCCTCCCATACTGAAATGGAGTCTCCAGAACCAACTCTTTTAATAAGTTCTTTATTAACCAGAGATCTAGCTGAAACAATACTTCTCCACCCATAGGATGGAGAGTATGATTTAATTGGATCCATTGGATCCGACTTCCTGTAATACCTTCCTTTAAAAACCTTCGCAAAGAGCGAATCAGGCACCGAAATTAACCTCCATAGTTGTTTTGCTAATAAAGCTGTATTAAAATCATCGACATTCCGAAATCCCACTCCCCCATTGGCTTTGCTATGACACATCTTATCCCAAGCAAGCCAATGCATCCCTCCTGTTTGACCATTTGAACTCCACCAAAATTTAGCGATTGCACTAGTTAGTTTCGAGGTGATCGTTTTGGGGAGCCGAAAACAGGACATAACATAAGTAGGTAAGGCAGTAGCCACCGATTTAATCATCACCTCTTTTCCTCCCTTCGATAAAAATTTAGCTGACCAACCATTTACCCTATTTTGTAGCCTGTCTCTCACAAAAGAAAATATTTTTGTTTTTGATCCTCCCAGGCTTTCTGGTAACCCAAGATATGATCCCATGCCACCCATCTTTGTAATGCCCAAAACCATCTTCACCTCTGTTTGTACCTCTTCTACAACTGTATGACCAAACTGAAGAGATGATTTGTCAAAATTGATCTGTTGACCCGACACCTTCTCATATTGTCGAAGAATTCCTAAGATTGCCCCACTTTGATCTTTATTTGCCTTACAAAAAAATAAACTATCATCTGCAAAAAGCAGATGAGAGACCGCTGGGCTGGGCGTTGCCACCTTGATACCAGTTATTACCTTATCTTCCTCCGCTTTCCTGATATTTGCAGTCAAAACCTCTGTACAGAGGATGAATAAATATGGCGATAGTGGATCTCCTTGCCGTAAACCACGCTCAGGAACGATCAGCCCTCTAGGTTGTCCGTTGATGAGCACCCTATATTGGACAGATTTTATGCACCACATCATCCACATTATCCATTTTTCACAAAATCCCATTTTTCGCAACAAATTCTCTATAAAATCCCATTCTACCCGATCATAAGCCTTACTCATATCTGTTTTAATAGCCATAAATTTTCCTTTACATGACGGATTTGTGCGGAGAGCGTGGAACATCTCTTGCGCAATAAGAATATTATCAGAGATCAATCTACCTTCAACAAAAGCCGATTGAGTCTCTGATATCAATCTTGGGAGCACCGTCTTAAGCCTTTGACAAAGTATCTTCGATATAACCTTGTATCCCACATTACAGAGACTTATAGGTCTCAATTCCGTCATCCTAGTTGGTCTCTCCGTTTTAGGGATAAGACAAATATTCGTCACGTTTAACCTTTTATCAAAACTACCTTCCTGGAGGAAGGAATTTACCAACTGGAGTAGGTCCACCTTGACCGTATTCCAAGCCTTCTGAAAAAACAATGCCGTCATTCCATCTGGACCAGGTGCCTTTTCCGGATGCATCATAAAAAGAGCATCACGTACTTCTTTCTCAGTTGCTGGAGCCGTTAAAAATTCATTTACTTGATCTGTGATTGTAGTTTTAACCTCCTTTAACGAACTCTCAAAATCTCGGGGGTTCGTTGATGTGAAAAGATTTTTAAAATAGGAAACCGCTATGTGTTGGATATTTTTATCCTCATCCGACCATATTCCGTTTTCGTCATGGAGCCCGGTAATCCTATTTCGAGCTCGACGTTGTTTTGTGAGTGCATGGAAATATTTGGAATTATGATCCCCAACCCGCATCCACAAGCTCCGACTTTTTTGATACCTATATATTTCCTCTTCTCGATAAGCCTCTCGCAACCGTATTGTTAAATCTTTTATCACCTCAGGCGATTGACTATCATCATTTTGTGCTGCCTCTAAGTCGACTTTAAGTTCTTCAATAGATTTTCGCCCGTAAGAAGTTAAATTTTTCCTCCATTTCGAAATCGCACGCTGACATTTCGAAATTTTTCCTCCATTTCTACAAAATTTCCTTCTCCCAAATTCCCCTCTAATTGCCAACCATCAGAGATTGTCTCTAACAATCCTTCTTTTCCAATCCACCTTTTATCAAAACGAAAGTTTTGCCTACCTCGGGGAACCTTATCCGCAATCGTCGCCACCACAGGTTTGTGATCCGAAGCGACCATTGGCAAGTATTCAATAAAAGAATTACAAAACAAATCATGCCAATCTTCATTGGCTAAGGCTCTATCCAAACGACACCGAATCGGTTTCTTATCTCTCCACCCACGCCACGACAAGAAATCACCAATATGCGGAAACTCAAGTAACCCGCAGTCTCTAATCATTAAATTAAAAGGAATAAATGATGAAGCATGTCTTAATTTACCACCTCTTTTTTCGTGATTTCCTTTTAATTCATTAAAATCTCCTATTAAAAACCAAGGTTTGTCTCGAGTCAAACCGATCCGTGTTAAACGTTCCCAAACTTGTTCTCTGTTTTTCGGGACCGGATCTCCATAAACAAAAGTAAGACAAATTGTTTTACCCTTTACCACAGCTTCAATATCAATTAACCGATTACTTTCATAAATAATAGAAACATTAAAATTATTATTATAATAAAGGGCTAAACCGCCACTACAACCGATAGGATCAACCGTTTTTAAATTTTTGTAACCAAAATGACCAACAAATTTTTCCATAAATAAAGAGGATTGCTTTGTTTCCGAAAGAAACAAAAAATCTGGCCGATGTTGCTTCCACAAATCCCGAAGATACCCAATAGTTGCCTTATTTCCGAGACCTTGACAATTCCAGCTTAGAACTTTCATTTATCAACCTTTGGTTTAGGTGGGTTGCATCCACCTGTGAAACCCTTCACCGTACCATGGTGCGTCGAGTTATGTCCTGCACTCCCTTGATTAGTCTTTAGAAAAACCCAATCACAATTGATTCTAGATATTTTTACCCTTATAGTATCCACATCCAACCATGAAAAACCGGAAATCCAACCATAGTAAAACCGTTTGTTACAACCACTGAAACTCCATTCCATACACTCAAAGTCCAAAGACAATCGACCAACATCATACCTCTTAGAAAAATTCCGCCCACCCATAATAGTCCATGGAAGAATAATCAAAGACCTCCCATTTCTATCACCGGAAAACCAATTGTTAAACGCTCCTCGAATTCTAACGAGTATAGTCTTTTTGTAAATATAATTATCTCGTGATGTCCACTTCTCCATATAGTTTACAGCTTTATTAAATCCAACATAATCCACGTAAACATAAGACTGAGTGCTTTGACAAATACCCTCCCCATAAGAATCTACCAACCATGTAGCAGTTAGTGTACCATTATCCGATTTCGATTCATCACAGCCCCTAGCTTGAGTTGAGATTCTCCTATAATCCAATCTATTTATTTCCCTCATGACCCTCAACTCAAATCTCCCCCAGCTATTAATCAAGTTGCTCCATAAAGCAAATCCTTGTGAAACCATCAGCCTTGCAGCCATCAGCCTTGCAGCCATCAGCCTTGAAGCCAATATCCAAGACTGTGACTGTTCCAACCACCTCCAAACCACACCCTTCGGACCACCAAAGTCCCAGATGGGAATATCTTCTCGTCTTGACCCAATAATCCCAGACAATTTCAACCAAAAATATCGACAAACCGAATGCCACACCCGAACCAGATCGGTGTCAATCTCATATCTCAACCACATCAAAACCCAATCCACCACCAAAGACCCACGAACCTTACTCGCCGGATCCGCAGTACCCAAATAAATCCAACAAAAAACATGCCTTCTAGGCTCTACGCATACACCCACAATAACCCATCGAGGAACAAACTCATTCATCCCCAGATCTGACTTCATAAAACAGACCCACCGGAGAGATTTCGAGACCATCCCATAAAGCCACCATATGAAGCCCAAAAACACCGTATTAACCAAATCGGAACCCTTCAGATCTGTCCACACGCGACACTGATGTACCAATCTCCACAGTGACCCAAGCTTCGCATCCACCCAGATCCATATGAGAACTACCAAATCAAACCCGTAAAAACACCGGAGGAGAAACGTCGCAGGTCCGAGACGCATTGTCGGGTTAGAACCCTAGCGCCTCCGTCACCATCTTTTCTTAATCTACTATGTCTATTTATTATATATAAAAAGAAAATTTAGTTATTTTTATCAAAAATTTGTGGATTTTTTGTAGTGAAAATTGTTATTTTAAAAATTTTGGGCTGTGCACAATAAAAAATAAAAAAAATTTGGGCCTTTTTATAATTTTTCTTATAAAGAATTAAGTCTCTTGAAATATAATTCTCATATTAATGATATTTTAAAAAAATATTTGGGCCTTTTTTTATGTAAATTTTTTTTTAAAAAAAAAAAACCCCGGGCCATCGCACCTCCGCCCACCCCTCTGAACCGGGGCTGTGTCTCAAGCTGGTTTATATGATCTCTGCTTTTTTTTTTTTTTTTTATGTTTGTTTTCTGTTTACAAACATGTGATGATTGAATACTATATGATTTCTCTCTATGTTATATTATTAGGCCATGGTCAATGACAATTTGGGATATTTTGAAAGTGATTATCATCTTTGTTGTGTGTGGGTGTTAATATTTATGTTTATCTTCTTGTACATGCAGGCCCCTTTCCATGATTCATACCGTGGTCTGCCCCACGATATGATGTTAGAGATCCTTGCTCGAGTCCCTAAAAGCAGTGTGGCTCGCCTCTCTTCGGTAAATAATCAAGCTCAAATGTACAAGACAACTACAGTCGTACGACACCAGTACGAGGATCTGGAACTTTGAAACTGTGCTAATGAAGTCTCTCTTGGAATCCCATGAAGCTACACGCCTAATCGTCACTAGAAGTATGACTCAATTGTGGGAGATGATGTTTATGATCCGCGAATAAATGCAAGAGAGTTGAGCGGACACATGATTCTTATCACTGGTTATATATGGCATAGATTCGACCGGAAAATGTATTGGGAAGCATAAGAGTCATATGGAGTCAACAAAGGAGCTGGCGGGTACATCATAATAGCTCGGTCCGAAAACCTTTTTTCTGATTTCAATCAGATCACCGTTTGAGGTAAATTTTTGTTGCTAGTTCTGATTTTGATGGATCTTATACCTAACCAAGCATTGGTTCCTGATAAACAACATGATAACTGCAATTGAAAGGTATACATGAAAATATTATAGTTTTTCTTATTTCACAACACTTACACATCTAATACTAAACAATGTGATTTCATTTTCATTTATAATAATGCTTTCGGTGACTCTGAATCACTCTTTACGTATCACTTTTTATTACTTTGAGATGTTAATTTTGTGATGTAATCTCAACATCGTCTTCTAAAAAATGAACTTATTAGTGTATTTAAAATATGTTGCTTCTGCCAAATTGCCAAATTTTTGTGTTAAAAGCATTTGATTTTTTTTTTAAAAGATATATCACAAAATTGTAGTTTCACTTGAGATATGCTATAAAAATTATATCACTTTTTTTAACCGATTTGCATATCATTTTTTATATTTTATTGTACAACTTATGAATAATATGATTTTTTTGTGTACAACATAATAATAATAATATGATTACTGATTATTATGTGTGAAGAAAAAATCAAGATTTTTTTAATAATTTCACAAAAAAGTGTGACCTAAGAATGTCTATCTTAAATTGACGCTCTGGATTCTCTCAGAATGGCACCATTTATCTCACACCATCCCACATTTTGTCTTCTTCAAGTTCTTAAGTTCAACTTCTCCTTTTAACCGGAGATATCTATGGACTTGACCTCAGCTGCCTTCTTCTCCGGCAATTTCGGCACCGTACTCGACAACACACCATTCTCCATACTAGCCTTTACTTCCTCCATCTTCGCATTCTCCGGCAACCTAAACCTCCTCATGAATTTGCCACTTGACCTCTCCACACGGTGCCACTTGTCACTCTTCTCTTCATTCTCATTGCTCCTCTCTCCGCTTATCTGAAGTATATTCCCATCTTCAACCTTCACCTCTTCCTTTTTAAGCCCCGACAATTCCGCCTTGTTAAGCTCCGTCTACCTCCAAAAATGCTCGGAATTAGAGACAATGCTTCACTTTCTTTTACCCTGTTTTTTATTTTGCTTTGCTATGAACTCTTTGTTGTTTGTTGATTCAAACACCTACGTGGCAATTTAACATTTACACCAAAAAAAAAAGCACCTACGTCGCTTAGCATATTTATAAGGATAGAAAGATTTCTGCAAGTTTCTTCAGAAATCAAGAATCTTTTTTTTTCTTTTCTTTAGAACGTTCGACTAAAACGTTGTTAATTACCAGAATTCTCAGGCGCTTTCAAGAAGTTTCGGTGCTGAGGGTTGAAACGACATGAAGTTCATCAAGTAGGCTAGTGAACGTGCCATATGACTCGGTGCTGAGGCTTTACTATTTTGGCCCATTTATTATTTTGGCAAAATTGAATTAGTTTAGACGAGGCTAAAAATTGCTAATTAAACTTTTTTTTTCTACTTTTGATAAAAAAAAATTACAGAAAACTTTCAAATAATCTGAGACAGCCATAATATATTGTAAAACTTTAGTTACTTTCTTAATTTTCTAACACTTTGTTTGGTACCCATTGTATATTTCTATAAGTATAATAAATTTGAGTTTTATTGCATAATCTTTCTTGGTCTAGGATGAGCTTATATTGGGATAACTACAAGTACATTCACATTGACACTTGCTATAATTTTTTCCTATCTCATATACATAGATCTAAATTGGTTATAGACTTTTAGTTGGTCGTAGTGTGATGTATAAATAAATACATTGACTTCATTTATCAATGATACTCACATAATTCATATGTATAGGATTTGGCAGCGGTTCTCATAAGTCATAACTAATGTTTATTCATCTCATTTCATTTACTTTAGTATTCCAATCATATTTATTTTATTCAGCAATATTCGTCATATGATCAGCTCATTGATCTAAGTGACGACCAGATACAACCTATGCTCATTCTTTTATGAATATCATCGTTGGTCTTTGCTCTCTGAGCTGGCGTTCTCGCCAAGTAATGTCAAATGCCAACAAGTCAATGTAAATTTAATTGTCAACGCACATTTTTTCAGTTAATTTCAAATTAAAAACTCCAACATGACCATCTTTTAGACAACAAAAGAAAAACAAAAAGAACCCTTATCTATATACGCCTTAAATATTCTTAAATTTTAAGACTATAACCAGGTTCGAGTTTATAGTTCAGGATTAAATTTCTTTATTAATGAATTGTTTAGGTTTTAGTTTTTTGACCTTGAGGATAAATTTTTTAATATATATAATTAAGAAGTTTTAGGTCGTAGTCATACATCTTTATAGGTTCGGACCAATCTTTAATAATTTAGCAGCACCATCCGCTATTGGATGATGTGATTTTTTGGATTGGTATATTTCTAGTCGAGGTATCAACATGTGTGTTAGGATTTAAATTTTAACTTTTAATCATTTTTTATTTAAAAAATTTGTGTTTAAGAGTTAGAATTTAGAATCTAAATTTTAACTTAGTCTTATATAAATTTAGATTATTTTTCAAAGTTTTCCCAAACTATATTTACAGCAGAATTAATATTTTTAATATGAATTTATAATGAAATGCATATATATACGATAAAAGTACCTGTCCAACACTATCGAAACACGACGTCCATTGAACTGTCAGTCATAAATAAATAAATGAAAAACTCTTTTCTTTTCACTAATCTTTGTACACATAATAAACAGAAAAGTAAAGAACAGTCCAAAATGATAGAAATATTTCATGTTACTTCGTTCTTTATATATAAAGCACTCTCATTAATCTTTCAACCATAATAAACAATTAGCGATACGAAAATTATATATAAATAAAACTGCGGATACATGACCATTCAGAATCAGAAGAATCAAAATCTTATAAAGAGAAAAAAAAAAGAAGCAATGGCATCACGTACAATATAAAGTAAACTATTATTTTCACATGATGTTTAATGTCATTGCGTTACATACGACTGATTTACTCCAATCAAGTCGTTGATATCTCCCATGTCTGACTCATATGTAGACTGGTTTGAGTCGTTGCCCATTTGTTGTCCGAATAGAGGGGACGCTCCAGTACCCATATGAGCCACTATCATCAAAACATTTAACTAGTCACATCTCTAGAGTACATAGATATTAGTCAAGACCGAAAATACATATATCTTAATTTAGAAAAAATATGGATATAATCTAGTCACGCAATATGTATACACAAACTACACCACATACAAAAAGAGAATCAATGTATACCTGACGTAGGTATAGCCAGGGCTTGTAGCTTCGCTTTGCGACGATTAGCTAAGATAACAGCAATGAACACATATGCGATAAGAGCAAACGCTACTGCAGATACAGAACCGAGTATAGTTGGCAGTTTACTTTTCTTTCCTTCACTGGTTGACCCACCTGAGCCAATATCAAATGTTCTTTTTTTTTAACTTGCATAATAATTAAGCATATCAAATGTTCGATTTGTTATTTTCATTACATGTTCTGGTACTATGAGCTTTCATCAAACTAAGAAACCCATCAAGATCAAAAGTTAAATAGATAGAGAAGTCCAAATACACACCTGAGCTCACATCATTGCTCCCTCCAGATCCTACATTGTTAGCACCAGAGCCTAAACACAAAAAGAAAAAAAATAAGTTTATTTATATAACATTACGTAACTAGATGATCCAAATATACTAATAACTTTTTCATATTGGTAATTCGAGATTTTACACCGAAACCTAGACTAATCACTGAAAATGCATCTCCAAAATAACAAACCTCCAGACCCGCCACTCTTAGACCCTCCTCCTCCACTTCCACCACCTCCACCGGATCCTGATCCGCTTTTGTTTCCGCCTCCGCTTCCGCTTGTACCCGGACTTATCACATAAATCTCCAACGCATTTATTATGGGTGGTAAAAGCGCACTAGGGGTAGACTGGAACACCAGCTCGGAGCTTGAGCTAGCCACCACATCTCTCACGACCACTTGCGTGGCTTTTCCATATACGGGCACAATTGGTCCTTTACCAACTTTCTTACCGCCATATAATATGTTGAACGATCGTACACTCAACTCAAGAGGCTCTGAGAAATACATAGCCAAATAAACCGGAACTCCTTCCGAAGGAAGAGTAGGGTCGACTAATGATAAGCCTTCCCCGGTCCAAGAGTTACGGAGGACGGACTCAGGCGGCTTATTTGATGCACCAGAGGTATCGATTAATGCGGCCGTGGATGGTACTCCTGTCAACAATATGTTTATCTCCAACGGAAGCCAGAACCTACCTTGAAGATCCGATCTAACCAAGAAAACGAAAATATTCCTTCTTATTATATCAAATTTGCAACCATGGGTTTAATTATGTATTTTAATTAATCAGATTCCGGGTGGGTTTACATATCTATGGTTTGATCAGATTCTGGTCCCGATTTGTTGTTCAAATATGGCAATTATTATTCTGCTTACGTAAAAATCATTTCAACGTTTTCATTTTGTTCAATATTTTTGCAAATTGTAAAAACGGTAATGGAATTTTTTTCCCATTACCTTTAATTTGTTTCTTCTGATAAAAAAACGCTTGAAATTAATGGTAAACATAAATCTAAATATAAACCTTATCAGACCTATGTTTGTGTTACGTAAATATACTGATATATGGATATAGATGTTACCTTAAAATTTCTGTTGTGCCATACGCACGTCGTTGTTGGTAAAATAAACCTTCACCAGGACCAAGCTCGTTATACATGCCATCGTCCAAGTCGAAAACTTCAATGGAAGATACAAAAGGGTTTGATGATGAAGACGTACGTACAAAACAAACGCTGGTCTCTTCACTGGCCGGAGAAAATATCAGCTCCAAAAGGTAAGGTTCGAACGCCGAAGATATCGATACGGTGCCTTGGTGTTTCTTTTCAAACAATACGCTGAAGGTTGGGGATGCGGACTTCCCATCATAGTTCCCATAGTAAAACATCGTTCTCACTAAGACTTTTCCGCCTTTGGTAACCGGAATGTTGGAGTAGCAATTGGAGTCGCCGGTCGGAAAGTACCGAAGTGTGGTGAGGTATTTCTCGACAGTGGTGGACAAAACCGTGGAAGACTCTCCGGATGTGATGAAGTCTTTGTCTCCTACCCATTTTATGTTGTTCTTATCTAACCGCGGCAATGACGTTCCGCAGTCTATATTTACGCCTGAAATTGACCATGCATGCATAAATCATGATAGTTATATAACACTAAACAAAGTCATTTGACTCGATCCAATCTTGTAAAGACCTACTTACTGGCTAACGAGAGGGTTATGATGGAAACAAAGAAGAGAAGAAAAAGCGAAGCGGCAGCCATGGCGAGAGCTTAGTTTTCGACTAATGTTTTATACAAAATTTATACAAACATTCTACATATATATAAATATATACGTAATGATCTATGTGTAATATAGTTTATATTTAACGATTTGAGCTGTCTAATAGTTAATTCTATTAGTAGTTTCTTAAAACCAAGTTGAACTCGAACATGATAACATTCTTTAGAGCTTTGACCATTCTATTTAATTTCCAGCTAGGAAATAATTGGTTCTCTAACAACGGGCAATTACAATATTTAATAACAACATGCATTTGATTTTTATATCTCAAACTCATGCTAAATAGTTTTAGTGGTTTGAATTCGTACTATCGCTATTTTACCACCCGAATTCGAAGTTAGAATATTTTATGATATTGAAAGAAAGAACAAACATAAAACTTACCTTACCTATTAGGAATTGTTAGTAAAAAAAAGATTATGGTAATCAATTGTATTTTTTATGCCAAAAATTCAACTAATTTAGACAATATTTTTTTTTCAACTCCTCTCCACTCCCCCTCCCCCAAATAATTATGTTAGGCTTATAAATTCCATTCTTATAAATTGCAAATTAATATTCTTATCAGTCAAACTGAAAATTAATATTGTATCATATCATTTCAGTGTACTCAATTATATGAAAAACTTGGTTTTGACTTTTGACATTGATATATGTTATACACAATTTGAGGCCTTATATATGTTTTTTCTCCAAAAAAAAAAAAAAAAGAACAACTTGAGACCACCTAACTTTTGTTTGCTAATGTGAGATTTTCTTTTCTGGTTTGAAAAATTCATCACATATTGGTGATCAGGGGCCACAACAAACGAGTTTACCCATATACTCCCATGTAGCTGAAGTAAACAGAAATTAGTAGTTATGAAAAGAAAAAAAATTCATAAGTAGTTACAAAATATTATTTCTCGAATCTGATCATCAAGGAATAGAAAAATATAGAATATATTTTTACCTTTGTTCTTGGTAAACTAAATCTGATCTTTTTACCTTTTTCGGATTCATCACAAGAATCAATCGCCATCTTACGTGAAAATCTGTCCAAAAAAACTCTATCGGTGTAAATCCTAATTTTCATGAACCACGTCGAAGAATTTCTATTCTCTATAAGGAAGCCGATTAATCTAATGACTAAAACGATATAAATCCTAATATTCATGTTGAAGTCAAATGATGATGAAATAGCTTCATGTAATCGGCTTCCTTGTACTCCTAGAATAGAAATTCTTCAAGTCCTTCATAATAAACTATTTCACTTTCATTTGATTTCAACATATGTTAGGAATATAATTTTTGAAAATCAACACAATCATGTTAAAGAACGCATATATCCCCACTCTGTTTTCCTACTTATCAACTATGTTGTAAACTCTTCTTCATCTCTCAAAACTGTATGGCCTTACAAGTCATAGTCATGTACCTTTTATTTTTGCAATTTCAATAGAATACCCTTTACCAAAAAAAAAAAAAATCAATAGTCATTGAATAGAATTGGTTTTGAAAATAGTTTACATCTAGTTGTTCAATCTGTTCAGGGTTGGATTAGGATATTGTTAAGGCTGGTTGGCTCAATTTTTCATTCATAAATGTAAATAGAAAATATGGTTTTGACTTTTGACTCGAGTAGGTTTTTTTTTTTTTTATGACCAAAGAATTCATTGATTCTACAGACTGATCGGAAGGAATTACACTGTATATAACTTTGCTGCCTATAGTTATTTGTGAGCAATAAATCATTATTCTTGTTGATTATTGTATTCTTGCATCGAAGACCATGGTGGTTAAACAACTTTAGCGTATAATTTTTTTTTCATCAGACAAATTTAAATTTAGAGACCTTGCACACATTTGGATTAGGTTTTTAACTAATTATTTATTTATTTTTTGGTTTTAGATTATTGCATTGCATCACTTCTTGTATCAGCACACATTTGAAAACTTTATTTTTTTGGTCGGATATGATTAAACAAATTAATTTTTTAAAAAAGAATCATAAATCTTATGGTGCATAATGGTGCGTAATCAAATCTCCTCCATCCACCAGCTCCATCCATCAAAGTGCCCTCCGGGTTTGGTTTCACTCGAGAACATAAGCGCCAAGGCCTATACTCTGTTTCACTTTCTCTAGCTCTGTTTTCTTCATTTAAAATTTCAGAAATTCAAAAACCATTCTGCTCAAAGATGCATATATTTTAACAAAGGATATTTTTTGAATAAATTTTACATTCATTAAAAAAAAAAATAGAATCATAAAAAAGACAAAAAGGTGTAGAATAACACATGGATCTAGCTCGTCCGCAACTAGTTTCGATATTCATCTTGAACAACATACAAATCATTCGTGTCGCTGGCCGTTTGTTGTCCATATAGAGGCGACTCTCCTGTTCCTATTCCATGCTCTTGAGGACATAGGAGAGACCAAAAACCAATGTTACTTGTCAATAATATTCCAATATTTAATCTAGTATGTATATAACGATTACCCAACCATATAAATACCTGTGGACGTAGTTGGTGCTGTGTTGGACGCTGGCTTCGCATTTTGACGCTTTCTCAAAATATGAACCACGAACGCTGACCAGAGAACAACGAACACGGAGGCGAACGTAACTCCCAAAATGAGTGGTAAGTTGTTCTTTTTCTTTCCTACTTTGCTTCCACCTAAAAACGTCATAGAAAGGGTAATGTTATATGATTATATCTTCACTATTAAACAATCTTATGTGAATAAAATTAACTTAATTTAATACTACCTTTCAGACCACGATTATTTGATTCATATATGAAACCCCAAACATTGCATGACTAGCTTTGTATATACCTTATAAGCTTTTTGGCACCGTACGTAATTCTTTCATAGAGAACGAGACCTTCTTCAGGACCAAGATCTTCGTACATGCCGTCATCGAAGCTGTAAACTTCAATGGAAGATATAAAAGGGTTATCGGACGGAGACGTACGGAGGAGGCAAACGCTAATATTCTCATTCGCCGGAGCAAATATCACCTCAGAGAAATAAAATGTGTCCTCGTCGTTGAGTAATGACTCAGTAATTTCAATAGAATCACGGTGTTTCCCGTCATAAACTATGTCTAAAGATGGCGGCGAGAACTTGTCGTCATAGTTCTCATAGTAAAACTTCGTCCTCACAAGGTTTTTCCGGTCTTTTGTCGCCGGAATGTTGGTGTAGCAGTTTGTTTGACCCGATGGGAAGTACCGGAGTGTGTTGATCGGCTTTGTGGCAACGTCCGTAATATTAATGGACTCGCCGGTTGTGACGAAGCCATTATCTCCGACCCATGTTACGTTGTTGGAGTCCACGTAGGATCCCGTTGTTCCACAGTCAATGCTTATACCTAACGATGAAGAAAACTAATCAGTAAATTATATGAACAAAGTCATCTTTTATCATTCATGTGCAACGTATAAAACTATATATACAGATGTATAATGGGGACCTATAGTTTTTAAAGAAAAACTAGATATGGACCCGCACGTACGTGCGGGGTTTCATATTTTGAAAACTGTGTTGTATAAAATTTATAATTAAATTTGTTTTCTTTTATTAGTATACGAAATTGTTTTATGTTGTTTTGGTGAATTAGAGAATAGTATAGATATCAGAAGATATATAAAATTAAATTGAAAAATTATATTTTGTGTTTTAAATAAAAGTTGGTTTGGTCTAATTTGGTTTGTTTCATTTGTTATAAATTGTGAATAGAAAATTATGAAAGTTGGTTTTATATGTAATATACATCATTTTATTATGTTTTAATTTTTATATAAAATAGTAGGTTGGTTTTGGTGAATGATAAATAATTTGGACAGTGTGTAATAGTTATTATTTTTTTATAGATTATATATTAAAAATTATAATTAAAAAATCAAAAATAATTGTTTTAGTAATGCAACTATATTATTAATATAATAATATTAGGTATTTCATGAAAAGGCTAAACCCAATTTTAAATTTAGGAGCCCATAACTGAAACTAATAACAATTTCTTTTGGGCCGTGATACATATTTCGTTTGGGCTGATACATGTATTAATTTTATGTCTGTTTTTTTTAATATATTCTGTACACATAATTATTTTCAGACCAACTCTCGGTCTTATCATCTCTAATTCTACCCTAAAGTTCTCAGCCGACTGTGTCTAAAAAGGAATAGATTGCAAAATTAACTGATAATCAAAAGCCTACGTCTCCGTTTATCATCTGTTAATCGGAAAATCTGAATTCTACAAAGAGGTAACGTTATTATTGAATCTGATTTTGACTTTCACTTTTTTTTCAAATGTTTCGATTCAAATTCCAAACTTTGGGATTTTATTTTTGTACAGAGAGCTTGGAAAAATGATAGTGAAGAAGTCGATCTTATATGGATAAGTATTCCCAATTTCCGTTCTAAATTTTGGTTCCAATTTTTTTAATCAACAAATCACAAATCGATATCAACATTAATTTGAGTGTGTTAGCTATAAAATCAATTTCTTTATATAAATCTTCAGTTGTCCGATTTAATATTTCTTGAAATTGGATTCTGTATAGATTGTAAAATCAATTTTGGTTTCACTTCTTCAGTGTTGGTCTTACTAAGATTTAAATCAAGATTTGGGCTCTGTTTTCTTTTCTTTTTGCAGGTTTCCTTTGTTCTTGATCTTTAATCTTCCTAGCATTATCTGCTAGTCCTCTTTCTTATCTTTCTGGTTGTAATAATTTTGTTTTCTTTCTTTGTATACTTTCTCTTTATATTATTTAAGAAAGCCGTTTAACAAAAAAAATAGATTGTAACATAAGATTATTTTTTTCCTGATATGTGGTTAAGTTAATTTCTTTCCATATATATTCAGATATTTACATACTGATGATGTTGCCAAAAGAGGAGTATTAAAAAAGATAAGTCTTCTGTAAAGATTATAAGAGAAAAACAGTTGTTTATAAAATATGTGGTATTGATGATACAAATTTCAATTGTGTATACAGCCCAAGCATCATGTCCTTGTCAAATTCTTATGGAAGAGGCAGAAACAACGTCATCTTTTTAGCAATCAATTAAATCTGGGAACTATGTTAAAGGTTAGTGAGATAATAACGATAACATCTTTGTTTACTTGATTAAAATGTATAGCTATTGTTATCTAAGTTAAAGGTTAATGAGATGATAATGATTATATATTTTTGTATAGTTTTAATGAATACTTCGTTGCTGCTGCAATTTCTGAATTAGTATAAACTAATATTCCACAGTTCCCCACTCTCCAGTTGTGATGAGCTTTTGAAACTTGTTGACTTGTTGTTTCTTGACAGTCGCATGAATCAAAGTACCCTGTACGGAGCAAAGAAACAGAATTTAACATTTGATGTACACATAATAATTAGAAGAGTAAATCTATACTATTAGTAAGAAGATGATTACAGATGTATCAGCAAGAATCATCTCGACAGTCTCCTCGGAGTATTGGGTGTATTGAGTCCACGAATGGACAATTTTCACTTGGATGTTTGGTGATGGGAAGATTTGCAGTCATTGTTTCAGAGGTATAGAGGTGTTTTGATAGCTTATTGAGTATAGAGAATATGATTAGAGATCTATATTTATAAGAGATGGGGGACGGCTAGGGTTCGTCCTATTAGAACGCTATAATATATTTGCAAATCAATTATTTGAATAGATATTTTAGGTATATACTTGATTTAAGAGGTTTTGAATCTACTGTTTTGATTTAGTTTAGATTTTTTGGTAACTGTATAAGAACAAAATTTGTTATCATATTAATTAAGATTCGAAATTATAGAGATATGATTGTTTAGGTATTATATTTACTTATGTGTTATGGTAATTATGTTTAGATTTCCAAATCGCAACCGTGAGGATCAATCCAGATCGCAACAGTGAGGATCAAGCTAAGGACTGGCGGGTCAAGTATAGGGTCCGCGTGTGGATCCGTAAGTTAGCCCATCATCCTCATAAATAACCGATCCAATAGCCCATGATCCATGGATATTTGTCTATCAAATTATACTTTTAACCTTGCACGTGTTTTTTATTTTAGTCTTTGAATCTAATTATCCTAATGGCAATCTTTGTAATTATTTACACTTAATAAGGTTATATATTATCTAATCCTTCCCAATTAATAGAATAGATTATAAACATATCAAATATTTATAGTTTAAGTTTATAGTATACCAAAAAAGAGTGATTAAAAAATGATTTTATTTGGTTTTTATGTATTATAAAGCTGAAAAAAATCTGAAAAAATCAAATCGAACCAAACCGATTCTTTAACTGGACTGCCCATCCCTAAACCAAATTCCATTTATCAAACTAAACAATTAAGGAGATTTTAGACATTCTGTTAGTTGTATACTTGTAAAATCATTTTTTGTGGTCCATATTCATTTCCTTCTTCACAAACTGTACAACCCTTTCATGTCTAGATGGCTTTTTAGTTACAACTATATATATTTTTTCTTAAAAAGCATTGTAAATGAAATATAAAAAAATATTTACCATTTTGATCTTGAGCTTGAACAAGGTGAACAATAGCCAAAGTTGATATAAATGAGAGCAACAAAAGCCTATGGCGACTCTCCATATTCTCTTATTTCCAAAGCAATGTCAATGCAAGTTCTGCTTCAAATCAAAACAATATATATGATGTCAATACACAGTGGAAGCACACAACTATATATTGTGCCACATTACAATAAAAGCCTTTCCAAAGTGAAACCTCAAAATTACGTGAGAACATGACTAATTATTAGGATACAAAGAGAAATTCAATGATTAAATACGTAATCTAGTGGGCAATAAGATGTTTTCAAATTATATACCATTCCCCCTCCCTCATATAACTCTGTTGGGCTAAAATTCCATTCATATACCGTCACTTGCTAATTAATATTTTTCTTATCAGTCACACTGCAAATTAATGTTGTATCATATCATTTCAGTGTCAATATTATCTGTAAGATTTAGTTTTGACTTTTGACATTGATATATGTTATAACACAATTTTGAGGTCTTATTTTATGCCCCAAAAAGAACAACTTGAGACCTTCTGATTTTGGTTGGCTTGCGTGCGAGCTAATCGGAGATTGCCTTTTCTGGTTTGATTCGTTGACACCTTTTGAACAATTCATCACATATTGGTCAGTAGGGTCCGCAACACATATATATTAGGAGTATAATTTTTGAAGTTTAACAAGAATTGTATCAAAGAATTCATTATAGTTGGTCTAGCTCCCCCGTCGAACACATATCCTCACTGGCCCATTCATTTGTCTAACTCATAGCTACCACCAACTTTCAATAAAAAAAAATCAATAATCATTAAATAGAATGGTTTTGAATTATGGCTTCAAGCGCGTGGTTAAGGCCACAAATCTTTTCAACATTGTTTTGAATTTTATTTTTCAGCCGAATATTTTCTAAGAACGATGCACTAGTTGTAAAAACGTATATTTTTTCTTTTGAATATAATTTAACATTAGATTCAAAAAACAAAAAAAAAATAGAATGGTTTTTAAAAAAAATTGTTTTCATCTAATTGTTCAATTTCGGATGGATTCGGATATGGTTAAGGCTAGTTGGTTCGAATTATCATTCATTAATTTACATTTTACATATAAAATATAGTTTTGAGTAAGTTTAGCTTCTTTTTTATGACCAAGAAATCATTGATCTTACTGACTGATCTGAAGTAATAACACTATATAACTTTGCTGACTATAGTTATTCTGTTAGCAAGAAATCATTATTCTTGGATCGAAGACCATGGTAATTAAACAACGTTTGCGAATAGTTTTCTTTTCATTAGAAAAATTAGAATTTAGAGACCTTGCACCCATTTGGATAAGGTTTTAGATATTGCATTGCATCACTTCTTATATAAGCTTTCAATTACCTTTCTAATCTTATCAGACTTCTTGTCGGATATCATATGATTAAACAAATTAAACTTTTATTAAAAAGAATCATAAATAAGACAAAAAAAAAAAGGTGTAGAAATAGAATAACACATGGATCTAGCTCGTCCACAACTAGTTTCCATGTTCATCTTGAACAACATACTACGAATCAATCTTGTCGCTGGCCGTTTCTTGTCCAAATAGAGGTGACTCTCCTGTTCCTATTCCATGCTCTTGAGGACATAGGAGAGACCAAAACCCAATATTACTTGTCTATTATATTCCAATGTTTAATCTAGTAACATGTATATAACGATTAGCCAACCATATAAATACCTGTGGACATAGTTGGTGCTGTGTTGGACTGTTTCATCGCATTTTGACGCTTTCTCAAAATAGTAACCACAAACGCTGACCAGAGAATTACGAACACGGAGGCGAACGTAACGCCTAGAATGAGTGGTACATTGTTCTTTTTCTTTCCTCCTTTGCATGCATAATTAAGTTCATTATTTGTCTAAAAAATGAAAACTGTATCTTTATCTATACACGTTGATAAAAAAAAAAAAATCTTTATTTAGTTATTAAATATTCTGATATATAATAGTATCCAATCAAATGATATAATGTTACGTAAATACTGTTAAATTTTCTATATATGAGTTAAAATTAATTTAATTTATTTTGTTTTTGAAACTCAATACACCTTTTAACGTCAGGAAATGAAAACACATTCACTATCTTCAAAATAGTACTTCTTTAAATTTAACTTATTACCTTTTGGTTGTTTACTAAAACTTGGGAAAATCTTGTCAATTTTTGTGTGTGATGTAATTTGTTTAATTGGCCAGGAAAAAAAGTTATTAATAAAACATTTACATAGGTTCAATAGAAACTTACCATTATTACTACTGCCGCTTTGGCCCCCGCCTCCGCTTCCATTGTCCTTGTAGTTACTTATCGAATAGAGCTCCAAACCACTGATGATGGTCGGCAAACCCGAGTCATCGGTTGACTTAAAAACTAATTGGGACTCCGAACTGGCCATTACACCTCTTAAAACGACTTGAGTCGCTTTCCCAAAAACTGGTACTATGGGATGTGAACCCACTTGCATGCCGTCCAAGAAAACGGTGAACGATCGTTTTTGGGTCCGACCTAGACTCTGAGGCTCTGAGAAGTAAAGAGCTAAGTATATCGGTAGAGGGGTAGAGGGGAGATTCAGGCCGGACATTATTAAGCCGTCTCCTGACATTGCCTTCGTCATAACAATCTCTGGCGGTTTGTTCAACGCTCCGGTGATGTCTATGGATGGGGCTGAGGTTGTAAGATCGATCAGTCCGGGGTAGTCTTGGGACCCTTTTGGGGACCATAGCCTACCGTAAGGATCTAACGGGTAGCTAAAATAAATTTTCAAGAAACCAAAATTAGAAAAATTATGGGTTTCATTTTAGTTAATAAATCGACATGAGACTTTAAATATACTACGACTAATTGATGCATATATGAATAATAGAACCCCAAACATTCGAGGACCAGTTTTGTATGTACCTTATAAGCTTTGTGGCACCGTACGCATTTCTTTTATAGAGAATGAGACCTTCTTCAGGACCAAGATCGTCATACATGCCGGCATCGAAGTGGTAAACTTCAATGGAAGATATAAAAGGGTTATCGGACGGAGACGTACGGACGAGGCAAACGCTGATATTCTCATTCGCTGGAGCAAATATCACCTCAGAGTAATGGAATGATTCCTCGTCGCTGAACAACGAGTCAACTGTCATAGCAATAGAATCACGGTGTTTCCCATCGTAAACCACGTCGAATGATGGTGGCGAGTAATTCTCGTCGTAGTTTTTGTAGTAAAATTTCGTCCTCACGAGGGTGGTCCGGCCTTTTGTCGCCGGAATGTTGGTGTAGCAATTTGTTTGACCGGTTGGAAAGTACCGGAGGGTATTGATCGGTTTTTTGACGACGTCCGTGATATTAATGGACTCGCCGGTGGTGACGAAGCCTTTATCTCCGACCCATGTTACATTGTTGGAGTCCACGTACGAACCCGTTGTTCCACAGTCAATGCTTATACCTAATGATAGTGGGAAATAAATAACCGATCAGTAATTTGAAAATAGTTTGATTTGGTCAGATTATGCAGTAATCAAACCCCATTGGTCAAATAAAATTTAGACATTCTTAAAATGTTAGGTGTATACTTGTAAAATAAGAAGACTATCATGTGATACAACTTCAATGTAAACTTCTTTTCTTTATTTTTGGTAAAGTTATATTTCCTTCTTCACAAATTGTACAACCCTTTTTGGTGTTTTAGCAATGGGTTTCAACTACGTGATACAATGAATATCTTTTAACAAAAAAAAAAAACGACGTGATATACAACTGTAGTTAAAAAAAAAACTTGTAAATGGAATTTATAAATGTTTGTACGTACCTTCTTGAGCTTGAATAATGTGGAATTGGTGAACTATAACCAAAGTTGATATAAATGCGAGCAACAAGAGCCCACTCTCCATATTTTCTAACTAAGGAGCAAAATCAAGACAAGTACTGCTATAAATCAAGGATATGTAAGATATCTAATACACAAGTGGGAGTACACAACTATTTCTCGACACTTCAAGAAAATAATTTCCCAAATGAAGCCACAAATTACGTGAGAACATGACTAATTATTAAGATGCAAAGAGAAATTCAATGATTAAATACGTACTAGTGGGAAATAAAATGTATTTTTTTTTTCTAATATGTTTAGAAGCCCTATTATATTCAAGTGGTCTAGTTTAATCATAAAAACCTATAGTATATCGTATGAAAGACATTCGAAACTTAGTAGTTTTCTATTGGGATTTGAAACCGTAAAACAAAACCGAAATTTTTGTATTTTAAATAAGAAAATAGGTGTCAGCTCTAGAATTTTAAACCCTATAAGTTTCACTTCTTATATAGAATGAATCTTGATAACAATTTATATTTTGTCGAGTTTTTAACTTTTTATTAATAAAACTGCTATAGAATGAATTTTTTAATATAGCTTTCCCTAGCTAGGATTTTCTTACATATACTTTATCAATTGCAATTAATCATTTTTATCATCCATTTCCAAATTAATATTTGATCAAATAATTGTCAATGCCGATATATATAGTACAGGGAACTTTGTTATTGACATTGATACAGTCATACATAATTTGAGGTCTTATTTTTCCACACGAAGGAATGTGGTCTTAGCTGGTTTCCGGCTTTCCGCGTGCGCTAAAATGTGAGCAGTAAGGCGACAACTTTTATTCAGATTATGAATTTATTAAAAACCTTTCTCCCTAATTAAAGAAAAAATGTGGAAAGGAAGTAAAAATAAATGGGGAAATTTTTTGAACATATTTATTCTCTATGTTGCATGGAAACGGAAACGGAAACGTGGAAGCGAAACGTTTCGGAAACGGGAAACGATTTTTTTCTAAAATTAGGGATTGGAAACGTTTTGGAAACGTATACACATATATGTATATATATATATAACATTAACATAAAACTATATTATATTAAAGAAAAATGGTTTAATTAAACAATACAAGTCCAAAACATAAATATTAAATAGGTTAACTAAAATTATAAAAGATAAAGATTAAAAGGTTCAAGGTCAAATATTTAATTTAGACCAACATTTTCATTCTCATTTTCATTAGTTTCATCATAGATCATATAAAGATGCCTCCAAATCTAGTTTGTCGATAGAAAGATCTTAAAACTCAGAGTCCTCTAAAATTAGTTATATGTATTATAAATCTTAATATTTTCAACTTTTATTTATTAAGTTTCCAAAGTCAATAAAAAGGATTTGTCGCGTTTCTATTTTGGAAACGTGAGTTTCCATCGTGTTTCCAAACATAGATTTTTAGGAAACGCGTTTCCGTGCCGTTTTTCGTGTTTCCGAAGAGTTTCCGTTTCCGAAACGTTTCGGAAACGGGAAACGGACCTTGAAGAGAGTTTCCATGCAACATAGTTTATTCTTGTATCGGCTTTCAATTAACTTATCCCATAAGTTTTATAACAAATGTTGGTCTGATAGAGATTAATTATAATACCTTTTATTAGAAAAGAATCATAAATAATAAAATACATGGAAAATAATAACACATGAATATAGCTCGCCGATAAATAGCTAGTGTCCATTTCCCATATCAATGCCGTTCATCTTGAACAACATAAGAATCATTTGCGTCGCTGGCAAATTGCTGTTCAACTAGAGGCGACATCCCGGTGCCTATTCCATGCCCTTGAACATATACGAGAGACCAAACACCAATATTACTTATCATGTATATGCAAATATTCAATTTCATAACATATATAACGATTAAGCAACAATATTTATACCTGCGGACGTGGTTTGTGTTGTGTTAGACTGTAGTTTCGCAATTTGACGCTTTCTCAAAAAAGTAGCCCCAACCGCTGATGAGAAAATTACAAACGCGAAGGTGAACGTAAGACCAAGAATGAGTGGTAATTTGTTTTTCTTCTTCTTTCCTCCATTGCTTTTTGCCCCACCTAAAGCCATTATAGAAGAAGGGTGTCAAATTGTTTTGTTTAATAATATAACAAAAATTAAGGCGTGTATTATATAAGTCCATGTTTGTCTTAAAAATGCAAATTGTATATTTACCTATATTTACTAATTAAATGTTAGGAGAAAGATGATCTAATTACATTTAATCGATATTAATTACATCTTCACTGTAAAATAATTGTACAAGTTAAAATAAAGTTAACCTAATAACCTTTAAAATGAGTACACTTTTCAATAACTTCCTAAGACAGTAAGAAATATTATTTATCATTTATTAAATTTTGTATCCAAATTATATTTTTATCTTATAATAATTATTTGATATCCATGCAGCTTTGATATTTTTTCAAATCTCCAAATAGTTAGACATACCATTTAATAAAATATAGCTTTATAAGATTTATGTCCAAAGATATAAAAATAAAACAGTGTATACGAATTTGCCGTTAAAATATTGTGTACTTATAGATTAACTAGATCTTGACCCGCACATACGTGCGGGGTTTCATATTTTTAAAATTTTTTTAACAAATTTTAATTCAATATAAATTATTTCGTTGTTTCTATGATATATATTTTAGTGTATTATATCTGGATTCACACCTCCGTGCAGAGATATTTTTATAGAAATTGTTATATAGATTTTAAAAATATAAAATATTTTGTTGTGTTAGTAAACTTTATAATAGTATAAATATTATAAAATTAGAGTAATGAACGAAATTCAGTTGCGTTAGTGCATAGTTATATTTTAAGATCCTGACCTACACGTACGTGCGAAATTATATTTAAGATAAAACTAAGATATAATTTAGTTGCAAAAGTTAAATGATGTTACTTTATTCATTTTCTAAACTAATCAAAACATTTCTAATAGTTTGATTACATGTGTTAAATAGGATATAGATTCGGTTTGAGTTTGGTTATTTCATGTATATTAGCTAGGCGTAACTATTTTGGAACGGGAAACCTATCTCGTCTTTTATATGTCATAAATTCTTAGTCCCATAACCCGTATCGTATACGTGAAATAAAAATATGACGGTCCAGTATCCGGCATAAATAGAATATGTGTAACTGAAAACGTACGTACAGTATGTAAACAAATTTATTTTATATAGTGCTCATAACCCGAACTCATACCAGTTGGGTATTTAGTTTGATTTTTAATTTATGTTCCCCTCCTATCCCGTCTCGTAATTCCTATTCTCATTTCATTCCATTAAAATCATGTTCCAAATTCTTGGTTGCTTACTTTTAAATACCATACAATACATACTGTGAGTTTTGCAGATTAATATATATGCTGCTAAATTAAAAATATATTTTAACAAATTTATTAACGTTTCTTTCCTTAGCTAAATTTTGCATATTCTTCTTTTTATTGTTTAATCATAATTAATTTGATTTTTGGACTAAAAATAAAAATTTGAAATACATCTCTAAAAGGGATATGCTATTGCTGCATAATTTGTTTTGAATTCAAAATATATAATTAGTTTACATTATTTGAAAACTGGGTGCAATATATTAGGGATTTATTTAAGGAAGATCCGATTGAAAAACAAAAAATAAAACGCAAAATAATTTAGAAATTAATATATACAATCTATTGTTTAGATATTTATCAAACTTGCTCTAAACGAAGGCTATAATGATAATTACTTTAAATTTATTATTATTTGAGTTTATTTCATAGTAAATATAAATAGTTGTTAATATCTAATATCATATTTTAGAAATTATGAAATAAAATTTGGTTTATATTTTAAAATTTGTGAAAATATTATAACAAACTGAATCTTAAAATATTTGTATTTAATTTTCTTATGAAATTTTAAATTCAATCTTAAAGTCCTCCATTGATAAATCTTTTATACGATAGTGTTTTTAATTTTGAATTAAAATGATATTATTTTTCTTTTTATTTTTGATAAAGAATAGTCTATTACGATTGGTTTAGATAAAATCTTAGTTGGATATCAAATCTTAGTCCAATTCTCATTGGTTAACAATTTTTTAAAAATTAATTTCATATTTTCGTTTATAATTAATAGGAGAGAGAAAGTTAGTTTAATTTTTTAGAAATTAATAATTATTTAAAAGAATTAAACTATTTTTAATTTAAATATATTAATTTTGTGATTACTATTGTACCCTTAATGAAGTTATTTAAAAACACTAAAAACTAATGGCAATCTTTGTAATATCTTACACTTTATAAGGTTATTTAAGTTATAATGATTCCCAATTAATAGTATAGATAACTTGACTAAGACAGCTTTTTCTCCATTTCAAAATTTTTAAAATATATATATGGTTTTGTGTTTGTATTAAAGAGAAAAATCGCAAAAATAATCAATTACTATTAAAAGAGGTTACTCCTACCAAAAATAAATATAAAGAAATGGGGTCAGATTATGAATACAAACCTCCTACTGCGTTGTTTGCTTGTGGTTTCGATCCGCCTCCGCCTCCGCCTCCACCGTCCCGGCTGTTACTTATCGAATAGAACTCCAAACCATTGATGATCGGTGGCAGAACCGAATCCTCGGTTGACTGAAAGACTATCTGAGATCCGGAGGTGGCCACTACATCTCTCAAAATGACTTGAGTAGCTTTTCCAAAACCGGGACGATGGGACGTGAACCCACTTTTGTGTCATCTAAAAAAACATTGAACGACCGCCTCTGGGTCCGACCTAGACTCTGAGGCTCCGAGAAATAAAGAGCCAAATATACCGGTAGACCGGTTAAGGGGATCAGACCCATGTTGGAGAGTATTAAGCTATCTCCTGACAATGCCTTTGACATAACAATCTCTGGTGGCTTGTTCGAGACCCCGGTGATGTCTATTGATGGAGCTGAGGTCTTGAGATCCGTCAGTGAGAGACTGTTTTCGGACCCTGAAGGTATCCATAGCCTACCGTAAGGGTCTAGCGGGTAGCTAATATATTTTCCCAAGAAACCAGAAGAAAAAAAAGGTGATTATAACCTTGAACCAAAGTTATTATAACGAATTAACACAATTTTTAAAAATGTTATATCTTTCTACCGATGCATTCACAAACCCCAAACATTCCAGGATCGACTTTGTGTATACCTTATAGACTCTTCAGCACCGTACGCATATCTTTCTTGGAGAATGAGACCTTCGTTGGGACCAAGTTCGGCGTACATGCCGGTATCGAAGCTGTAAACTTCAATGGAAGAAATAAAGGGGTTATGGGACGGAGATGTACGGATGAGGCAAACGCTGATATTCTCATTCGACGGAGCAAATATCAACTCCGAGAAATAAAACCTCTCCTCGTCGTTCTCCGACGACTCAGTAATTTCAATAGAATCACGGTGTTTCCCGTCATAAACTATGTCAAAAGATGGCGGCGAGTAATTCCCGTCGTAGTTCTCGTAGTAATATTTCGTCCTCACGAGGTTTTTCCGGCCTTTGGTCACCGGAATGTTGGTGTAGCAGTTGGTTTGACCGGTTGGGAAGTACCGGAGAGTGTTGATTGGCTTTGTGACAACGTCCGTATTGTTCATGGGCTTGCCTGTGGTGACGAAGCCATTATCTCCGACCCATGTTACATTGTTGGAGTCCACGTAGGATCCCGTTGTTCCACAGTCAATGCTTATACCTAATGATGATAGAGCACAAAAAAAGAAACAATTAGAGAGTTAAAACAAATTGAATTGGGTCATGTACTTATTAAGGAAAATGTTAATGTGGGGAGTTTTATATGTGTAAGTACTTTCTGCGAGTGAAAGAAAGAGAGAAAATAGAGTGATGAAGAGAAGGAGAAGCCACGCCATCATCAACGAGTAATAAACTTAATTAGCTACATGCATTCATACGTAATATATAGATAATAATCTAGTTGACTTGACTTTTGAGAAAGCACACAATACGTAATGTCCATTTCTAGTTGACTTGACTTATGATTACACAGCTCATGTAATAATACTTGCACAGCGGTTTAGATCTGGATTTGGTTCTAGACAATTGTCAATTCGACAAATGAAATAAGGTAACAAATGAATAGACAATTATACATTTATTAAATACAAATATAAAAGAACATTGAGGATAAAATATTTCCGACTAGTCATGATATTATTATAGAGAGCCTATTGTATAAAAGTGTGTGATTGGTTCAGCTGTACCTGTAGAATTTTTGCTGTAGAGTTTCTGCTGTATCTGTGTTAGCTGTAGCTGTAGTTTTTTTATCTGTAGGTATTATAATAGGAAAGCTAAAGCCTGATTGGTAAAGTTAGTTCAATATTATAGATTAAAATTTGAAGTATATGAATTTAAAAAATTTGTAATATATTACATACGATAACAGATGAACATATAATAAATAGTAAGTTTCATATATAAATAATACATTATACAATTTTTGGTGAAAATATATATTATAATATATAATTTATAATAATGAAATGAAATATGTATATATATATAACTTATATAATTTTCTGTAACTTTAGTAAAAATATTGTAAATATATTTTTTTTTTTATTCTTAAAGTATCATGTACTAATATGCAGTAAAAACAATAATAATTAAATAAAAGAGAAAAAAATGTCTACAGCTCTTAAAGCACACAAAAATATGCTGTAGAAATTTTAGAGTTACAGCAAAAAAACTAAAAAAAAGTTGTTTTGGGCTGTGAGATTTTTTAGGAAAGCTAAAGCTTGATTGGTTCAATATTAAGGCTTTAAGTTTTTTTTGAGTTGTACTATAAAGATACAGCCCAACCAATCACACCCAAAATCTCTAAAATGTTTTCTGCTTAAATGTACGCGTCTGGGGGTGTTTTGAAGGAGAAATTTAAGGTGATTTGAGTTTTAATGAGTTTTGAGATGATTTTGGTAAATTTTGGTCAATTAGGAATTGTATTATTAAAATTCTCTCAAATCTCAGCTAAAACCATGGGATTTGGATTTTTATAGTATCAACAAGAAATTCCCTAAAATCTCACGTAAAATCATTCAAATCACTTCAAATCTACTACTTAAGATGTTTCCAATAACAGTAAATTTGATTATACATTTTATAATTACTAATCCAATAACATTTGATTTTAGATGAAATTTTAAAATTCATGTTTAAATAATATAAGGTTTGTCATTTTAATACAAATCACTCCAAATCTTTTATTCAGTACACCCAACTACATATATTTGTGGTGATTAATTACTATAATACATTACTTCGTTAATTAAAACTATTCTTTCATCAGACTATCTTTATAAACTAATAGAAAAAATCTCTGTATATTACATTGTGTTTTTATTTTAGTTTTGGATTTATATTTTTAAACAATCACTGACCAAATTTTACACAAACTGGAGCAATTATTTAAGGAAATGCAGAAGTAGTCGCTTAATTATAGGGTACTTGATTATTAAGAATAAGAATCGACAATTGAGTTTGGTACAACTTATTTGGTTGACTTAGCCTATAGTTGACATATTGAAAGTCAACGGTGTTTGTATATATGCTACTATGCTTATATATTACACATAAGACTTTGAAGTAAACGACTGACGTTCATCCACATATAATTAAAGACATTGTATTAGTATATATACACATTTATATATATGCTATTATGCTTATATATTACACATAGACTTTGAAGTAAACGACTCACGCTCATCCACATATAATTAAACGAACATTGTATTAGTATATACACATGTGTGTATATTTTTAATGAAGTCAAAAATATATTTACCGTAGTGCGAGCAAAATGGTTGGATAATTTCATGTGTTCTGCCGATTTCCCCGCATCTCAACGTCAGTACTATCCAGAGGTGAGTGGATTCAAAGGATGTCCCATCCTGATAATATGCCTTTGTTAGGCCTCCAGTTTTGAATGAGAACGAGGTTGAGATGACATACTCACCAAATAGGACAAGTCCACACGCGTAAGTTCTTGTGTTTCTAAATTTCTAATATAGTAAATAGCAGTAACCTTGTTGTGCATATTTCAGATTCATCATTTAAATTGAAAAGAACTAATATATATATGTATATATATAGCTATATAAATTTGAGTACACAGCTTTTTTTCTTGGGATAGAGATATTCATACGACATTTTTCGTATTGACAAATAATTGAAAATTTAGAAAATCCTTCTAGCTAGGTCGTCGGCAACTAGGCCGGTCCATGTTGATGATGATCATCTTGATGAACAACATATGAATCGTTTACGCCAATTAGCTCGTCGATATCATACACACCCGGCTCATCATGCCCTGCAGGGTGGTTTGCATCGCTAGCCAATTGTTGTCCAACTAAAGGTGATATCCCTGTCACCGTTCCTGACCGTTAGAAATATAAGGCAACCCAATAATGTGCTTGAATAATCAAATAATAATAGATAGATGTATGTATTTTTGCATCAAGAATATATATGTATTATGTATACCTGTGGACGTGGTTGGTAGCGTGTTGGATTGTGGCTTAGCGTCTGGACGTTTTCTCAAGAAAATAGCCGCAAATGCTGACGAGAGAGCCACAAACACAGAGGCAAACGTAACGCCAAGAATGAGTGGTAATTTGTTTTTCTTCTTCCGTCTAACTTTATTTGCCCCACCTAAGACGGTGTCATGCAAAGGAATCAAATGGTTTAGTTAACAACATTTATTTAATTTCATATCACCGCAAAAGAAAGAGTATGCATTTATTTAAGAAATAAAAGTGATTAGACTTTTCAAGTAAATTACTCCTCAATTATTATGTCTGATTAATAGTGATAGTGTCAATAAATCATTTAGGTAGTATCTTTCATTAATTAACCAATCAATTCATAATAAGTTAATAACCATAGAATAATTAATTTGTATATCCAATTTGCGAGTACAAACCTCCCACTGCATTGTTGTTTGTTCGTGTTTCCGTTCCTCCAGAACCTACAACTATAATCAAATAACAAAAATAAAATATAATTGTAGTAGCAAATATGGTTAGCTGGTAGGTTCATTGGTTAAATTTACCACAAAAAAATAATTGCTTATGGTTATGTACAAGTCAGAAAGAAAACTACCTTCCGAATCATCATTGCTACTGCTAGTTTGTCCTCCACCACCACTGCCGTTTTCTTCTCCTCCATTATCGCCATTGTCTTGGCCGGAACTTATCGAATATAGCTCCAAAGCATTGATGATTGAGGGCAAAGTGGAGTCGTCCGTAGACTGAATGACCACTTGGGACACTGACGTGGCCACCACATCTCTTACAACAACTTGAGTGACTTTCCCAAATACCGGTATGATGGGACCTGATCCCACTTGTGTGGTATCTAAGAAAATGTTGAACGACCGTGTCTGAGTCCGACCTAAACTCTGAGGCTCCGAGAAATATAGAGCCAAGTAAACCGGTATGCCCGCTAATGGTAGGGTCTCGTCTGATAAAATTAAGCTGGCTGCTGACAAAGCCTTTGACATAACAATCTTGGGCGGCTTGTTCGACGCACCAGAAATGTCTACCGATGGAGCTAAGGTCGTTAATTCGCTGATTGTGGTATCGCTGGACGTTGACGGGAACCATAGCCTACCGTAGGGGTCTGAAGGGTAGCTAAAATGTATTTGCAAGAAACCAACAAAAGGAAAAAAAAAACGCATCAATACGGTATAAAGAACATGCCGGGTTAATCAGCCAAAAAAAGCTAATAAAGAAATGAGAATGTGAACGACTTTTTATTTATTTTAAAACTCATATACTATGGTTCAAAAGTATAAATAAAAAGTAAGCTAAAATTAGAAAATCATCCAAAGTATTCACACCAAAACGTTAGTCCATTTTTAAACAAAAACAACAAAAACTTCATTTCTAAAAATGTAAGTCAACAGATTTTAACTTAATATGAATTAGTAATTAGTGTTAAGTGGATATACCCTATAAGCTCTTTGGCACCATACGCAAATCTTTGTCGGAGAATGAGACCTTCGTCAGGACCAAGATCGTCGTACATGCCAGCATCTAAACTATAAACTTCAATGGACGATATAAAAGGATCATCTGACGGAGACGTACGGATTAGACAAACGCTGATATTCTCACTCGCCGGAGCAAATATAACCTCCGATATAAACAGTGAAGTAGTAACAACACTATCAAGGTGTTTCCCATCGTAAACCACGTTGAACGACGGTGGCGAGGACTTCTTGTCGTAATTCCCGTAGTAAAACAGCGTTCTGACGAGCGTTTTCAGACCTTTTGTCGCGGGAATGTTGGTGTAGCAGTTGGTTTGATCGGAAGGGAAGTATCGGAGGTTGTTGAGTGGCTCTGTAAGGTTACCTGGAATCAGGAAGGACTCACCGGTGGTGACAAAGCCTCTGTCTCCGAGCCATGTTACATTGTCAGAGTCCACGTAGGATCTCGAAGCTCCACAGTCGATGCTTATATCTAATGATAGTGTAGATACAAGAAAAAAACCATTAGAGTTTAAAAGAATTAAAGTAGGTGTTTCTTTAAGATAATAACGAAGATTAATGCATGCATGGAGAAATTTTTTATTTGTTAATGTTAGTATGTTACGTACTTTCTGCGAGAGAAAGGATTATGGTCGATAGAGAGAGGAGACTGAGAAGAATAAGAGAAGCCATGATCAAATGAGCTACGATGCTTACATTCACGTAGTAGTGTGTATATAAATTGATATATATCGTTGACTTGACTTATTGTGATATTATAAAACGCGTTTATTTGGATAGTACGTTTATAGTTCTTGATTGCGACTATATGGACTATGATTTCTGAATTTGGGTTTTATCATGCTACGATTATAAGGTCAAAAACGAAGAAGGTCATTCTAAATCTAACCATTACTTATTTCTAAAAAAGCATGAATGGTATACAATTTTTTCGCGTTCCGTTGAATACATATCATTCACAAAAACTTAGTTCTAAATTATAAAATATTAAAAATAAGTGATTTTTGAATTTTTCCCGCATGTTTAAAAATTATAACTAAATTTGAGAAAGTTCATTCATTTACTACATAGTAGCTTTTGACGTTTTAAAAGAAAAAATCATTTGTGTTCAGTTTAAATTTTGTTGTCATCTTATTGATTCTCCTATTTTATAATTCAACTATTATTGCGCTATTCAACCGATAATCTAACATATACCAATCAAACTCTATATTATACTGTTTTTTTTTTTTTTTTGAATCTAATGTTAAATTATATTCAAAAGTAAAAATGACTGTTTTACAACAAGTGCAGCGTTTAGGTAAAGAGCTTTAAGCTAAAATGCTAACAGGAAAACATGATTTCAAATTCTAGATGTGAACCACATTTGGAGTCCGCTTTCGTACCTCTTGTTTCCCGAGAGACGGATCATAGAGAGCTGATTTCTGATATGTTTGTCGATCCAATTAATTTGCCGAGACGGTGAGTTCGGGTCTTCACCATGCACACGCCCATTCCTCTCTCGCCATATCGCGTGAACAACAGCCTGTTCTCTTATTCTATTATTGAATAGTTTTGTTATTTATCTCATATATGTTGAAAATGCGATTCCGCATACTTTTGTGGCCGACTAGTCCGAATTATATTTGACAAATTAGAACATATATTTTAGGAAAGGTACAAGTGATTACAAATTAATTTGTATGAGATTTTATTATTTAGGAAGAACAATTCACACTTGAGTTTGTTCCAACTTATTTGATTGAGTGAATTTGGTCTAATTTTTTTGGGTTGACTCCGCGTGGAATGGACATTTTAGAGTTAACGGCTTTTGTATTGTTATGGGTCCATTTATAGAAATTTGAAAGTAAACGGCTCACGTTCATATATATATCCAATATTTTGTTCTTGTAATTTGTTTTTGTCTTTTTGACATCACGTTAATCCAAATTTTCAATACAAAAGTAGTCATGATACATGAATATTTAACGATCGATGTGTGGTTGGAAATTTCATTTGTTCACCGACTTGCCTGCAAATCAGCACAGTCCTAATCATAGGTTGAAAATTGAAATTAGTGTAGGGTTCGGTGGTCGACTAACAGATACAAAGCTTACGTAATATTTTATTTTTTTAAAAAAGGGCTAAGCTTACGTAATATTGATAGAATGTTTTTCTCAAGTTTTCTTCCTTGTTCTATGATTCTATTAATATTTTTTTAAGAAAGCTTACACCATTTTTATAAATGATTTCATGATAGAACCATTTTTTGGCTTTTCGTATCCTTAAAATTTCAACCACCAGCCGATTGAATGAATAGTCACCTAAACTTATGGTTTTGAGTCATTTGATCTTTGGATAAAGAATTGTATACCAAATTGGTTACAATCTATCGAGAGGTATAATAATAACCTTTCTATGTTGAGTTAAAAAGAGAAAACAGTCAAAGCTGCCGACAAAGAATGAAAAACTATAAAGTAGAAACCTTTCGTTTTTAACTTTGAGCTTGATTACGACTATATGAAGAAGACTAAGATAAAACACTTTACATAGACGTGGGCTAACAATTAGGCTATGGGCTTCCACCAATCTTGGTTACTTATTTAATCCAATAAATCATTTCCCAAACTCCACTATTGCATCTATCAATTTTTGCCAGCCACTACAACAATATTAATAATATATATGTGGTTGCGGTGTCTTGTTAGGAAATAATTCTATTTAAGAATAATGTCACAAGGAGCATTAGTGGGAATTATTTCCAAATTAATAAATTATTATAACATGTGTCATGTTCCATATGGTTGTATAATGGAGTGGTTAAACTTAATGTTGTCATTTTCTTAAAATCTTGCAAACCTAAAAAGATATGCATAAATACAAAAAGCTTTTAATCTTCAGTTTTTTTGGGCAAACTTTTGACATATAGTAAACTTTAAGTCTATAGTAAAAGACCAAGATTTAGTAGGATTAAAGAATTTATAGTAATATTGTTATGTGTTACATTACTAAATAAATTTTTCCTAAAAATAAGGTAAACAAACACTAGAAATATATAGACAGACAAGAATTTAATTTTAGTATTTAAAAGTGAACACAACCCAAAGAGGTTTCCATAAATTCAAGTGATCTTTTCATCGATATTCTTGGAAAATTTTAAATAAACATTTCAAAATTCACAAAAAAAATAAAAAATAATATCTTCAAACAAAGACTTTGTTGCAAACCACCACCATATGCAGCACCTGAAAATATAAATATAAATATTTTTTTATTTTGTAATAGAAACAAAAATAGTATCTAACATTTTTAAGAAAAAATTTGTATTTTACTATTTTCGACGACAAATAAAAAACAGCTTTTTGCCATTGACATATTAAATGCAACGAATAATTTACGTTTCTAATCATCTTCTGGAAATTCATTAGCCATTTAAAAAAAAAAAAAAACAAATACAGCCAGAAAATTCGATTTTATTCTTTCATCTTCTTTCTTCCTCCTTCTCTCTTGAATAGTCCTGAGTTCATTTTTTTGCAGAGTTCACAAAGAATCAAAACTTCTGTAACCAACCCTGTTCTCGCTGGAACCTACTCTAATACAAGTACAGATTTTGCTATCTTTTTATACAAAACCCCAAATACTCAAAATCTGAGTTTTTTTCCGTTTCTTGATCTCTATTCATTACCTGAATCAGCCCTTTCATGGGACCGTTACTTCTACTAAATTTTTTGTCTTAAAGGTAAATTTTTTTATTGTTTTCTTTAGAAAGTTTCCATCTTTGCTTGGTTTCAAGTTCATGTAAAAAAACCCTAATCTTGAATCTTGCTGATTGATTCTTTTTCCCGATCTGTTTCCATTTCCAGGTTTTTTCTCTATTGGGTCAAAATGGGTATTGAAAAGTTTGGAGCTTTCATCTTGATCTCGATCTTGATTTGCATCTGCCATGGATTCACACCTCAAGATAATTACTTAATCAACTGTGGATCACCAAGCAATGGAACACTAATGGGTCGAATCTTTATGTCTGATAAGCTCTCTTCGAACTTACTTACTTCTTCCAAAGAGATTCTCGCAAGCGAAAGTGATAACTCTGGCTCAGACATTTACCAAACGGCGAGAGTCTTCACCGAAGTCTCTAGCTACAAATTCTCTATCACTCGTGGTCGTCATTGGGTTCGTCTCTATTTCAATCCTTTTGACTATCAAAACTTCAAAATGGGTTCAGCTAAATTCGCAGTTTCGTCACAAAGTCATGTCCTTTTGAGTGATTTCAATGTTAAGAGTCCGAGAGTTGTTAAAGAGTACTCTTTGAATGTGACTACTAATGATTTAGTGCTCACGTTTACTCCCTCGGGTGGTTCGTTTGCGTTTGTGAACGCTATCGAGGTTATATCGATTCCGGATACTTTGATCACTGGTAGTCCAAGGTTTGTAGGTAATCCTGCGCAGTTTCAGGATATGTCAATGCAGGGTCTTGAAACCATTCATAGAGTGAACATGGGTGGTCCGCTTGTTGCGGCTAACAACGATACTCTTACGAGAACTTGGGTGCCTGACTCCGGGTTTCTACTTGAGAAGAATTTAGCTAAGACTGTGTCTAAGTTTTCAACTGTTAACTTTGTTCCAGGATATGCAACAGAGGACTCTGCGCCAAGAACCGTTTATGGTAGTTGTACTGAGATGAATTCCGCGGATAACCCGAATAGCATTTTCAATGTCACTTGGGAGTTCGATGTTGAGCCGGGTTTTCAGTACTATTTCCGCTTCCACTTCTGCGATATTGTTAGCTTGTCTTTAAACCAGCTATATTTCAATCTTTATGTTGACTCAATGGTCGCTGCTACGGATATTGATCTTAGCACTCTTGTGGATAACACTTTGGCTGGTGCATACTCAATGGACTTTGTCACGCAGACTCCAAAGGGTAGTAATAAAATCCGTGTGAGCATCGGTCCGTCTACTGTTCACACCGATTATCCAAATGCGATTGTGAATGGATTGGAGATCATGAAGATGAATAACTCTAAGGGTCAGCTAAGCACCGGGTCATTTGTGCCTGGTAGTAGTTCAAGCAGTAAGCAGAGTAATCTCGGGATGATTGTAGGTTCAGCCATTGGTTCGTTGCTCGCGGTAGTCTTCTTGGGAAGTTGCTTTGTGTTGTATAAGAAGCGGAAACGTGGCCAAGACGGTCATTCAAAGACTTGGATGCCGTTTTCAATAAACGGAACTTCAATGGGAAGCAAATACTCCAACGGAACTACGCTTACAAGTATAACTACCAATGCCAATTACCGTATTCCCTTTGCAGCGGTTAAAGACGCTACAAATAACTTTGACGAGAGTCGCAACATCGGGGTGGGCGGTTTTGGTAAAGTCTACAAAGGAGAGCTTAATGACGGTACAAAGGTAGCTGTGAAAAGAGGAAACCCAAAATCTCAACAAGGGCTTGCAGAATTCAGGACAGAAATCGAGATGTTATCTCAGTTTCGTCACCGCCATTTGGTTTCTCTGATCGGTTATTGTGACGAGAACAATGAGATGATACTGATTTACGAGTATATGGAGAATGGAACGGTAAAGAGTCATCTTTATGGTTCAGGTCTTCCTAGCTTGACTTGGAAACAACGGCTTGAGATTTGCATTGGCGCGGCTAGAGGATTGCATTACCTTCACACGGGTGACTCGAAACCGGTCATTCACAGAGACGTGAAATCTGCAAACATATTGCTCGATGAGAACTTCATGGCTAAAGTTGCAGACTTTGGACTGTCCAAGACCGGACCCGAGCTTGATCAGACTCATGTGAGTACTGCTGTCAAAGGAAGTTTTGGGTATCTTGACCCTGAGTACTTCAGAAGGCAACAGCTCACTGAGAAATCCGATGTTTACTCCTTCGGGGTTGTACTCTTCGAGGTTCTCTGTGCTAGACCTGTTATCGACCCAACACTTCCAAGAGAGATGGTGAATCTTGCAGAATGGGCGATGAAATGGCAGAAGAAAGGACAACTAGATCAGATCATCGACCAGTCGCTTCGCGGAAATATCAGACCCGATTCGTTAAGGAAATTTGCGGAAACAGGTGAGAAATGTTTGGCTGATTACGGTGTCGATAGGCCATCTATGGGAGATGTGTTGTGGAATCTTGAATACGCTCTGCAGCTACAAGAAGCAGTCGTCGATGGCGAACCAGAAGATAACAGCACGAATATGATCGGTGAATTACCGCCACAGATCAACAATTTCAGTCAGGGAGACACAAGTGTTAACGTTCCAGGCACAGCGGGACAATTCGAAGAATCGAGCATTGACGATCTCTCTGGTGTTTCCATGAGTAAAGTATTCTCACAACTGGTGAAATCTGAGGGAAGATAGTGAAAGATTGAGCAATGCCAGAGCCTAGAGAAACCAAAGATCTGATCTTTCGACAGAAACAGAGCAAGCAAAGTATGTAACCAGGAAAAAGCATCAGGTTTTTTCAGATAGGATCTTTGTCTCTGCTTGATCTGTTTCTACTGCAGATTTTCATCAGTCATGATACGAATACTTTGAAAATTTACCTTATTTTGTTCCTCTCTCCCTTATCCTGAGTTTGTATTTTCTTGATGTTCATTTTGAAGTTGTCTGAAATTTGTTTGTTCTTTTTATTATATGGATGTTTAACACTCTTGTTGTTTCAATTGTATTGTAAGTTTAGAAGTTAAAAACATAATTCTTCATGGTTCTTGTTTGGTTTGAGAAACTGTTTATTTCATCTTAATCTATATTGGGTTTTGTCTTGAAAGAGTATTGGTCCGGTTCCATTGGTTCGTTTCTTTCCTTCACCACGACCAATTCTTGAACTTTACACAATCATCAATAAAAAATTTCCATAGTTATTATTCTCATTAGTGATCACTAATCAATATTCGTAACCTTAGTAGTGGACGCACAAGACAAACATTTCCGTACGAGTCTGAAAACAAACGCCCTACACGACGATGTTTTGTTCTTCCTCAGAGTTTTCTTGGCTGCCTTCATTCCCCCTCCTCCTCGAAAACAACTCTGATTGTTTCTCTGATCAGCGGCTTCGCCACCTCCTCCATCATCGTCTTCTTCGTTCTCTTTTGTTGAAAAAGTGTAGCTTCTAAGGTACATTTGCCTACAAGATATGCTGTCAACCACCGTGGTGCGACGCTGGCTACCGTCGTGACTGATTGACCGAACGAAATCCGCTTCCGCCATCGGCCACTTGTAAAGATTGGCGTAAGTCATAACCGGCCGGATGCAAATGGAGTCTCTTTTGATGTTTACACAATCATCTATGCATTTTGAGGCCATGGTCGCTTTTTTTGGAGGGTACTTCTAACTTCTAGTGTGAACTGTTTTCCTTATTTTTGTTGTGATGAATTTGGGTTTTGCTTAAATATATATATTCATAGAAATCCTTATCATTATCAATTATATTACTTTTATTTTGTGATATAAAACACCAAGTCAGAGAAAAAAGTTGAGAAGTTTTCTCTAACTTTTTTGGTATGAAAGTTTTCCCAATAATATTTCTAAGTTTATCATAAAAAAGAAAATAGAATTACTCACAAAGGAGAATGGTCTCCAAAATCCCTATAATATTTTCTCATATCCCTCTTGCATTCTGAAATCTGTTCTCTCTTCCTACTTAAAATATCTCTCTCTCGCTCTCATTTTCTGATTCATTTATGTGGAAAGAAGAAATAGTAGAAAATTTAGGTAACATATGTCAAATTTCTTCATCTTTATTAAATCGTTTTGTACTGAGTTAGTCAGCTTTTAGAGTCTCTGAAGTGTATATATTTTCGAAGTTGTCGACACACCATAATCTCGCATGTGGTATGTTGCTATCTAGCTTCCGTCTCAGGGTTTCTATGGCTCTATCCTCAAAGCTTATTGCTTACCCTATCTATCTTATCTATGTTGTTTCCTTTTTTCGGATTAAAGGAATGAAAACAAGTATGTTTGTACAAAATAAAAATAAATAAATAAATACTTGAAATCCAAAGCACATCTATTAGAAAATATCCATGTGTATACGTCCGTAATTATCTAGTTAATATAAAAGATCATTGATATTGAATTCAATTATATGATTAAAAACAAAACTCTTATTACTCTTCTCTTTATTTATAAAATTAATTCACTGTTTAAAATCAAACTTATTAGGGCAAGTACAAGACAAACATTTCCATGTGAATCGGACCACAACTCTCCTAAGTAACGCCCTTTTACTCGGCCTTGTATATTTCTTCCCCGCCTTCTTCCTCCCTTCTCCTCCTCCACCTCCATCACCGTCTTCGTTCTCCTCTTTTTTTGAGAACGTATAGCTCCTAAGGTACATTTGCCTACAAGATAAGCTTTCCACCGCCGTCGTACGACCCTGGCTACCGCCGTGGCTTATAGACCGTACGAACTCTACCTCAGCCATCGGCCACTTGTGAATTTTGGCGTGAGTTCTACCGGGCCGGACGCAAACGGCATCGTTTTTGATGTTTACACAATCACCTATGCATTTGGATGCCATGGCCGAATCTCTCTAATGTTTATGTTTTTTGTGAATGTTGGGTTTTGCTAGATAAAATTAATTAGGTGTACTGTGAGTAATTATGTATAAATATTTACGTGTGTTCATCAATAGTCAAGGATAATTTTTTTCATAGTCATTAATAAATATCATAATTTATGGTATAGTAAAGGAAAGATTTGACTGACACCAAAAAAGAAGGAAAATTTTGACAACAAATTTGACTGTTTCTAACAACAAATATGTCTAGCTAATTTGAAACATTTCGATTAATGTACCTAATCAGATTACTAAACTTGCTCGGTCAACACAAACTCCTACTAATCAGTCAACCCCAAAGATAATAACATCAAATGATTATGATAAGAACTAAAACTCATAGACATGTTTGTCGATGTATAAAATATATTTAAGAAGAGCAAAAATTCGAACATGATTTTATGATGGTTTGGTTAATTAGTTCGTTTGAATTAGACTAATATCATACAAATTATTATTGTGACTCATATCCATTTTTCATGATTAAGCCATATATCATTCGTGGGCTTGAAATAGGCCCATTTATAGGAGAAAAGTGGGTAACCGATTTTTCTCAAGTCTCCGTTCTTTTATTTTGGTAAAAGGAAGTTTCTCGTTCTTTTGAAGCTATAAAACTTTAATTCGTATGATTAACACAACCACTAAATGCGAGAAATTACGGATTAGTCCACATAATCAACAAATCTCTCCACTTTCTTTAAACAAACATCATGTCGTTTCTCTCTTAAAAAGATGGATTGCACAGCGTTTTTTTCTCGTGTTGAAGAAAACTGCTAAATTCCGGTGTAAAAGAATGTATTCGTTAACCCAACGCAAAATCGAGCCAATGTAACAAAACGCAACCGCGAATATTTATCCCAAACAACATTACAACGCAAACGCGAATACAAACCGATCTGAAATTCCAAATGAAATCGCTAAAGGCAAATCCTAGAAAACACTTAAAAACGCTAAAACCCTAACCGCCGAATCCATAAAGAGTCCTTCCTTGTCTCTTAAGAGCATAAACAACATCCATAGCAGTCACCGTCTTCCTCCGTGCGTGCTCAGTGTAAGTAACGGCGTCACGAATAACATTCTCCAAAAAGATCTTGAGAACGCCACGTGTCTCTTCATAGATCAGACCACTAATACGCTTAACGCCACCTCTACGAGCCAATCTCCGAATTGCCGGCTTAGTGATTCCTTGGATGTTGTCTCTCAGAACCTTCCTGTGACGTTTGGCTCCTCCTTTGCCCAAACCTTTGCCTCCCTTTCCACGACCTGACATTTTCTCGGGAAACTTGAATTTTTCTCGGGAAAATTTGGATTTGAAGATTTAACAGTGAGATTGAGATGAATTTGAGAGTTTTGGTAAGAGGAGATGTGATTTATATACAAGACGGATCCAATTAATATAAACCGTCAGATCTCTTATTAGATCTAACGGTTGTTGACATCGATCCGGGTGAACAATCAGATTACATATTAGCCGTTGATCTAATTTTATCGACGGTTAATATTCTCGATCCGCGTGATGCCTGTAAGTGAAAATTTATGAATTTTTCAGTTAAGCGCCACGGATTGAGGAAAATAGCGCCAATTTTTTTTACCGTTTTTTATTAACGCAAATTAAATCATCATATGAACAAATAACATTCCACATACAGTATATATTTTACAAACAAGTAATATTCATATTTACAACTTTCATTACATGGCAAGTGACAAATAAAACAAAAAAACTATTTCACAATGGTTATAACATAGAGTTATGCATCGAAAGGTTTGGTTTATGTCACATTAGAGAAGAAGTTAACATGTATATGCTATCTTGCTTTAGGCTTCACGTCGTCGGTATCAAAGGTCACCGTCACACTAAGCTGATCCGAGCTATGACCAGAGTCCATGTTTTGATTCCTACTTGTCCTCGCGTTTTCAGAAGCAAGACACTTTTTAAGATTGATGATCACTTGTGACATGTTTGGTCGTTTGGCCGAAGAAGGATTTGCGCATGACATTGCTACTTCAAGAGCTCTCCAGACAGAGTGGGTGTCATAATTTCCGTGAAGTTTAGGATCCACTATCTGACTAGTGTCTCCTTTATTAATCAAAAATGTCACCCATTCTGCTATGTTAGGTTTTTCACGGGTTTGATCAATCACTCGTTGGTTTGTGATAATCTCTAGTAACAAGATCCCGAAACTGTAGACATCACTCTTCTCGGACAACTCACTTGTTAAGTAATATCTGTTAAGGCAAGAAAATGGAGTGATTAATTTGTAGTTTACAATTCTTGAACCACTTTAGAAGAAATGAAAACATATTAAAACCATTGTGTAAGATGATGAATATACTTACTCGGGATCAAGATATCCTAAAGTACCAGCAACAACTGTTGAAACTTGGGATTGATCGCCTCCTACTTGAAACGATCTAGAGAGTCCAAAATCAGCAATTTTGGCCTTGAACTCTTCATCCAACAATATATTTGTACTTTTGACATCTCTATGCACCATTGCTGGTTTGCATCCAGTATGCAAGTATTCTAATCCTAATGCAGCTTCGATAGCTATTTGCAATCTAGTACCCCAGTTTAAAACAGAGCCACCGTGTTTTCCTACATCAAAAGATTTAATTTTATTATCATCTTAAAACTACACTAAGCATCAAGCGAAATCGTAGATTTTTTACAGACAATCTTGTAAAAACGCTATTTTAATTCAACCGCTTTTAATTAATTATCTTCATTTGGTGATCCATAAAAGATTCCTATGAGTTATATATATGTTCACCTGATAAATGCTGATGTAGGTCTCCATTAGACATGTATTCATAAATGAGAGCAAAGTGATCTTGTTCATCGCAGTATCCAACAAGGCTTACCAAATTTATGTGGTGAACCCTTAGAAGAAGTTCAACCTGGCGGCAATGTAAAGCAAACACGCACACACACAGACATAAAAACATTGGTTTAACATAACATAAAGATAAATTACAGTTTTTTTGATAATCACTTATACTTAACAGTTAAAATATTTCTTACCTCAGCCTTAAATTCTTTATAGCCTTGTGCTGATGTTTGTGAAAGTAGTTTAACAGCTACTTGCTCTGAGCCATTTAGATCACCATGATAAACAACGCCAAACCCTCCTTCACCAAGAGGTCTTTGCAAATTCTTAGTCATTTCCATAACCTCTGAATAAGTAAACCTTTTCTTTTTCGTCTTGATCCACGGTTCATGCTTATTTCCTGCATGTAAAACAAATGCAACTATAGCTAAAATGTAATAATATATGACTGTTTCTTGATTTAGAGAGGTTATTATAAATATTCCATACTTGATGAGATTTTCTTTTTGAATACAAAAAGGAGGATCATCACAACAACGATAGCGGCAATGGAAGCGACTGGTGCAACAATCGTTACTGGAATTTTTTTCTTTTGCTTATCTATGCATGTACCGGAGAGACAAAGCTCTTTGTTTCCGACGACACTACATAAGAGAAGTTTAAAACTCATAAAAATTTATATTGAATTCATATTTCAAGTTGAGAATTGGAATAATGCATGGTTAGTTATAGAGTCAAATCATGTGAGAATCTTTCTTACTTTAACTTTAGCCCTTCCCTTTCTCTATCGCGAAGAGCTTGAGGTATTGCACCACTAAGTTTGTTCCCGCTCAAGTTTCTGTCGAAGTAGAGGAAAATTCATGTGTACACAAAAATGATTTCATGTGAACGTAGTAAATAGATAAATTGAGAAAGTTTATTACATGACCAACAATGATTTCATAGAGGCTAGAAACTCGGGCACCGTTCCACTCAAAGTGTTATTTGACAAATCCCTGGGATATGAAAAACAATTAACCATTATTTGCTTGTATCCTGCATATATCAAACTTTATTTTTTAATTAATCACTACCAATCATTACTTACAAACTTTCTAGATGAGTCAGATTCTGTAAGTAAGACACTATAGTCCCACTCAAGCCACTCGAAGATAAATTTCTGGTTATTAGAAACATATTGTAAGTTTAGATTATACAGAAACATGACATTTAAATTTAGTAAATTTAAATGTCTGTGTGAGAGATAAAATTAGATCTTACAAAGAAATTATTCTTGGTGGTACAGATATATCTGTGATGTTACAATTCAATCCATCCCACAAGAATTGTTTCGGTACGCATGGATCTCCTTGCCAACTGATTCTACTCAGTCCATAAGTAGATTTGATGTTCTTGATAGCAACCACTAGCATTAAATTTCATCGATGTCGGAAAATGTTTAATGAATAAGATTTCATGGATATCTTTAAATAATTATTTACTTATATAGCAAGAAAAGATAAATGAACTATATATTTTTGATACCTTCAATATCATTTGTCTGAGATTGTGGAAGCTGGAGAACTGAGTAAACTTCAAAAGCATTAAGTAGAGGTGGAAGTGTCGATCTTTCGGTTTTTATCAACTGAATTCGGCAGATACCTCTGTTGCATTGCCTAGGATTTGTTGTAAGCCTAGTCATTATTTCAAGATATTTAGGACTAACAACTCCAATAGTGTTAATTTTTTCTCCATTCAACACAATGTCGAATTCTCTAGTGTCATTGGCTTTTAGAACTTGGATCTCCGAAAAATGCATGTACAAGTAAATTTGATCATCAGGATTCTCCAAACGCCAAACCATCATCAGTGGCGCATCAAGATTTGTAGGTGTTGCGGCCATCTTAAGAGCAGCTTGGGGTGGATCATAGTGATTTTTATTGGACACATTTGCAGTTGTTGAGATTTGTGTCCATTCTTGTTGAGAATATGGAACCCACGAACGATCATAAACATCTTTTGGGTACCTATCACAACACACAATATTTCTCTTAGTATTGATATATAAAAATAAGTAAGAATCTTAACTTCCCAAGCTTCTTTAACATTTTTATGCATCGACATTTACATATAATAATTTAAGATATAGACTAGTTATGATTTGAAGTTGAATACGTACCGAAGAATAACGGTGGCATTGCTAAGATATATGCGAGAGTAATATTTCAAAGAACCAGATTTAGCGATGTAAGTATCACTCGCCAATGGTCGTAGTTCCAAAGCTGATATCATTGGTGTAGTTGCCCCTGTCTTAACAAGACAAATTTGCAAAGAGTTTGATCTTGGGATGTGAATGATCTCTTTCACTGTACCATCTGGCACTATTTGCAAATCTATTGTTGTCCACTTATTAGGACCGATATGCATATCGAATTCCGGGCTAACATTAAGCCCGTCAAAATTTCCATAGAAAAATGTAGCTCTAATAAGATAGTTCCTCCCTTCTTCCACTCTTAGATCATAGCAGTTTCGTATTCCATCTGGAAAGTATCGTACGGTCGCATACTGTTTTAAATTATCTGATTCAAGATTTTTAGGGATTCTACCGGTCTTTCCACTTTGGATGAAATTCTCGTCTGATGAGAATTGTATTCCGGTTTCCGATTCTATGTAAGGACTCTCATTTAGAGGTAAGCCACAATCTAAACTGATAAAACCTGTTATGAAATGAAAACATAAGAATGATGAAAAGAAGTGTTGAGTCATGCATAGGTGTATAGCCGTATAGGGGGAAAGAGTAACGGTAAAATAAAAAAGGTAAAGACTTATATATACATGGCCGGCTCTATAGAACTAGATGCCGAACGAAATTTTTCTAAAAAAGTGACTATGCATGTAACTAAATTTGATCGGACGAATCAAAAATTATGTTTTTTTTCCTGAATTATCTTATAATTACTATTTAGTATTTACTAATAATCATTCTATAGAAACTTATCATTTTGTTTAAATTATGTTTACAAATAAAAAATCTTATTTTAAAAATACTAATGTTATTATGTTTACTATTATGTTTAAAAACTTATAATTATGTTTACTATTATGTCATCTAACTTAATACTAATGTTATTTAAGCTAATTAAGACCTCTATAAATACTGACAAACAAATCTGATAGAAATCACTTAAGTGATATAAATTATGTTAAAAATATCATATGAATGATAAAAGGAAAAGACGAAGAAATAGTTGAAAAATAAAAGAAGATAATATTTAACACTAATAAACGAGTTCAGAAAATAATTATCATCTAAACTATTGAATAATATGGCATACTAATAGTCATGACCACCTCTGTTGCCATCTCATAAATCCAGGCTTGAACATGGTCCCTCTCTTTTGAGGGACGAATATGACAAACATAAAATAAAGTGTCCCACTACATGTGTTGTGTTACTAAAAAAAAAAAATAATTACTAAAAAAAATAAATAATAACTAACAAAAGTAGGGAAAACTATGAAGTAGAAAGACATCGACCCTATGCAGAGATGATATATAGTAAGTTAAACATTTTAATAGCCGCCACTACACTACACTTATAATCGGATCACATATGTGGCCTCAAAACTTGTTATTAATAGGTGGCCAAAGCAAAGTGATTATTATTGTGCCTTATGGCCGGACGGGAATGGGAATTACATACCTTCTTGATTTTGTCCTTCAGCAAAACGAATGATTGGGAAAACTCCAAACCATAACAACGACAACAAAAGCCAACGAAGACTCTTCATGATTCCCCCGATCACAAAACACGCAGAAAAAGATCAACACACACTTATGTACTCACGTTTCACTTATATACTCTAGGTAAGGACACACGTACAAATTAGCCTTCTCCAATATGAATACCAAATAAACCAAGCTGAAGTCAACCATATGAGAAAAATGAGTGACTAGGTATTAATTATTGCTTCAAGAAAACCAAGTGAAGGAGTGAGCAATAATGTCTTCTAGTGTAAACATCATTGTCATGAGATTAATATATGTTAAATCATGTGGAAAATCTTCATGCATGTTGTACGCGCATATCTACGACCAGGTCTATCACAAGCTTGAGCATACTTTGATTGGTGCAATTAAAATGATTTGTTAATTCTTGATATTATACAAAATGCAACTTGCTTAATTAGACTTTTTTTCTAAAGAACTTGTCAATCTGCGAAATATTTTGGGCTTTAATGTATTCACCACCGTGACGCATGAAGAAACGTTAATTAAGAGGGAGTTGACTTTGCTCAAAAAAAAAAAACAAAAAAAAAAGAGGGAGTTGACTTTGGGTGGTCATAGACTTGGATATATACGATATTCAAACATGTCAAAAGAGTTTATGAATGGTATTCGATCAAATAGTCTACACACTCAATTAAAAAATAAATTTATTAATGGGTTTCCATTCCCAGATCCCATCATCATCTCCGGATTTGATCATTCTTTTTTTTGATTCAAACATATTCTCTCTGATATGGCGAAAAGAGTGTTTATAAAAGTGTTACCTGACACATGTTTATGCCATCGGGTCAGTCGACTTGTTTTAGGACCTAGATCACTGTTTACAACGTGCTTTTAGTAGTAGTAAATTGATTTGACTGCATTGGGAAATAAGTTTGGTCGTCCAGCTGGACAACACCTTGGTTGAGAGAGCTTTGCATGTTTGTGATGCGGACATCTCTCTCCGTACAAATGGATCAATTGCTTTGTCCACTTCTAGTGACCTGGGAGTGATCTGCCTATTGGAAGGTTGCGAGAAGTGGCTCTATGACTCGACTCCCTTTAAGGCTATTATACGAGTCGATCCGCCGAAACTGACCGCATATATCTGTACTTTCAAGAAACCGAGGGTTTTTCCATCGATCTATAGAGCAATACCGGCCAAGTTGGTCTAAGTGTTGTGGTCCAATCGATAAATCACCCTCAAAACAAATAATTTTGAATCCAAGTGCAATGTAACGTTCAAATTTTAATCAGTTAAAATGAATATCATCTGGATGTTGATGATGGGTTCAAAGACCATGAATACCTCAACATGTGTTAATTATAATTTAGTTAGGTTTATGAGCTAAATTGTGGGTGAGTGTTTCCTATTATTTAGGTGTCAGTTAATGTTTGTTTATGTCTATTTAAGTTGTTTACGTCTGTGAAACTGGATGTGAAGAGAAATTTGTTTTAAGAAAATAGTTCTTGTGTTCATGTGACACATCTCTTGGCTTTGAGGAGGGACCTATCTGTTGAATGCTAACATCCTAATGCATAAACAATATAACACATTTCAAAATAAAACTAATTGAGCCAAAGTGAAAACGGAGTGGACGTACCCTCTACTTAAACCTCTGACGCCCTTTAGACAAATTTAACATCGGAACAATTCAAGACAACGAAAAGCATATCTTAGTTTGAACATTTCGTCATTAGCCATGTTGGTTGTTGCTAAACTCGGCTACCGTTTCCATTGATAGGGTCTTTAAAATTAATTAACAAGTTGACCATCTTCTGACAAATAAACTAACCTATAAAATAAGTATTTCCAACTAGAAACTTTCCAAGAAACCCAAATCTACAATTAAACTTCTTTTTGTAGAAACTACTATGACATGTTTTCACGTTTTTAGAGGATTATTGTCTTGGTACGGCTTTTACTTAAAATGTCTAAAGGAGTTGTGTGGCTCCATTGATTATATAAACTTGGGACGGTGACTTTCTTGATTATGTTTGGAAAGTAAGAGGATATGGAGAGTCCCCATGCGGTTTTGTTGGTCGTACTTATTGCAACTTTCGCTATTTGTAACCTTGTTCAAGCTGAAGATCAAGAAGGTATGTATCCACATTATTGAGATATGTTTATAGCGTTTTGTAAAAATTAAACACACATAAATATCTATATAAACAAAATAAACTAATCATGAATTTGCGTCTTCTCGCTTAAGTTGTGGGATTCGTGTTTTGGCGTCAAAACTGTGGAATCATATTTTCTCAAAATTGTGAAATCAGGTTTCCGCCAATTGTGGATTCATGTTTTATGCCATAATTTTGGATTCTCGTTTTTATTGCTAAAATTACAGAATATTGTTTCTTTTGTAAAATTTGTGGAATTGAGTTTTTCCGCAAAAACATGCGTTTTAAGAACAAACATGAGGTAACGTAACAGTGATAATAATTGAAACTTGTTTTGGTCTAATAAATTAGAGCATCTCCATTGGTTAGAACCCTAAAAGGTATCATGAATGTAGATGCCCTTAGTGACCAATTGGACAGCGGATCATTAGTGCAATGTATTGGAAATTTCTATTTAGTTATGGATATAACAAAAAACGAGCATCCTTTAAAGCAATTGGGTGTCATTTGTTTTTAATGACCATTATTTGATCTCTTGCATATCTTCTTAATAGGGTTCATCAGTTTGGATTGCGGTTTACCCCCGAATGAAGTGTCACCATATATCGAGCCGATTACAGGACTACGATTTTCATCAGACTCAAGCTTCATTCAAAGTGGAATTATTGGTAAAGTTGATAAAAGTTTTGAGACTCTTAAGTCATACATGACGCTGAGATACTTTCCAGATGGAAAACGAAATTGTTACAATCTTATTGTGAAGCAAGGGACAACTTATATGATTAGAGCTACAGCTCTATATGGAAATTATGACGGTCATAATAATAGTCCTAAATTTGATTTATACATTGGCGCTAACTTCTGGACAACACTTGACACGGGAAAATCTATAACTGGTGTGGGTGAGGAGATCACTTACATCCCAAGATCAAATTCTTTAGACGTGTGTCTTGTTAAAACCGACACGACGACACCATTTTTATCACTCTTGGAACTAAGGCCTCTAGATAAGGATACTTACCTCACTACTTCGGGTTCCTTGAAAAATTTCAGGCGGTACTATCTTAGTAATTCAGAATCTATTATCGCGTAAGTCTACTTTAAGATGACTTTGAGTTATGTTTGGTCATTTTGTTGTTCCTCGTTAATAAGATCTTTTTTTTCTATGAGGCACAGGTATCCAGAAGACGTCAAGGACAGAATATGGGAATCAAGGTTTGAGTCAGAATGGAAGCAGATTTCCACTACTCTCAAACCGAACAACTCCATTGGTGGTTATTTTGTGCCGCAGAATGCGCTTATGACCGCAGCAATACCTGCAAATGAGAGTGCACCGTTTAGTTTAACCGAGGAGCTCGATTCTCCTACTGACGAACTTTACGTGTACCTCCACTTCTCTGAGGTTCAGTCACTAAAGGCCAATGAATCTAGAGAGTTTGACATGTTGTGGGGTGGAGAAGTTGTTTACGATGCTTTTAGCCCTGAATATCTGAATATCACGACAATTCAAACCAATACTCCAGTTACTTGCAAAGATGGAAAATGCAACTTAGAGCTGAGAAGAACTAAAAACTCTACTCTCCCACCTCTTCTCAATGCCATCGAGTTTTACACGGTGATAAAGTTTCCACAGTTGGAAACAAATGAAACGGATGGTACGTTTGTAACCAATGCAAGGTTCATATATAAATATATAAAAGTTTTGAAAACATATCTTATGCTAAATCTAACATATTTCTGGTTGTATTTTATGACAGTTGTTGCTATCAAAGATATCAAAGCCACCTATGAATTGAATAGAATCACATGGCAAGGAGATCCATGCGTCCCGCAAAAGTTTAGATGGGTCGGTCTGGATTGTAACAGCTTAGATACATTAACACTACCAAGAATCACTTCATTGTGAGATATTTAAATAGCACAATCTTTTTAGCTTTCTTTGATAACAACATTTTTTTTTTACCTACATCACACTTATTTTTCTGTAAACAGGAACTTGTCTTCAACCGGCTTAAAGGGAAACATTGCAGCTGGAATCCAAAATCTTACCCATCTTGAAAAATTGTAAGTATGATAATAATTACCTCGAGTGTCAAATAAATTCATGCATGTAAGCGAGTAAGCGACTTTTGATTCTTCCAAACTTCAGGGATTTGTCAAATAACAATTTGACCGGAGGAATTCCTGAATTTCTAGCTAATATGAAGTCTTTGTCGTTCATGTAAGTTTCTCATGACATATTTGGTTATAGCATTCCTTGGGATCATGTTCAGCTATATATATGATATTTCTTTGGTTTAACAGAAACTTGAGCAAGAACAATCTGAATGGTTCAATCCCACAAGCTCTTCTTAAAAGAGAAAAGGATGGACTGAAGTTATCGTAAGAAGAAACTGCACCCATGCATTTTCATTTGAAATCCTTCACCACACGCAGTCAGAATCCTAAACGATCAGTCCTTTTTTTGTAGTGTTGATGAAAAGACTCGGTGTTTTCCTGGTTCATGTGTCACCACCACTAAGAAGAAATTCCCAGTAATGATTGTTGCATTAGTATCTTCGGCGGTGGTGGTCATTGTAGTGGTTCTAGTTCTCATTTTTGTGTTTAAGAAGAAAAAACCATCAAATTTGGAAGGTATATATTCGCCAAAACTCATACCATGATCAAATAAATATATATGGATATCACTATTGTACTAATTTGTTTTCTCTACAGCTCTACCACCGTCATCAAATACGCCATGTGAAAATGTTACATCAACCAGTATTTCTGATACATCGATTGAGACAAAAAGAAAAAGATTCAGTTACTCAGAGGTTCTGGAAATGACAAAGAACTTGCAAAGACCACTTGGTGAAGGAGGGTTTGGTGTCGTTTATCATGGTGATATAAATGGTTCATCACAACAAGTAGCCGTTAAACTACTTTCCCAATCATCAACACAAGGCTATAAAGAGTTCAAAGCCGAGGTAAACTCTTCGTAAGTTTATATATGTTAAACATAAAAGTTAAACCAATGTGTTTAATGTGATTTTTTCGTTGTTAATTTGGTGTACAGGTCGAACTTCTGTTGAGAGTTCACCACATAAACTTGGTAAGCCTTGTAGGGTATTGCGATGAACGAGATCACTTGGCTCTCATCTATGAATACATGTCCAATAAAGACTTAAAACATCATTTGTCAGGTGAAAGATTGTATAACAATCGCATACATATATTCTTGTAACGGAAAAGAACGAATACGATATCTGATTTTACAATCTACTATAGGAAAACACGGTGGCTCTGTTTTGAAGTGGAATACTCGACTACAAATAGCCGTCGATGCCGCACTAGGTTTGAACTATCCCAAAATAATTACATCCATGTGTTTTTACTATCACAACATATTTTCTATCGGATCAATGGACAAATATGATTGAAATATTAAATAGTATACAATGTTCTTAGTATTACTATTTTTGTTTGTTTTGGTCAATTAATTATTCTTATTATAAGTTAAAGTAAAACTAATGAACGTCTATATGCTCTTATCGTTGAAATAAAGTATTTCCATAATTTAATGAAACTTGCTATAAGGATGAAGGTACAGTTTTTAGAATTAAAATGTTTGGATATTTTTCGTTTTAAAAGGTTTTCAGATTCTTATTAAGATTTGTTAAAACCACGCAAGAAGTAATAACGAAAGTTTTTTTTTTCTGATATATTTATAGGACTGGAATACTTGCATATTGGATGTCGACCATCGATGGTGCATAGAGATGTCAAAAGTACAAATATATTGTTGGACGAGCAATTTACCGCTAAAATTGCTGATTTCGGGCTGTCAAGATCTTTCCAACTCGGAGATGAATCTCAGGTTTCAACCGTTGTTGCTGGTACTCCTGGATATCTTGATCCCGAGTGAGTATTATTACTCCACCCTAGATTTGATTTCTCTTATATATAACCACGATATATGGAATGGTCTATAACGAGAATGGACACGAGAGTGTTAAAATTGTGTCCTTACTCTTAGTGGTACAACAAACACATTAATTGTACTCTATATTCTTGCCTCTACAGATATTACAGAACAGGTCGGTTGGCTGAAATGAGCGATGTCTACAGTTTTGGAATTGTATTATTGGAGATAATCACAAACCAACGTGTGATTGACCCAGCCCGCGAAAAATCTCACATAACAGACTGGACGGCATTTATGCTTAATAGAGGAGATATTACAAGAATCATGGATCCTAACCTTCACGGTGATTATAACTCTCGTTCTGTCTGGAGAGCTCTTGAATTAGCAATGATGTGTGCCAACCCTTCATCAGAAAAACGACCGAGCATGTCCCAAGTTGTTATCGAGCTAAAAGAGTGTCTACGTTCTGAAAATAAAACAGAAGGCATGGATTCTCATAGTTCATATGAACAAAGCATGAGTTTTGATACCAAAGCTGTCCCTAGTGCAAGGTAGTATTGGCAAAGAAGTCTTACTCGCGTCGAGTAATTTCTGAGTGTGGTATCCTTCTTTGGTTACACGAGTTCTTTAATTTTGGTTTGAGACAACTAAACATGAGAGGAAAATTGTAATACTCTTTTAGTCTCGTGTTCGCTCTTGTAATATGTTTTGTGGTTTGAAAATGTGCTCAGGGTTTGCTACGTTGGTAGGCTAATTCTTCTTGAGAATGAAAAGCAGAGCCACTTATGATCAATATGGCCATAGAAGCAATTATTGACATTTGCCACTTGAAATTTGTTCGTTGGTGCTTTTGTGCATTATGAACAAGAGTGACGGCACAAGCTGGTAGGATAGTCTCAGAACCTGTTAATCAAAGAAAAGATAATATAGCTTTGTGATCACTCACCAAAAGGTCGTAGTTCCAAAGAACCAGATTTAGCGATGTAAGTATCACTCGCCAAAGGTCGTAGTTCCAAAGCTGATATCATTGATGTAGTTGCCCCTGTCTTAACAAGACAAATTTGCAAAGAGTTTGATCTTGGGATGTGAATGATCTCCTTCACTGTACCATCTGGCACTATTTGCAAATCTATTGTTGTCCACTTATTAGGACCGATATGCATATCGAATTCCGGGCTAACATTAAGCCCGTCAAAATTTCCATAGAAAAATGTAGCTCTAATAAGATAGTTCCTCCCTTCTTCCACCCTTAGATCATAGCAGTTTCGTATTCCATCTGGAAAGTATCGTACGGTCGCATACTGTTTTAAATTACCTGATTCAAGATTTTTTGGAATTCTACCGGTCTTTCCACTTTGGATGAAATTCTCGTCTGATGAGAACTGAATTCCGATCCGGTTTCCGATTCTATATAGGGGGGCTCATTTAAAGGTAAGCCACAATCTGAACTGATAAAACCTGTTATGAAATGAAACATATGAATAATGAAAAGAAGTGTTAGGTAATGCATGTGTATAGGGGAAAAAATCGGTACAATAAAAAAGGTAAGTACTTGCGTTGCTTAACCATGGCCGGCTCTATAGAAGTAGAATAGTAGATGCCAAACAATTTTTTTCTAAAAAGTGTTAGGTGCTGTTCGTTTGGCAGTCGCAAGCCTCCTGCGATTGCGACTGAAAGTTGTTCGTTTGGCAGTCGCAAGATCATGCGACTAATCGCGCAATCAATCGCTGTGACTTGCGACTGATTTTTTTGATCGCATGAAAAATTAGCGATGCGACTTTTTAAATAGCGATTAGTCGCAATGACCAGGCGCACGATTGCTAAACGAACAACATCCTGCGATTCAAAATCGCAGCTGCAATCGCAGTTGTAGTCGCAATCGCCCTGCGATTATGAAACGAACATGACCGATATGTAACAAAATTTCACCGGGCGAATTAAAATCTTTCTATAGAAACTTATCATTATATTTGAATTAACTATGCTTTAAAATATATGATAGAAATCAGTTAAAGTGATATAAATTATGTTAGAAATATCATATGATCATAAAAGGAAAGGAAAAAACAGTTGAAAAATAAAAGGAAATAATATTTAACACTAATAAACCAGTTCAGAAAATAATGATCAGTTAAATTCTTGAATAAAATGTCCCACTATATATGCTGGTGGTGGTGCTCACCATTCACCTCTGTTGCTTTCTGAATTCTGATAAATCCAAGTTCGAACATAGTCCCTCACCTTTGAGGGACGTATATATATATGCCAAATATAAATTAAAATGTCTCACTACATGTGTTAATTTCTTTGATCAAAAATAATAACTAACAACAATAGGGATTAACTATGATGTAGAAAGACATCGACCCTATGCAGAAGATGTAGTTGGTTAACAATTAATAGGCCTCTACACTACATTTAAAATCAGATTATGTGGCCTAAACAATTGTTATTAATAGGTGGCCTAAAACCGAGCGTTTATAATGCCTTATGGTCGGACGGGGCCATGCATGAGACTTGCATACCTTCTTGATTTTGAGCTTCAGCAAGACGAAGGATGAGAAAAACTCCAAACGAACCCAAGCAACGCCACCACAAGCCAACGAAGTCTCTTCATGATTCCGATCACAAAGCACGCGGAAAAAGATCAACACACACTTATGTACTCAACTTTCACTTATATATATAAGCTTCTCCAATATGGACACCAATTAAACCAAGCTAAAGTCAACCATAAGAGAAAATGAGTGACAATAGAGTTTATAATTACTTCAAGAAAACCAAGTGAAGGAGTGAGCAATGATGTCTTCTAGTGAAACATCACCGTCACGAGATTAATAAATTTTAAAAGTACGTGAATAGTCTTCATGCATGTCGTTCGTGAGCATACGACCAGGTCTTATCACAACCTTGATTGAGTAGAGATATTGATTGGTGCAATAAAATTGATTTGTTAATTCTTGATTATACATAATAATTCAACTTGCTTAATTAGACTTTTTTCCAAAGAACTTGTCAATCTTTGAAATATTTTGGGTTTTATATTCACTACCATTAGGCATAAAGAAACGTTAAGAGGGAGTTGACTTTGGGGTGACATAGACTTGGATATACGATGCTCAAACATGTCAAGAGTGATGAAAATAAACAAGTAGGGGTGTGCGTGAATCAGTTTAGTTGCGTGGTATTATGATTCTTTTAAAGACGATTAGATTAGAACGAAAAAAACTTCAAACCGATCGAGCCTTATATCACTGTAAGGTGTAAACTAAACCCAAATAGTCTACACCCAAATCCATGGTATAGATTTGATATTAATTCAGTATATTAAAATATATAAACTTAAACCAAAGTGAAACCATCCGTCTAATGGGAGATAGGCAGTACGAGAAAGCCTGCCAATTTTGGATTCAAACCCATGGTTAAATCAAATGTTATTTTTCGATAGTTTCAATTTTAAGCTATTTTTCAAACAAATGAAACACTACTTGTACAAACGTTTAGTTTTCTTTTGAATATAATTTAACATTACATTCAAAAAAAAAAAATCTAAAGTGAAACCAATTTTAATTGGACTCTTATTATTTCAAGCATCTAACGACCACTTAACAAATTTATACAGTATTGAACAATCAAAGTCAACGACCACTTGAAAGCCATCTCTCCCTCTCTCTGCCATTAAACCTATATTAATTCTCCATTAGTTGATATTTTCTTTTAATTGATTTAGACAAGTTGATTTTTTTCTGACCAAAAGACACACTAGTAACAAATAGCAAAAAATATTTCCTACTAGAAAACGTATTATACTAATGTGTATATTTCATTTCGTCACTTGCATTTTTTTTTTGGTTGGAAACTAAGACATGTATTCACGTTTTCAGAGGATTGACTTGGTACTCGTTAGGGTCTTTTGCTTGAAATGGCCAGAGTAATTTCGTGCCCGGCCTCATCGCTTATAAACTTCACTTATCGTTCAGAACTTGGAGGCTGTGTGACTTTCTGAAATTTGTTGGGAAATTAAGAGACTATGGATAGTTTCCATGGGCTTTTGTTGGTCGCAGTTGTAACTTTTGCTATAATTCACTTTGTTCAAGCTCAGGATGAAGGTATATGTCTCTACATTTTCTTGTTATTGTAGGTAGCGTTTTTTTTTCCCTAGAAGATTAAACTTGTCTCTTTTGGCATTCCTATGATCATCTTAATAAGAAAAAATACGGAATTTAACACCGATGGATTTAGCATAATTGAAAACGTTTCTAGGATCATATAGGCTATGGTCGGGTTTTACGCTCTGGAAGTAAATGTATCTTGACCCATGAAAAAGCTCTTTACAAGTTATATAAATAGCACTTAGAAAATACCAAGAACTAGGTGTTGTCCCTCAGGCATAGTATCTTGAAAAATTAGAGAAATTTGATATTGTGGTTTAGATATATATTTACTATCACATGTTGAACTTTTGTATCCGTCCTACCTGCATCGTACGTATGCATATACTACATTATATGCATAATAAAAATTGTTGTTCGTGGTATTTGATCAACTATAATAAGTAAATGATTAGGAAATTTTGAGATTGCACGTTATATATCTTTGTGGTATGGTTACAGATATAGTTTTACCACATCTAAAACTATTGTTCAAAACTGGATCACATTAAACTTTGATATATAGCTACCCACTCAGATATTTGTTTTTAGCTTCTTTACTATATCAGGGATTATTGTGTAAAACTGTCCATATATAGTTCTTTCTTTTGATGAATGTGGTTTTATCTTAAAACAGGGTTTATCAGTTTGGATTGCGGGTTATCTCCGAACGAACCGTCTCCTTATACCGAATCTGCAACTGGATTACAGTACACATCAGATTCAAACTTTATCCAAACTGGAAAAATTGGTAGGATTCAGAGAAATCTTGAAGCAAATTACCTAAAGCCCCAGATGACGGTCAGATACTTTCCAGACGGAATACGCAACTGTTATAATATCACGGTGAAGCAAGGAACCAACTATTTAATAAGAGCTAGAGCAATATATGGGAATTATGATAGTCTTAACATTTATCCTAAGTTTGACTTGTACATAGGCCCTAACTTCTGGGCAACAATAAACATTGGAAAATATGTAAACGGTACAAGGGAGGAGATCAATTACATCCCTAAATCAAACAGTTTAGATCTATGTCTTGTTAAGACAGACGATACTACACCATTTATATCGACCTTCGAAATAAGACCTTTGCCAAATAATAGTTACATTACCACATCTGGTCCGTTGAAGCTGTTTTCGCGGTTTTATTTAACGGATTCAGAAGATGTTCTAAGGTGAGCTAGTCTTCTTTAGTTAAAAGGATCTAAATCGTTTTTATTCATTCATATTTATGATATATGGCTAATAAATTAAAGATTGTGGCAATGAACAGGTACCCAGAGGATGTCTACGATAGAATGTGGAATTCATACACTGAGACAGACTGGAAGCAGATATCCACCAGTCTTACGGTGAACAATTCCAATAGTTTCCGTCTTCCTCAGGATGCTCTCAAAACCGCTGCAACACCGGTGAATGCGAGTGCACCGTTGATAGATATCGAGTATCCGGATTCCTCTAATGATAAAGTTTACATTTACCTTCACTTTGCTGAGGTTGAAGCCTTAAAGGCCAACGAGACTAGAGAGTTTGAAATTTCTGTGAACGGAGAATTCATTGACGACTCTTACAAGCCTTTATATCTGCAATCAGAAACGGTACAAACTCCGTCTACAATTATTTGCCAAGACCGAGAATGCATCGTAAAGCTGTCGAAATCAGGGAAATCTACGCACCCACCTCTGCTTAACGCCATCGAAGGTTTTGCGGTTGCAGAATTTCTACAGTCTGAATCAGATGAAAATGATGGTACGTAAGTAAATGATATAGTACTGCATGTTTTGTATATTACAATATGGTAATTCTAATATATTGTTCAAATTTATGGCAGTGATCGCTATTAAAAACATCAAAGCCGTCTATGGAGTGAATAAAATCTCATGGCAAGGTGATCCATGTGTTCCTAGGCAGTTTTTGTGGGATGGTCTAAATTGTAGTAGCACGGATAAGTCTACACCATCAAGAATCACTTCCTTGTGAGCTTTGATAACTAGATTACAATATACTTTTTCTAACTACTTGATTTAATTCTGTATCTTGACTTATAAAACAGAAACTTGTCTTCAAGCGGGTTAACGGGAACTATAGACGTTGGAATTCAAAATCTAACCCATCTAGAAAAATTGTAAGTATGATCATTTTTGCCTGGAAGATGAAACTCTTATTTCAATGAATTTTGATCTCCAAAATATTAAAATTTCAGGGACTTGTCAAATAATAGTTTGACTGGAGCAATCCCTGAATTTCTAGCTAACATGAAATCATTGTTGATCATGTAAGCTTCTTGACATTTTTGGTCGATGTACTCCACGTTATCACTTTCACCAAGGTTTGAATATTTTTTTTCTCTTTTACTAGAAATTTGAGCAAGAACAATTTGAATTATTCAATTCCACCAGCTCTTCTCAATAGAGAAAAGGAAGGACTGAAATTAATGTGAGAAAATAACTCCACTACCTACACACATTCCATTTCAGAATCCCTATCCATGCGCATTCATAATTCTATACAATTGATCATTTTCTTGGCAGTGTTGATGGACATGGGATAAATCAATGTCTGCCTGGTTCATGTGCCCCAAAGAAGAAATTTCCAGTGATGATTGTTGCACTGGTTGCTACAGCGGTGGCGGTAATAATCGTAGTGGTGATGATTCTTGTTTGTGTGTTAAGAAAGAAAAAGACATCAAGTCATGTGGAAGGTACCTCCAAAGACTTATGATCAAATCAAAAAAATATTATATATTATTAATTAAGGTGTCAATATGTCATAGATATCATTCTCTTACTAATTTGTTTTTCTGTATAGCTAATACCCCTTCAGTAATTACGCCGCGGGCGAACTTCACACACACTAGTATGTCAGAGACATCAATCGAGACAAAAGAAAGAAGGTTTAGTCATACAGAGGTTATACAAATGACAAACAAGTTCGAAAGAGCTCTAGGCGAAGGAGGGTTTGGTATCGTTTATCATGGATATATAAACGGTTCACAGCAAGTAGCTGTTAAAGTACTTTCTGAATCATCATCACAAGGCTATAAACACTTCAAAGCAGAGGTATGAAATGCTCTAAATCTTCTGAAAAAATCGTAAAACAAAATACATGACCTATCTTTAGGAACCAATATCTTAATTTTACATTGTTGGTATGCAGGTTGAACTTCTATTAAGGGTTCACCACATAAATTTGGTAAACCTTGTTGGGTACTGTGATGAACGAGGTCATTTGGCTCTCATCTACGAATACATGTCCAATGGAGACTTAAAAGAACATTTGTCAGGTTAAACAATCTATTGTACATCAACATTTTAGTTTCTTAAATTTTAAGAAAAGATTCATATGATGACTGATTTAGATGACTCAAAATATAGGAAAACGCGGTGGCCCTGTTTTGAGTTGGAGTACTCGATTGCGAATAGCTGCTGATGCTGCACTAGGTTCGTAAAATCTCTGACAATGTCAGTCACTTGTTTTTCTCATCACAAAACATTTCATGGTATCATTACTCATAACTGATTCAAATATACATGTATAGATTATCATTATGTAATGAATGTATGTATTTTTCTAATATTATAGGATTGGAATACTTACATACTGGATGCCAACCATCAATGGTGCACAGAGATGTCAAATGTACGAACATATTGTTGGGAGAGCAGTTCTCAGGCAAAATTGCAGATTTTGGTCTTTCAAGATCTTTCCAACTCGAAGATGAATCCCATGTTTCAACCGTTGTTGCGGGTACTCCTGGATATCTTGACCCTGAGTAAGTATTATTAGTCCAGTCTGGAATCATGAGATTTATCTTCACATTCATCTTCATCTGTTAAATTTATACACATGTATATATCTTATTCCATGTTTTTCTTGCCATGCTAGATATTACAGAACAGGGCGGTTGGCGGAAACGAGTGATGTCTATAGTTTTGGGATTGTATTATTGGAGATTATCACAAACCAACGTGTGATTGATCCAACCCGCGAAAAGTCCCACATAACAGAATGGACGGCATTTATGCTTAATAGAGGAGATATTACTAGGATCATGGATCCTAAGCTACACGGTGATTACAACTCTCGTTCTGTTTGGAGAGCTCTTGAATTGGCTATGTTGTGCGCAAACCCTTCTTCAGAAAAAAGACCAAGCATGTCCCAAGTTGTTATCGAACTAAAAGAGTGTCTTACTTCTGAAAACTCGATGAAAGGTAAGAATCAGGACACAGACTCTCATAGTTCCTTTGAAATGAGCATGAGCTTTGACGCAAAAGCTGTGCCTAGTGCAAGGTAGTGTATTTGCGAAGAAGCCTCGTTTGTGTGGATGCTGTACTTGTGCTTTTTGTTTTGTTCTTTTATCAGAGGAATGCTCCAATTTTTCAGTAAGAAAAGAAGAGGACAAATGTAGTACTCTTGTGATCTCTCGTAAATTTGAATTTATTGTTTGAAATTTGCGTAATGACCTTCCACATTTGTGGGCTACTTCATCATTAGCACCAAAAAAAAAAATTACTAATAATGTTATTGACTAAATTAATCAACTGATGCACAATTGCCAATTGTTTTAAATAATATTTTTGTCAGTTATGATGCATCATGTGTTTTTCTTTATCTATTTCGTAACTATCTTTTCACGTAAAACACATATTTCTGTTATGTGACAAATAGTTGATTATTTTTGGAGAACTTTTCATCCTGTCACTTAATGAATTTACATCCTTGTTACAAAAGCCTACTGAGTGGGGCACTGATTACTTATAAACATCCAGTTAAGAACCAGTATACCAATGCTTTGGTATACCGTTTTTGATCTATACGTACTAGTTTATACCAATAAACCAGTGGCTTTGAATCTCTAATTTGATGGGAGCAATATAAGCCTTTCTGTGTTGATAAGTTGTTTGAGATAAACAAGACAACTTGAATAAAAAAAAAAGCTGCCAACTAGCAATTAGGAAACCTATTTATTCATCTGTTAATTGAATTCCCAATTTGTAGAATAAAGCCATTATTTCACAATCACAGAGGCGTGACCTGTTTTACACGTTTCCAAGAGGCTTGACTTCTTTTGTTCTTCTTTTTTTAATAAAAGCTGAAGCATGACTTTGGTAATAATGTTGCACTAAAAAAAGGACTTAATAACTAGCTCTTTTGCTTAAAATGTGCAAATGAGTTTTGTCCATACATTACTTATAAGCTTTTCTGTTAGTGTTCATATTTTGCTTGGGAATTTAAGAGAATATGGAGAGTTCCCATACGTTTTTGTTGGTGGCACTAATAGTAGCTTCCTCTATTATTCACCTTGTTCAAGCTCAAGCAGGTAACCACATTTTAATTCAAACCTTTAGTATTTTTTGTATACCTTTTGAGAAGAGTTAAAGGTGTAATATTATTTGGATAAGCAGTGTCTATCTTATTAATTGGCAATGCTTGTAAAACATCTAAGCAAAGAATCTGCACCGTTGAGTTTGGACCATGACCATTAACCTCTTCTATCTCTTTCAATAGGGTTCATAAGTTTGGATTGCGGGTTATCCCCGAATGAGCAATCTCCTTATGTTGAGCTGGAAACTGGATTACAGTTCTCTTCAGATTCAACATTCATCCAACGTGGGAAAATTGGTAGAATTGATGCAAGTCTTGTGTCCAAGTACCCAAGATCACAGACAACGTTGAGATACTTTCCAGACGGAACACGAAACTGCTTCAATCTTAGCGTGCACCAAGGGACAAATTATTTGGTCAGGGCTACAAGTAACTATGGAAATTACGATGGTCTTAACATTTCTCCTAGATTTGATTTGTACATTGGTCCTAATTTTTGGGTAACAATAGATTTGGAGAAGCAAGTAAATGGTGATACATGGGAGGAAATCATTCACATCCCAAAGTCAAACTCTTTGGATGTGTGTCTTATTAAAACAGGCACATCAACACCAATTATATCAGTATTGGAACTAAGGTCTCTACGAAATAATACTTACATCACAGAATCAGGTTCTTTGAAGTCTATACTAAGATCATACCTAAGTGAATCAACAAAAGTTATAAGGTAAGTCGACTTAAGTTGATATTATAAACTCTTTTTTTTACTCATTCTTATGTCTATAGATAATGATAGATGATTGTGGTCAGTGCAGGTACCCAGATGATTTCTACGATCGAAAATGGGTTCCATACTTTGAGTCGGAATGGAGGCAAATTTCCACCATTCTCAAAGTGAACAGCACCATTAATGGTTTTCTTGCGCCGCAAGATGTCCTCATGACCGCCGCAGTACCTGCCAATGCTAGTGCGCCGTTGAGTTTTACCAAGGATCTTGAGTTCCCTAAAGATGAGCTTTACTTCTACTTCCACTTCTCTGAGATCCAAGCCTTACAGGCCAACCAGACTAGAGAGTTTAGCATTTTGTGGAATGGAGTAGTTATTATTCCCACTTTGAGTCCTAAATATCTAAAGGCTAGTACTCTTTACAGTGTGTCACCATTTGTTTGTGAAGTAGGGAAATGCTTATTAGAGCTGAAAAGAACTCAAAACTCAACTCTCCCGCCTCTACTTACCGCCATTGAAGTTTTTACAGTTATCGACTTTCCACAGTCTAAAACAAACGAAGACGATGGTAAGTGTTTTTAATAGATAGTTAAGTAGTTTATGGGGAGTATGCTATTTTGATGAAATACTCAAAACATCTTATATGCTAAATCTAACGCAAATTTTATGACAGTGATTGCTATAAAAAACATCAAAGACACTTACGGATTGAGTAGAATCTCATGGCAAGCAGATCCATGCGTCCCACGGCAGTTTTTGTGGGACGGTCTAAGTTGCAATGACAAAAATGTGTCTACACCACCAATAATAACTTCCTTGTGAGATATCTACTACTCAACCCCTAGTTTGACATGTTAGAAAATATTTTCTAAACACACTAGAAGTTATTATTCTTCTTGTTTAAACTTGTAATTTATCTTCATGTGGGCTAGTGGGAACCATACCATCTGGAATTCAAAATTTTACTCATCTCGAAAAGTTGTAAGTATGATCATTATTAATTCAAATGAAAATAGTTTGTTAATGTAAGTGATTTTTTCTAATTGATTTCTTACAAAATTTAGGGACTTGTCAAATAACAATTTGACAGGACTGGTGCCCGAATTTCTAGCTAAAATGGAAACACTGCTGTTCATGTAAGTTTTTTCCAACATGTTTATGGTTTACTCATGGATAATTTCACCTAAGTACGAAAAATTATTTGGTTTAAACAGAGACTTGAGGAAGAATAAACTGAATGGTTCAATTCCAAAGACTCTTCGTGATAGGGAAAAGAAAGGACTACAAATATTGTAAGAAGGAAATCCATTCACACACATTTCGGTCAAGATCTCCCTTGTGGTACAAGGCTTTTGCATTCAAAATACTAAAATCTCGATATATAATTTTGTCTTGTATAGTGTTGATGGCGATAATACATGTTTATCATGTGTCACAAAAAAAGAAATTTCCAATGATGATTGCAGCGTTAGCTGCTTCTGCGGTCGTTGTCGCCATATTGGTACTGATTCTGATGTTCGTTTTCACAAAGAAAAAGCGGTCAACTCATATGGAAGGTATTTGTAGAAAATTATTAATTACTTAATTAGTAATACACAAATTTATATACTAGAAGGTGTCATGGATATTGTTGTCTCACTAGATTGTTCTTTGCATATCTCTATCCCCATCGCTAGTTATGCCAACAATGGATATTATGTCAAAGACTATATCCGAACAATTAATCAAGACAAAAAGGAGAAGATTTACTTATTCAGAAGTTGTAGAAATGACAAAAACTTTCCAAAAAGCTCTTGGTGAAGGAGGGTTTGGCATAGTCTACCATGGTTATCTGAAAAATTCAGAGCAAGTAGCGGTTAAAGTCCTCTCGAGATCATCATCACAGGGGTATAAACACTTCAAGGCAGAGGTATGATATGCCATAGATCTACTTACGAAATATAATTGCCACAAAAAACAGTTAAACAAATGTGTTTTGTTAATTGTTGGTATGTAGGTCGAACTTCTTCTAAGAGTTCACCACATAAATTTGGTGAGCCTTGTCGGATATTGCGACGAAAAATATCATTTGGCCCTCATCTACGAATACATGCCCAATGGAGATTTAAAAGATCATTTGTCAGGTGATATATTATTATTTTGATTATTAAATATATAATTCATAGGACGGCTAATTTCGACAATCAAATACAGGAAAACACGGTGACTCTGTTTTGGGATGGACTACCAGACTACAAATAGCCGTGGATGTTGCCCTAGGTAAGTGCTAACTCAATTTAGTTTCAGTCACTTGTTCATTACCAAAGCGGTTATGTCTTGACTCAGTAGTGGATATATGTGATTCAAATATATGGACACATAAATATCTCTTAATATAAGTGAACACCAAATCCATCTAAACACATGATATAAACTTGTCATGATGATATACTATTTCCCATCAAGCTTTCACGAATATCTAGCATCAACTAACATAAATGAGTCTATTTCATAGGATTGGAATACTTGCATTATGGATGCCGGCCATCGATGGTGCATAGAGATGTCAAAAGTACGAATATATTGTTGGATGATCAGTTCATGGCAAAAATGGCCGATTTTGAACTTTCAAGATCGTTTAACGTTGGAGATGAATCTCAGGTTTCGACGGTTGTTGCTGGTACTCCTGGATATCTTGATCCCGAGTAAGTACTACTAGTTCACTCCCTTGATATATACAACATATAAATTATGCATGCATTAATATTCTATACCAAAATGTATACATATAAATCCTCCATCTCCTTATTGTCCAGATATTATAGAACAAGTCGGTTGGCTGAGATGAGTGATGTATATAGTTTTGGCATTGTATTACTAGAGATTATCACAAACCAACGTGTGTTTGACCAAGCCCGTGGAAAACTAATTCACATCACAGAATGGGTGGCATTTGTGCTTAATAGTGGAGATATTACTAGGATTGTCGATCCTAACCTTCACGGTGAATACAACTCTCGTTCAGTTTGGAGAGCTGTTGAATTGGCTATGTCGTGTGCAAACCCTTCTTCAGAAAAACGACCAAACATGTCCCAGGTTGTTATTGATCTAAAAGAGTGTTTAACTTCTGAAAACTCGATGAAAATAAAGAAAAATGACCCGGACACTGATGGTTCTCTCGAACTGAGCTTGAGCTTCGATACTGAGGTGGTTCCTAGTGCAAGGTAGTTATGTGCATAGACGCTTTGCTTCCGTCGATGTATTTCTGCTTGTGATATTGCTCTTGGGAAAAAGAGTGTTTAAATTTTATTTGTAGACAGCACAAGCTCATAACTACACAAGAGACGATAAATGTACCAGTATTTTGATCTTTTATCTGAATTTGTTGTCTAGAATTTGAGTACCTACCTTCCACATTCATTGAGTAATTCATTATGTAACTAGAGCCAATAATTATTACGGTAACAAAACCAAAATTTGTGGAAGGTTTTGTGCCTGATGAACAGGGGGACAAAGCTATGGTTCGCTTGAACACCATGAGAAGACAAGTGTGAAGTGTTCCACAATCTAGTAGAATAAGCAGAAAACATGAGGCGACAACTTGTTGAGCTCAGAAATTAACCATCAAAATGATTTAAAGTTTTACGTAAAAATTTCAGAAATAAGGAATTGCTCTAGAATATCTGCACATATTAGATTAACGTACATGATAAAACAGTAGTAAAGCAAAATCTTCAGTGATAAGGACGCCTTTGCAAGGGATAGCACCCTGTTTGCAAACGTTATGAAAAAGATACAAATTCATATTTATTTACAAACTCAAAAGGAATAAAATTTCCTCCAAACTCTAAATGTAAAGAAAAAAAAAAAAAAATGGGTTCAAAAACGAATAATACATGGTTAATCCATAAAATCAAGATGTTTCACAAGAGTTACCAGTCATATACAACAATAAAATTGCCTAAAGCAAAAGAATAATTCAAGTCAACTCTTTCTATATATGTCAACATTTCGCCACCTCTCATGTTAATTAGTTAGTGGTTCTGTACTATTGTAGCCTATACTTTTCAGTTATTAGTAGTTTCTTTGTTATAAACTAGACCACTTGGGTATTATATCACGTATAAAATCTAACAAAAAACGGCTTATTGTCCACTAGAAGCATATTTAATCATTAAATTCTTTTTGCATCTTAGTCATGTTCTCACGTTTTGAGGCTTCACTTTGGAAAGTCTTTTCTTGAAATGTCCAAAAATAGTTGTGTTCTCCAATTTCTTATATATAGAAGACATCATAGATTGATCAGAACTTAGGACGGTGCAAGTCTTTTGCTTTGGAACTAAGAGAATATGGAGAATCCCCATGTACTTTTGTTGCTAGCACTTATATTATCTTTCTCCATTAATATTCCCCTTGTTCAAGCTCAAGCTGAAGTTAATGAAGGTATCTATTTTGGTTTAACTATTTCAGTTTGCATTTTTATGATTTTTCCGATTATGTGTTTTATGCCTGAAAATAGTTATATAATCGTACCTACCGATGTCGAAGTCAAATAGTCGTCTTAGTCACTAGCTAATTGGGTTGGACCGACTGGACCGTGTCTGGGTCGCTTGTTAATCAATAATCTTTCTAATTCAGTTCTGGATCTTGTACAAAGAAAGCATTGTTTCTAACACATTGTGTTCTAACTTGTATCATTTTTCGAAACTATAAATAGTCTATTCAAACACCATTGACATTATCTTTTAAATCAAACAGGGTTAATAAGTCTCCAAATTCCAGTTCTCGAAATTCCAATGAAATTCGTTGTTCTTGCTGCTGCTATCGTGATCATTCTAGTGGTACTGATTCTCAGTTGTGTGTGTAGAAAGAAAAAAGCGCCAAGTCATGTGGAAGGTAGTTGAAGAGACTCTCATCAACAAATTATACATTACATGTATTGTTTTTATACTAAATATTTCTTTCTACAGATATACCCCCTTCACCAGTTTCATCTACTACTAGTAAATCTGAAGACTCGATCAAGACAAAAAGGAAAAAGTTTACTTATTCAGAGGTTATAGAAATGACAAAAAACTTTCAAAGAGCTCTTGGTGAAGGAGGCTTTGGCATTGTCTATCATGGTTATTTGAATGGTTCAGAGGAAGTAGCCGTTAAAGTACTCTCTCAAACATCATCACAAGGCTATAAACATTTCAAGGCAGAGGCATGTAATCCTTTAAATCTTCTGCAAAAGTTGTAACAAAAAATATATGCGTAAAATATGATCTATATATATTAATGCATCATGCTAAGTTAATATGTTTTATATGTTTGTTCATTGTTGGTATGCAGGTTGAACTTCTGCTTAGAGTTCACCACACTAACTTGGTAAGCCTTGTTGGGTATTGCGATGAACGAGGTCACTTAGCTCTCATATACGAATATATGTCCAATGTAGATTTAAAACATCATTTGTCAGGTGAAAGATTTATATATGTATATATAACATTATTATTCCTTCGTTATTACAAAAGTCATATGATATCTTATTTTGATGATTTAATGCAGGGAAACATGATGTATCTATTTTGAAGTGGAGTACTCGATTAAGAATAGCCATTGATGCCGCACTAGGTCTCTACTAACTCAAAATAGTTCTTAGTCACTTCGTTTAAACATTAACTTTCTTGTAATCACGGAACGTTGAACAAATACATCTTGACCTAACCTAAACCAGCCATATGAAACCTTTCTAAACTATATTCAGTCAAATGTTAGCCACATTTTGAATAATTTGTTATAGTGATGCTAATAACGGTGGTGATAATTTTGATTTCAAAATATTTGTTTTTTTTTTTTTTTCATTTTACCACTTTTTCTTATTCCTATTACATTGGGTAGACATTATTCATATGAGCGTTTGCTAATATGTTCAGGATTGGAATACTTACATATTGGCTGTCGACCATCGATGGTACATAGAGATGTCAAAAGTACAAATATATTGTTGGACGAGCAATTCACTGCAAAAATTGCGGATTTTGGGCTTTCAAGATCTTTCCAACTCGGAGATGAATCTCATATTTCGACAGTTGTTGCTGGTACTCCTGGATATCTTGATCCCGAGTAAGAATTTTAAATTACTTAGTTTCTTATAAGCGGAATCTTTTAGTCGACGCTATACTATCCTAGATGTGAACTTCACCCTGCCATGTTGAAATTTGTGTTCATATTCATATTAGTTGGTACAATGATAGACACATGACTCTAACTACATATTACTGCCTTGCCAGATATTACAGAACGGGTAGGTTGGCTGAGATGAGCGATGTCTATAGCTTCGGGATTGTGTTATTGGAGATGATGACAAACCAACGTGTGATTGACCAAAACCGTGAAAAGCGACACATAGTAGAATGGGTAGCTTTAGTGCTTAACAGAGGAGATATTACCAAGATCATGGATCCTAATCTTTTCGGCGATTACAACTCAAATTCGGTCTGGAAAGCTCTTGAATTGGCTATGTCATGTGCAAACCCATCTTCAGAAAAACGACCAAGCATGTCCCAAGTTATTAGCGTACTAAAAGAGTGTCTTACTTCTGAAAACTTGATGAGAAATAAGAATCAAGATCACATGGACACCGATAGTTCCCTTGAAATGACCACGAGCTTTGATACAGAAGTCGTCCCTCGTGCTAGGTAATTTTTGCAAAAAAGCCTCATATGTTGAAATGTTCTTGGCTTGCGGTATGATTCTTTGGTCAAACACGTCTTAATTTTTTTTGTTTTGAGCTATCATAACTAAAACCAGAGGGGAGGAGCAGTCCTTTAATCTCGTTTTTTTCTCTTTTGTTTTAAAATTTATTGTTTCCAGTTACATTCCACATTCATTGGCTATTTCTTTCTTTAAACAAAAATTATAGCCAACAATCATATTGGCTGCAAAAAAAAAAAAAATGATATAGCTTTTTGCATTATTATTAAGAGAGACAAAGCCATGAGTTACCTTCAACACCATGGAAAGACAAAGTGTTGTCCGCGATACATTATACATCCCGTCGATAATTAATGCTGCCTTCAATGTTTTCTTATTGGCCATCAAATGCCCACTCCATGTGATAGCTTGATTGACCTCTTGGAATGAATTCACCTTCGTTGGTTTCCTCTTTTCTACTCTTTTATCCCCTCTTAGTTCCCTCCATGGGACAAGGTCCAAAAATTTTCAAATACCTAATAAATGACTCCAAAATGATCAATATATGCATTTAATGACTCGAGGATACAAAAAGATAACTAAATTACAAAAGAAATGCAATGAAACCAAGAAAAGGGTGAAAATTGAAATCCAAACACATCAATTTCCAGAACTTGGCTTTTTGTTTGTCATCAAGCAAACAATGCAACAACAAACTTTACGAAAAAGGTTTAGAAGTTGGGAGTTATAACCAAAATAAACATGCATAGCTAAACATTCCTAAGCTCCATAGTAGATAAAAGTAAAATATTTCATCAACCAAGTTTTACTTTAATGAATTTTTGATACTTGTTGTTGTTGGTGTTGTCTTGCGTTTTCAATTGCAACTCGAATCTTTTATTCAAAAGTCATACTAAGACTTTTTGTAAACCAAGGGTGCCTAATCCATTTATGGCAGTTTGATAAACTGCAACTGCATATGCACAATTCGGTTAAGAAAGGTTGAGACTACGTGTTTGGATTTGAGAGTTTGTAATTTGATTGGTTTTTAACAAATATTTCTGTTCATTTTTACTAGGTAATTTTCCTAACTAGGTAATTCGTTACTGATGCTTCTTTTTGTAATTAACATATATGCTTAACTAATAAAAAAAGAAGGACAATAACATCTAAAAATAAAATCAAATGTAAATACAAGTTAGGTTCTTAAACATGGGAACAATTCAAGTGATCAAGTCAACGACAACTACACACCCTAACTTTTCTTACTCCCTCACGTTGATGACAATTAACAAGACAAGTTAGGTTCTTTGAGACAAACTAGAAATTTAAATATTATGTTTATAACTTATGCATTAGAAAACATATTTACTCATTCGCCACTTGAATTCTTTTTGTAGTCTTGTAGAAGTAAGACATGTTCTCACGTTTCCTGGCGACTTAGTAAGGTTTTTTGTGTGTAATTGTTTTAAGGAATGTTTCCCAGATAGCTTATCAACAATGTCTGTCTTAACGCTTCGAACGAAGGTGAATATGGAGAGTCTCAAGAAGCTTTTGTTGGTGGCACTAATAGCAACTTCCGCAATTCACCTTGTTCAAGCTCAAGATCAAGAAGGTGCGGACATTTCAATGTTTCAATAGTTTCGTTTCTTTTTTTAAATTTTTTTTATCAGCTTTAGCACTAGGGATGAATATGGAACGAATTTTAATTTTGGTTGTTTTGGTAATTCGTTCCGTTCCACCATAACCAGTCCTCTGATCGGTATTCTACTATGCAACTAAGCATAGGAATGTTAAAGTCTACATATTTTCAGCTGTATATCAGTATATCCGACCTATTCGTAATCAAAAGTTATAAATAATTTAAAACACAGAGAAAAAAGTTACAAAATTCAACCAAAAATATTGCAATACACATATCAGTTTTTTGTTTCATATTTTAAAATTCTCTGATGAATACAAATTAATACAATTTATATACAACTATGATAACTATATATACAGTTATGTTTTGTTCAATACATTTTTCTTATTGTGCATGCTAGTTTACTATAATATAAGTTATAAAAGGTCTAAGTTCAAAAACTAACCCTTAATTTAATGGGATTAATTTTGATGATGAATATTTATCTAGCTTTGGTAATAAGATTTTAATATCTTAACAGGATTTATTAGTGTGGACTGCGGGTTATCTCCGAATGAAGTGTCTCCTTATATTGAGCCGTTTACTGGACTACAATTCACAACGGATTCAAATTTCATCCAAACTGGAAAAATTGGTAGAATTCAGGCAAGCCTAGAGTCGAGGTACCGAAAGTCGCAAACAACATTGAGATACTTTCCTGATGGAATACGCAATTGTTACAATCTTACGGTGAATCAGGGAACCAACTATTTAATCAGAGCTACAGCAATATATGGGAATTATGATGGTCTTAACATTTATCCTAAATTTGACTTGTACATAGGCCCTAATTTCTGGGTAACAATAGACTTAGTAACTTATGTAAATGGTACATGGGAGGAGATCATCTACATACCAAAATCAAATATGTTGGACGTGTGTCTTGTCAAGACAGGGACGTCTACGCCATTGATATCCTCCTTGGTGTTAAGGCCTCTTGCAAATGCTACTTACATCACTCAATCTGGTTGGTTGAAGACATATATTCGGGTTTATCTAAGCGACTCAGATGATGTCATACGGTAAGTCATCTTAAAGAAACGTGTTGTTGGGACTAGGAGAGTCACTGGTACCACCCAATTGCTACCTCCTCTCTTGAACATTACTCTTAGCATATATATACTATTGAAAAAAGCGGTAACATGCTCTTAGCATCTTTTATGGCTACAGGCTACTAATTCAAAATTGTACCAAATGTAGATATCCGGATGATGTCTATGATCGTATATGGGGTTCATACTTTTTGCCGACGTGGAAGAAGATTTCCACTACACTTGGAGTGAACAGCTCTAGTGGATTTCTGCCTCCACAAAAAGCACTCATGACTGCCGCAACTCCTGCCAATGCTAATGCATCATTGGCCGGAGTACTAGAGTTCCCAAATGAGAAACTGTACTTGTACCTCCACTTCTCTGAGATTCAAGTCTTAAAGGCCAACGAGAGTAGAGAGTTTGAAATTTTTTGGAATAAAAAGCTTGTTTACAATGCGTATAGTCCTGTCTATCTCCAGACCAAGACTATACGCAACCCATCTCCAGTTACTTGCGAAGGAGGAGAATGCATATTAGAGATGATCAAAACTGAGAGGTCAACTCTCCCGCCTCTGCTTAACGCCGTTGAAGTTTTCACAGTGGTTGAATTTCCTCAGCCGGAAACAGACGCTAGTGATGGTAAGTTAGCAAGTGGTTTTACAATAATCTTAAATGCTAAATCTAAGATTTTCAAACGTTGTCGAATTTTATGATAGTGGTTGCTATAAAGAACATCAAGGCCATCTATGGATTGGCTCGAGCCACATGGCAAGGAGATCCATGTGTTCCTCGACAGTTTTTGTGGAACGGTTTAAATTGTAACAACACGGAAACGTCTACGCCTCCAAGAATCACATCCTTGTGAGACCCTTATTTAAGAAAACTTTTTCATGTGATAAGAAAACATTTTCTAACTGCATAATTACATTTTTTGTGCTCTGATTTTATATATAGGAACTTGTCTTCAAGCGGGTTAACGGGAAGCATATCAGTTGTAATTCAAAATCTTACCCATCTAGAAAAGTTGTAAGTATGTTACTCTTAAGGCAAAATATAAATTAAGTCATATACTTTATGAAGGTAACTAATTATTTCATACTAAAGGGATTTGTCAAATAACAACTTGACTGGAGAAGTTCCTGAATTTCTAGCAAACATGAAACTTCTGTTGTTCATGTAAGTTACTTTACATATAATTATATTTTGTTTAGTGATATTCTTTTTGATCATGGTCAATATTCCTCTGGTTTAACAGAAACTTGAGCAAGAACAATCTGAATGGTTTGGTTCCTAAAGCTCTTCGCGATAGAGAAAATAAAGGACTTAAGTTAATGTAAGATGGAACTTATGCCGAAAAATTATTTCATTAAACATTCATGGCCGTCTACATATATAAATCATATCTATTTACTTTTGTAGTGTCGACAAAAATGTGGACAACTGCTCATCTGGTTCATGCACCCAAAAGAAGAATTTTCCAGTGGTTGCATTAGCTGTTTCGTCGATCGTAGTCATCACAGTGGTATTGGTTCTCATTTGTATGTTTAAGAAAAAAAAGACATCAAAAGTGAAAGGTATTGCACAACTCATCATGATAAAAGTACACAATATTCGTTTATGTACTAAATTGGGCTCTCTACAGCTCTACCCTCACAATCAACTCCGCCACAAGCAAATCATACTTTCGATGAAACAATGATAGAAACGAAAAGGAAAAGATTTACTTATTCGGAGGTTATGGAAATGACAAATAACTTCCACAGAGCTCTAGGTGAAGGAGGGTTTGGTGTCGTCTATCATGGTTATTTGAATGGTTCAGAGGAAGTAGCTGTCAAATTACTTTCAAAATCATCAGTACAAGGCTATAAAGAATTCAAGGCAGAGGTATGGATATTTTCTTACAAAATCTCAAAACATGTATATATATTTATAGCATTATATTTGTTAGACCAATGTGCTTCATTCATTGTTTTTTCTTTTTCTTTTGATTCTTTTTTTTTGGCCCTTTTTTTTTGTTCATTGTTGATTTGTAGGTTGAACTTCTTCTGAGGGTTCACCATATAAATTTGGTAAGCCTTGTTGGGTATTGCGATGAAAGCAATCACTTGGCTCTCATCTACGAATACATGTCCAATGGAGACTTAAAACATCATTTGTCAGGTGAAACATATGTAACATTAACATTTTAATTTACACAAAACAATTCTTTTGACAACTGATTGAGGACCAATTATATAACAGGAAAACACAATGGTTTTGTTTTGAGTTGGAGTACTCGAGTACAGATAGCTGTCGATGCCGCACTAGGTTTGTGCTAACTCATAACGATTTTAATTAGTAATTTCTTTTTAACATTCTAAAACATTTCTTGTGATCACTAGACATAAATGATTCCAGTTAATATACAAGTAGAGAGGATTCATATGTATATAAAAAGGACATTTGCAAATATTTATAGGACTTGAATACTTGCATATCGGATGCCGACCATCGATGGTGCATAGAGATGTCAAAAGTACGAATATATTGTTGGGTGAACAGTTCACAGCCAAGATGGCTGATTTTGGGCTTTCAAGGTCTTTCCAAATTGGAGATGAATCTCATATTTCGACGGTTGTTGCTGGCACTCCTGGATATCTTGATCCCGAGTAAGTATCGTTAGTCTACTCATAGATGTAAATTACATTTTTGTTCCCTGAGAATTTCACATAAAAGTCTAGATCGACTAATCTTGGATTTGATCTATAACACGTAACAAAGTGCTGAAATGTGTGTTTGCATTTATTTTTCGCGTTTAAATTTGCATGAGTGAACCTTTATTCTATTTTCTTACCTTACCAGATACTACAGAACAAGTCGGTTGGCCGAGAAGAGCGATATCTACAGTTTTGGGATTGTGCTATTGGAGATGATCACAAGCCAACATGCGATTGATCGAACCCGCGTGAAGCATCACATAACAGACTGGGTGGTGTCTTTGCTTAGTAGAGGAGATATCACACGGATCATTGATCCCAACCTTCAAGGCAATTATAATTCTCGCTCAGTCTGGAGAGCTCTTGAATTGGCTATGTCATGTGCAAACCCTTCTTCAGAAAAACGACCAAACATGTCACAAGTTGTTATCGATCTAAAAGAATGTCTTACTACTGAAAATTCAACGAGAAGTGAGAAAGACATGAGTTCTCATAGTTCTGATATTGATCGTAGCATGAACTTTTACACCGACGTGGTTCCTAGTGCTAGGTAGCATGTGCAAAGAAGCTTCGGTCACTTTGATGTATATATGCTTGTGTGCATGTATTTGCTCTTGTTTTAGTCTCGAATTTTTTTTAGGGATTTTGCACGTTGAGGTAATCTCGGCGTACAACTATGGAGTATCAAACACATTTTCAAAGTTATGTTCTATCGATACAAAAGATTTTTGTTTGAGCAAAAATTAAAATAACACATAACTTCGGTTTCAAGGGTTTTCATTTTCTTTGTTTCTTGTGTTCTTCTATTTTTTTTCTAGAGAAATAAGCTTCTTTTTTTAATGTTTTAATGCATGTCAACGAGTTTAGTCTTGTTCGTTTGGTAGTCGTTGGCGACTGCGATCAAATGTTGTTCGTTTGATATTCACTGGTTCCCGATCAATCCCAGCGACCAACGAATTTCAGTCACTACATTTTTCAACAATCTTCAGTGATCAATCGCTAATTTTCATTACACTTGTGGTAGAAGAAAGAAAGTGAAAAGAGTTGTAAAACTTTAAGCTATCAAGTTTTTGATTGATCAAGTTTATATTAAAAAGCCCATTGGGCTAAATTTAGGGCTACAAGCCCAACATAAAAGAAACGAGTCTTTAATACAAAACTGGTTCAGATTTGTCACTCTCTGACGCGAGAACCAATCACCAGACAACAACAAAACTCAAGAAGAGAAAGAAATCGTCTGAGAGAGAGAAATGAGGTTGTTCGATCCATGGCCAGTGTTCTTCAAGAGAGAATGGAAACGTTGTTGGCCATTCCTCACCGGATTCGCCGTCACCGGCGTTCTCATCACCAAGTTAACCGCCGGACTTACTGGTAAAGTCATCGTCGGATCTCACCGATAATAAACATCAAATTTCTCTCATTTCATCTGTGTTTATGGATTCAGATCTGATTTATATGGTTTTCTTTGTGTATCATATCTTAATTTTAATATTGATTGTGAAAAACCCTAATTTTTGTGAAATGGTGATTATATATGCAGAGGAAGATGCGAAGAACTCCAAGTTTGTCCAGCAACACAGAAGGTAACACCAGAATTGAATGAAAATTTCATGTTTTGATTTGAAATTTCTTGGTTTTTGGTAGATGATTTGATCTTAGAGCATTTTAGGATCGATGTAGTCAAATGGCCTTTGAGGTTTCTTGGGATGTTATCTATGGATGATTATTGGTATTAATGTAGTGAGAAATGTAAGTCTTACCACTAGAAATGTCTGTTTATTTGGTTCATTGGCGAGTACGTGAATCGCCATTTGATTTGCTTGCGTGTTTGATTGCTACATTTGGCTTGGTTTGATATTGACTATACTTAAACTTGTAGCCAAACTCTAAAGGTTTCAACTTGTTTTGTATTTCAGGTGATGATTCACTGAAGCAAAGTGTAGAAGCTGAGAAGGCATAGTGGATGCTTCAGATTTGAAACATGTTTAATAACAAAGAAGAGCATTCTATATACTCTTTTCTTTTCTCTGAAACTTAGTAATGCAATGGTTTTGTTCACAGTTTCTTCTTCCCATTTGTTTTGGAAATGGATTTTATCGCCTTTTTGGAAATGCGGGTGCACATTCAATAAGAAATTGGTTCCCCAATGAATAATTACATTTTGTTCTAGTAATCCTTTGGTTCCTAATCACAACTAACCATTATCTTTCGAAATACTAATCTCTTTTTGCTAGAGTTTGTCTTTCATTTTTCAGTAACCTTTAGGTTTTCTTATAGGTTGTGTCCTAATTACCTGTGGGGTTTTTAACTTTGATGATCAGTTACATTGCAATATTGTTTTTATAACATAGTTTCTTGTCAACCACTTTGTATCCGTTAATTCATTCTATAAATAAGCTTATAGACATGTTTGTTGCAGATTTTGAGCTAATATTGTTTAAGTCTAGAGACGAGTGGCTTCACCAAAGTTGTTTTCCTCACCCAGGATATGAAAATATGGATTCATTGTAGCAGAGAAAGCTATGGCAAGAAAGTAATTTTTTCTTTCATTAATATAAAAGCATTCGTTCATAATCTTTATTTTTCTCTAGGGACAATTTAAGTGTGGAAAGTATGAGAAACATATTATATGAAACCAACCACTTGCACCATGGAATTTTAATAGTAGAACTGACTTATGATGCATTCCGCGTTTGCTTTAGATCCGTGACGGAGTTTTAGTTCTTGGGGACTCCGAGCCTTAGCCTGAAGTCTTCTTCCATAAGGGGAAGGCCTTCACGAAGCTTCACCTTTGGTTCCCATCCCAAAACTTCTTTAGCCTTTGTGATGTCTGGCTTCCTCTGTCTTGGATCATCCGGTGTGTTCTCAACCATCTTTATCTCTATGCTCGGGTTAATCAGCTGCAACCAAACCAACATGTCATTAACGGACAACCAAGAATTTGAAAGCACTTACTCCTATTAAATTGAGAAACCAGACTCTCACCTCTTTCACTGTCTCAGCCAGTTCCACCATGGTAAACTCACCTGAGAAACCAAAGATTCAGACACAAAGCAATAAGTTCAAGAGATTGGTTGGGTTGGGTTGTGTTTTGTGTAGTGGAGGAATGTTACGGGCCTTACCTGGGTTACCGATGTTGATGGGACCAGTGTCATCTCCTTCCATGAGGCGCATAAGTCCGTCAACCATGTCAGATACATAACAGAAACTGCGAGTCTGTGTCCCTGGTTTCTGAACAGTCAAAGCCTCACCCCTAAATATTCATGACAAGAACAATAACAAGAGATGATTAATCAAACAGGTTATAGCTCGCGAAAAGAAATTTTGTTTGTTCGATTGAGCAAAGGGGCTCACCGGAGTGCTTGTGCAATGAAGTTGCTTACGACACGGCCATCATCAATGTTCATGCGTGGACCATAAGTGTTGAAGATTCTGGCAATGCGGATTTCTACAAATACCAACAAGCACAAGTTAAGCAATAACGGATAATTAGAGAATCTTGATGAAATCACAGGAAAAATGTTAAAGTGAGAGCCTTGAGAAAATGCAACTGACCAATGCCATGCTGCCTGTGGTAGTCAAACATCAAGGTCTCAGCCACACGCTTGCCTTCATCATAGCAGCTCCTAACCCCTGTCATTATAGCAACCAAGTTATAAGACTGTAAACTGATTACACATAAGTTATGAAGTAATAGATAAGTGTTTGAGCCTACCAATTGGGTTGACATTTCCCCAATAGCTCTCGGGCTGGGGATGGATGAGAGGATCTCCATATACCTCCGAGGTTGAGGTAAGCAAAATCCTGTTCAGAAGAAGAGTAAGTTAGTCACAAAGACAAAGATCAACCCAGTAAGGAATAAAGAGGGGATCGTTTTGCAAACCTTGCTCCAACACGCTTGGCGAGACCTAGCATGTTCAGTGTGCCAATCACATTGGTCTTGATGGTCTTCACGGGGTTGTACTTGTAGAAAATGGGAGAAGCAGGACATGCGAGATGGTAAATCTGATCAACCTCGATCAAAAGTGGCTCCGTGACATCTGTTAAACCCAAAGCCAACTATAAATAAGGAGAGAGAAAAAGGCAGGAAAATTCCATTCTCAATAGCAGCAACAAGCCAGATAGTTTCGAGACCATACCGTGACGGATAAGCTCAAATCTTGGATGACCAATCCACTTCTTGAGATTGTCCTTTGAACCGGTGAAATAGTTATCAGCAACAATCACCTGGGGAAAAATATATAAAACATCAGTAATTGATCCAACGATGGATAAAATATTATGTATATGACTAACTCAGTTGTTTGCAAACCTCATTCTTTTCGTTTTCCATCAACTTATCAACAAGGTGAGAGCCAATGAATCCAGCTCCTCCTGAGATCAAAATCCTCATATTTGACTGCACAAATGAAAAAAAAGTACTCACTTGAAACATCTTACTAAGACCAAATAACAAATACAAATTCATCAGAAGGGGACAGGAACCAACATTACAATACAAACTAAATCATAGACAACCAGATGCAGAACATACAAGATCAGAACATAGAACAACAAAGCTCTCTCACAATAGACCTACTAGACTGCTAACAGACTCTTCAGTTTTCGCACAATATCGCGACAACTCAAGATCTAAGTAGAACAAACATCCAGTATTCAATCTCAATGATCCTTATACCTAAAATATGTTTTGATTCTACACAATATCAACAAGATCAAGTAAATGCAGACTTCTCAATACAAAGATCAAATGATCAATTCAAGAAACTAAATAGTATCACACCTAAAGACAAGGATCACAACACGAGATTCACTCTCCAACCATATAAAGTATTAACCTACGCATGATCTCGTGAGAGAACTAAAGTGATTCTCTCTTTAACGGCAGATTTCAAATGGGCAAAACGAGATTCAACACATGAAATCAAATGGGTATCGTCAGAATCGAATCAAAATCTCGAATTCACATCAAAATCATAACTTTACCTGACAAAACTTGGAATTACGGAGAGGAGAAGGAGAAGGAGGAGGCTTTGGGCTTGTTTGTTTATCACTTGACGCCATTGATGAGAGATCGATCACAAAAGCCCTGAATTTTTGAGAAAAATCGAATCAAACAATAGAGAAAATGAAGATTCCGATTGAAGAAAGAGAAAAGGGTTCGAGAGGAATTATACGAGATCGATGAGAGAACCCTAAAAACGAAAACTTTGTGATCTGAAGAGAGCGAATAAATAGTCTCTCACAAGTGTCGGAACTTCTTCTTCCTCTGTAAAATTTTGAATATATTATCTGGAAAAGTTAGATATATTTTTTTTTTTTTTGAGAATTCTTTTTTTAGACTTTTTTTGTTTGTTTGTTTAAATTTGTTTGGGTGAGATAAGATTAGTGTGACTTAAAAAACACGAAAAGTGGAAAAACGAAATTAATTTGTGGTTAGCTTACTCGATTACAACGACAACATTTGACCAAATGCATTATCTGATGTGGCAATTACTAAACTTGTCAAGAAACTGTATTTTGTCTATTTATTTTCCTTGACCAAAACAAAAACACAAAAGGCTATTATTTAATCAAATTTTATCTTTCAGTATATTCCATCTGTTTATGAAAACTAATTTGTTAGAATTCTCACATACATTTTCCCTTTGATTTGGATGATAATCCAATTTCATGGTAAATTATCCAAGTAAGTATCGAATTTAAGCATAAGACTTAAAATATATTATTGAGCATACTGTAATTTTTTTTAAATATTTTTGTTATAGTCATTGGACTTGACATTTAAAAAACTCGACCTATCAAAGAAACGAATCGTACCATCTAAATCTTTTTTTCTAACAGTTACAAGCTAAATAATATGCTGATTTGTTTATTCGAATTCGTCGACCATGACACATCAAATAAGATATTCTTTTTTTTTTTGTTAGAACTAATAAGAAGAAACTTGTTCTCTTGTTGACTTCAATTTTGTACATTACGGGTATAATAATCATGTTTATATCATCAACAAATGAAAATAAATATTGGTAATCTTCCACTAGCAGTTCTTAGTTTTACAAAACATTACCAACAATGGCAACACATCTTGTACAGAGGATGATGACCAAATGTCTCAAGATATACTGAACCATAGTTACTTTCTCCCAAACGTAAAATGTAATGAGAACTGCAACCATTAACCCTAAACCAGGACTCAAAACTACGTTGAACCGAGTGATTCTCATTATTCCTACAACGAACACGCTGAATAAGAGACAGGTTTATTCACTAATGACTATGTATATATCAACGCATATCACACATATACTATCACTATGTTTACAGAAGACATACGCATGTGCCTGAAATTGGTTCTTACCTTATGGAAGCTTAAAAGGGTCTGCTCTCAGGATCAGCGAATCCAGCTAGTAGTGCCCCAAAGAGCCAAATCATGAGCACAAACACTACTGCTGTTCGCAGAACTTGGCTACATATGTTCAGGCTGGGGTCGTCTTCATAGGCTAAATCAGGTGTCTGGACATTGTAACTCCAGTGGCTATCCTCTAGCTTCTCTGTTTCACTCAAGCTTCTTCTCTTGCTTCTTGGGTGTGATTGTGGTTGTGGTGGATCTTGTTCGCTGAGATTCGAGCATCTTTTGCAGTTGCAGTTGCTACCAAGGTATGAAGGAAGTGTCTGGAGGTATTCGGAGAGGACTCGATGGAAAGTTTCCCCTTCAATTCTCAGCTTCTTGCGTGTGGTTGGCCTGAGAATCTATGAGAGAAGAACATAAGTTTAGGCAGGGGATATGCAATGACCATAGATCCAATTGTAGATCAGAGAACGGAGTCTAAGAAAACCAAAAAATTGAAGTTAGCTCAGGTAGATCCTTTACTTGGATGAAAGTCTGGGAAATGACTCGGACAACAGGAGGGAGGCGAATGATGAATAGGCAGCCAAGACGGTTAGGGAAGTGATCTTGAAGAATGGATGAACAAGATCTCATCATCTGCATGGGAATCCTCAGAGGAGATAATCCTTCACAATCGACTAAAACAGTAAGTTCTGAATTCTCAGGGGTCAGAAGATGCAAAACGCCGTGCTCTACCTGAGATACTGAAACAATGACAATAATGGAAAATTAAAAGGATATGGTAGCAAAGAAAATACTAGAAAAGTGTAGTAGAGCCACTACGGACGTACTGATTGCCTGAGCGAAACGAGGTCTTTCATGAGATGGCAACTTTAGAAAAGCAAGCCCCAAGCGAACAATGAGGCAAGGTCGTTGGTTCTTGTCATATCCATGCCAAAAGACTAAACTTGACCATGTCTCAAGTTCTTCTTCAGATAGGATTCTGTAAGTCTCCCTCCAATGAATTGTCTTTTTTATTGAAGATAGTAAGGATGTGAAGTCTCCATTTGACACTCTATAGAATCTATGAAGCTCGTCTTCGTTGAGTCTACATTAAAAATGAGACTAAATGGTTATGATCTAAACCAGAATTTAACACTGAAACTCAAAAGAGGAAGCACTTATTCATATAACACTTAATCTGAAAGTACCTCTCAGGCAAACTAAGTCTCTGCTTTTCCAGTTCTTCATAGAGTTGTCTAAGCCAGTCTTGTGAAGTTATAGGAAGTGGAGCCTCATCTTCAATTCTGCATTTACAAAAAAGTCAAGATATGTAGGACTATGAAGCTTTATTATAGTTTCAAGGGATAAGCAAAACTTCAAGTGCTTGTACAATATAACAGCTAAGACTTTTACATCGCGTACCTTATATCTGATGGAGACTGTGAAGTCTGTGGGTCAGATTGTGATTCTGAAGATGCATGAGAAGTGGTATCACCTGAGGCTTCTTGCTTGAACTCTGACTGGTCTGTGAGAGCCTCAGCTATCGTGAGGACCAATAATGGCCGAGACAGCATCTGCATAACGATCACACACAATAATTGAGACTCGCCGATTAACTCTATATACAAAAGATAGAGCATAACGCCACGGGAGCTAAGTAGCAAACCTGCATTGCCTTGATCAACTCCTTGAAAGGAGCCCATCTCTGAATCCACTTAAGAGGAGGATAACAAAGACATTGCAATGCCTGAAGACTATTCCACAAATGAGGACATCTAGCCTTCGATACCCTTCGAACAACTTCCAAAACCGCGATTTTCAGCAGAAACACCGCGGCATTACGAACGGTTCCACTAGCAATTCTACCATTATTCCCCAATGAAACATGCTTATAAATCGTCTGCTGAACCGCTCTTGGAATAGCAGCTACTAAGCTTCTCTTAGGTGACAACTCTTTCCCTGAAGAAACAGTTGCCATCACAGAGTTCCTACTTCTACCGGAATTGTCTCCCATTAAAAATCAATTCCACACACTTAAACAATGAGCAAATACGTAACGGAACGAGATCACACCAATTTCATGTCGAAGCAATATCAATCTGCGAACAACTTGCGTTAAAAACATTTCGATCAGAATTTACAAACGGAATCAGAGAATTCTATAAAGAAATGAACAAAACGAACCACGAATTAAATCGATAGACAACAGATCGGAATCGTTGAAGTGATCGGAGAATCAAAATTCTCGGCGGCGAAAGCGAGATTTCGTCTTCTCTCTGAAGTTCACAAAGGGAACGACACTTCAAACAGAAAAAAAAAGGAAACAAGAACAACACGGTATATGACACGTGTACTGTCCCAACTGTTTTGATAGCGATTGATAGGTAAATCAACGGTCCAGAAGCGACAACGTCACGGGCCTTTTAAATACGTAGACCCAATAAACAAACATGACGCTGTTTTTTTTTAATGTTTCTACAAAAAGCCGAAAAACTGTACGAAGTTTCTCACGGGAACGTAAGAACGGCGTGGAGTTTTAGCGTCCTAAAAAAGGGAAGTAAACTAAACACACTGAAAAACAAAGCTTCAACAAACCAAAACAAAGCTTCTTCAGCAGAAAACGTAAGAATAGTATAAATTTTAATGTCAGTTTTTGTCAAGAACAACATTTTTTTCGACCAAACACTTCATTTCACGTTCAAGAACGCGATTAAAAGATGCAAGACGGGTTTATTACAAGTAGTGTTTGGACAGTTTTTTAAAAGGGATTTTTGTCGATAAGATGAATGAGCTTTTGAACTCCATAGAAGGTGGAGTTGAAGTGTGAAAGTGTTTGTATGATCAAAACATTTCTTGAGACTTTCTCACACAACGGCTCACTTTCTTCTTAAACTCGTCTCTCTTCTCTCTCCATTCTTTCTGCAAGAGGAAAAAAAACACGGGAAGAATGGTTAAACGAGCAAGCTCTGGTACAATACAAGACTCTTATAAAACTATATGAGAATCCAAAGAGGTAGTATGTGAATCTGTTGATATCATAGCTAATTGATAGAGAACACTCACAGCAGCTTCAACGTTCGCAGGAGATTCATCGTTTGGACCAGAGAGCATCGATATGATACTCAACATGATACTCTCAACCTGAAATCAGCATTGTTATTTCCACTCATCAAATCTAAATGACATCATTCTTGGTTTTTAAAGAGAATTTCGGATCAATTTAAAACGTACTGTGTGAACAGGCGTCCAACGCTCACTTGCAAGCTCATACCCGCTCGGATCATCACCAGGAGGATGTAAAATAGATATACAAACACGACCATCGGGATAAACTGCAAACATTAAGAGAAACATTTTCACAATAACCTTAGCTACTCAAACAAGATCAATGAGCAAATATCCGAGAGAAAGAACTAACCATTAGGATGCCAAATATCTGAAGTAAACCGCACCGTAGGTGGGCTATTAGGATAGTTTTGTGGGAATGACATAATGGCATAGAAAAATCCTCCTTCACTGCATTTACAAAGTTCCATAACTTATGCTTAATCCTTTTGTAAATGAGACAAATAAAGCAAATTCAATTCAATTCCACAAGAACAATACTCCAAATCTAATCCAGCAAAACCAATTCGCTCAAAAACCGACAAATCGATCCATTCTAAGCTCAAATCCACATGGATCATCAAATCCAGAACATAGAGTATAACAAAATCTCAATGGAAACTCAAGGAACGTACTAGAGAGTTTCAGGAGGTCCAATAATGGTAACGCTCCATTCGAATATATTCTTCTCATCAACTAAACCAGCAGAGAATCCATCAACAGGATGCTTACAAAGATCTGAAACCAAAAAAAAAAACACAAATCAAATCGAATTCAATAACAGAGAAATTCAACATCAAACTCGTAGAAGAAACAGATTCGTTGAGATTCGTGTACCTTTAAGCTGTTTCTGAAGAAGAAGACAAGCTTGTGAGTTCATGGTGGATGATGAGAAATCGAGCTAGAGCTTCAAGTGATCTGAGAGAAGAGGAAGAGGAAGAAGATAGAGATGGTGATTGAATTGAGAGATTTATATCGAGAAGGTTCAAAAAAGATGAGAGCTGGGGATTTTATTTTTTTTGGTAAGCATCGATGTTTCATTGTTCATCAAGGGAACACATGGGAGTGGAGGGATCTGCTACGGACGTGTCTTGTTTACTTTTATGATTCTATCCAATAGAATTGCGAATTTTTTTGTCGTTCAAGGGAAAAGTGGCCGACTAATATTAAAGGTAAACAAAAAGAGTTAATTTTGCATTTACACAAAATATGAATCGTCTTAGTGAGCGTAGTGTCGGTTTATTGTTCTTTATAATGGAATTTAATTCGACCTCCAAATTGTAGGGTTCTTTAATTCGGTTTAGTGTTGGTTTTAGATGGTTTGCTATCGGGTTTAGGTCGTTAACCGATAAAAGTACATATAAAGGTATCCAAAGTCTCCCAAAATCAATTTCAATAAAATTACAGAAAAAAATATATTAGTTAGTATTAAAATATATTTTGCATATATTTAAGTTAGTTGTGTTTTTGCATATATTTAGTCTAAAATATAAATTTTAATGAATTTTGGTTTATTTAAGTTCACAAAATTTTTAGAATTAGATTCGGACTTCGGTGTAAAATATTTTTTACCGTTTAAAATGCAACACCAACATCTGTTAATGCCCCTTAGAATGAGTAATGTTGTCGAGCAAAGCTGGACCGCTGACTAGTAGACTTTGTAACTCTCATTTCTCTCAATCACCCATTCACCAACAACTTTCTTTGGATTAGCTGCACAAAGAAAGCAATGTAGTTGGGTGATAGAGTGAAAAGGCCACAAAACCTTGAATATTTCACTCAACGAAAACCTAAAGCTTGATATGAGACTAGTAGAGTAGTAAGTAGAACAAGAATTAGTAGTACCAAACATAATGGACTCTCGTATGGGTTTTGAATTTGGCATTGCATCTATTTTTCTATACTTGCTTCAGGGAAGATGAAGAAGACGTATTCCTCTTTTACATCTAACCCTCAAACCCAAGGTTCCCACGCTATTCATAATTCTGAAGATGAAACCGCCATTGCTTTAATTTGCTTGTGATGGTCTGAAGTAGTATAACTCCAAACAGGTACACGTCTTGTTATAACAAGCAATCATGGTAAGACAAGATTAAAGAGTAACAAACATGGACAAACGAACAATCCAAGCAAAGGTTACATAATCCATTGACAAATAGTAAAGTTATTTGATGGAGATTAGACTCTGGAAATAACAAACAGGATATCCATATGATTCAGTGCAGAAAGCAGCATAATATGATTTGGTTTCGGGGTCATGTATCACCAGATTTTGACATAACTCACGAGAATAAAATAGCAGCTTCTTCTTCTTATTATTCTTCTTCTTCTTCCCACCCAAAAGTGCTAGTGGCGGGAGTGCGCATATGTGCTTCCCAACCAAAGAAACAGTTACATCTATGGAGTACATTTTCTCCCACGTCTTGTTGTTTGAATGGAAGGACCATATAACTTGATTGGGCCACTTCTGCTGGGATACGCACAAACGGTTGTCGAGGTTGCACATGACGATGTCGAAAGGATTTACATTCTTGGCAAAGGGAGCTTTAGAGATGACTTGAAACGCTTCGGTGTGAAGATCGAAGGATACAACTTTGGTTTCTTGGCAGTCGGTGAACCAATGAAGAGACCCATCTACATAGACAGGATCGGGGAAATGAACAACCCGATAAGGAGCAGCGGGAGTGACATACCTCCAAGCATTGGTGGTAAAGTCGAAAACTTCGCATGTAGTGGCGTTTTCTAAGCCTATTTCTAGAGAGTTGTATAACCAAACAGGCTTGTAAGTGCCGGTGAATTTGTCTTTACCGAATCCAAGCTTGTATAGTCCGTATCCGAGGAGGTAGAAACTGTCTCGTAAGTCGATAATGAGTTGTTGTAATTCGCAGACAGGAAGAGGCCGATACCATCTAGTGGTGGGATTAACCACGAAACCGGAATGGTGGGGATTGTAGAGACAAACGAGACCGTCACAGCTACTATGGGAAACTAAGTAATCTGTGTTCTCCTTCTCCCAAGGAGTATGGATCTTGACCGGTGACGATGATGAACCCAACACCAATGTTGTTAGAGATTCGATGTCCGGGTTGATAACATCCTCACGACGTAGGGACACCATGAGGACATCTGGATCTCCTAATTGCTGACGCTGCGCCAAGTGTCTTTCTTGGAAGAGTTGGCATTGGATCGTTGAGTTCCATTGCTTCGATACAGCCTTGAATCTCAGCAGAGAATTCCCCGGAAGTCTCTCCAGGATAAGCTCTACGACATCGTGGGGCAGCGATTCCATCATCCTCAAGCAATGTTTTTTCGACCACATTCTTGTGATTGTTGCAGAGTCGCCATTGAAACAGAGCTTAATTTATACAATTATCCCACAAATGAAAAAAAAAGACAAAAACCCTCGAGGAAAAGTAAATCTCAACACTTTCCTCTTTTTTTTTCTTTTTTTTTGAATCTGAAATTTCAATAATCGGATATAGGAAAAAAGAATCTTCTTCTCTCTCACGACACAGATCTTCACTTCTCCTCTCAGACACCTCTTTGAACTAGAAGCCTATCTCTTCTTCTTTTTGTTTTCTGGACTTTGACTTTTCTTTTGGTACATTAACAAAAACAAAAAAAACAAAAAAATCTGATTGTAACCGACGGTTACGATCTTTTTGCCGAAATGAGGTGTTAATTCGAAATTTCGAATCTTAACTGAGAAACCACATTATTATAAAATTATAAATGGGACCCACCACCAGAATGGAAGAATCCATTCTTATAGAAAGAAAAAGCCACTAGATTTGCAATTTTGCATACATGTTTTAAATTACTTTAACTACAATCTATATATACATTTTTTGGAGAAGATTTGGCCTCAAAAATCCTTTTACAATTTCGAATTTGTACATTTAGTCCTTACAAATAAAATCTGACAAAATTATTGTTTTAAGCAAATTTACAAAACAATAAATTAACTCACCAAACAATTTCTATTTTTACGAGATTTGAGATCCTAACATATGGAAATCAAATATTCAAAATTAAAAAAAAAAACTATTTATAAATGATTGGTTTAGTAAATATCTATTATAATAAGAAATCAGAATTTAATATACAGCCATGATTTTACGTATTTACCATAATTACTCGATATTTAATAGAACAAATATTCAAAATTTAAATAAATTCATATCTCATATATTAAGCAACTACCAAACAAACAAATCAAAACAGTCAACAATCTTTCGAATTTATCATTTCTTCAATTAGTTCATGATAATTCCTTTTTTTCTTGATCAAATGATACTTTCAGAATCTTTTCAAACTAAATGTAACTAACTTTTTGGTAACTCGAATATATAGGTTAATATATACACTACTCACATATTTGACTAATCTTTATAAAAACCACTATTAACACGTAATCTATGTATATATTTTTTGGAGAAGATACACATCATTCTTTTTTTTTTTGTCGTCTGGATTTATTATTTATTGCAAATTATGAGAACTGTTACAGAAACGATTCTACAACGGACAATTCCTTCCGACCCTTATTAGATCCACAACCTCCTTCTTCATGCTCACATCCTTCACCTCCTTCTTCATAGTTTTGATACACATCATTCTATAGGCAAAAAAAATAAAATGCTAAAGAATATTAAAATAGTTAAAAAAAAATGCTAAACATATTTGTAATATTTTCATCTTTTGTCATCTAAATTTCATTTTAAAAAACAATGGACAGGTACATGTGGATATTACAAACATCGGCAAAATCTATGTATATATTTTTAAAATACATTAAAAAAAAAAAGTATTTACAAGCAAATGTCATTGCTTTATATATTTATGTATTAATCACTTTTAAAATTAAATTTCGAATAACCCATTTAGAAATCATACAAAATTAAATTTCGAATAACCCACTTTTAAAATGTCATATCTCATATATTAAGCAACTACCAAACAAACAAATCAAAACAGTCAACAATCAAAAATTGTTAATCGTGTAATTCGAATATATCATTTTTTCAATTAGTTAGTGATAATTCTTTTTTCTTGATCAAATGATACTTTCAGAATCTTTTCAAACTAAATGTAACTAACTTTTTGGTAACTTTTTTCTATACTAGTATTTTTGCAACACTTTCGTGACGGGTGGGTAAAAATGCTTTCGGGTTATTTGGATACCCGACCCGTTTCCAAATTTTGATCATAAAAAAATTCTTGGGTCGGGTTATATTTAATCCAACTCATACACCGGATAATTCTACATTTAATAATTTAGATATTTAGAAGATTTGATTAAGATTTAGAATTATGATTCTCCTATCATCTTTGTTTGATTTGTTTTTAACTGTTTTGAATCATCATATAATACATAAAGTAAAAAAAAATCAATTTTTTTTTCTGCATATACTGTGATTCGAAATTTTAAAAATGGACATATATTATCCAGTGGACGAAAATGTGTGTTCAACGTTCTACATCGATTAAAATATTTAGATAATGATTCAGAATCATATCATCAATAAGATCAACATTAATAAAATAAATGAGTTTTTTGGCCGGACGGGTTTGGCGGGACGGGTTTTTGAATTAACAATAATAAAAAGATTAACATGTCGCTTCAATACGGATTAAATCCTTAATTTTTTTTTTAATACCACCAATATTAGACATATCAAATCAGTCTCATTTAGAAAAAATTGTATAAAATCAAAAATTGTCTCGTGGTATAATGTTACTTAATAACAATTGTAAACTATAAAATATAAATGTCTTTGAAAATGATACAATTTACAAACTTTTATCTATAATAAATAATCGTAAATTTTTTTAAAATTACTACTTTTAGAAAATAAATTACGGGACGGGTTAAGAAATTACAGGACGGGTTATATGGTGGACGAGTTTGAATCAACATTTATAAAATTTTAAAATATCATTAACAT